TACCTCATCGATTTCGTCGGTGGCTCAAAGAGATCTTCTAGGAATTCCAGCCCTTTACATCAGATGTTTCTAGAAAACGCTGTATCTCTAGTGCCCCTGGGCCAAGTGGGGAGGGGAAGTTGTGTTTCTCCTGCGTCAAAAAAGAAAGGATCTACCTTATGACCTTACACGCGGTGACGTACATGACATGTAGAAGGGAACAACAATTGAATATCTTGCGCTAGTTACCTAGGTACCATCTACGGATGTCCTTCTCCGGCTTTTACGGTTTAACCCACCCGTTAGATGCCGGAGCACAACTCGCTGGCCCGCACAGTCCCCCCCCCCAGCTCCGTCGAAACCGCCAGATCTGACATATCGCCTGCGCCGGGTGCCGGCATTGCATGGGCCCCATCGGGTCTCCTGTGGGGGGTGGTGGGTTTCGGGTAGCCGCCGGCCATTATCCCGAACTTTGCTGGCGTTACCTGTCTGTCTGCCTACACTATGTATCTGCTGCCTCCTACATACAACACAGTAGACGTGCCAGCCAACATGCAGCATGTCAGCTTTTGTCTAGCTCTCCGACACAAATCACGACTCACGCACACAAAGCTAGACAAGTCATTGCTTACATATCTATGTATACCTAGAAAATGTATACCTCCTAGCTACCATGTATGCACAGAGTAAGTACACCAGCCAATCACCGAACGACGTGTGACTTACTCACTCTTGCATGTTTTGAGACCTCTCATCCATCCTCCTGCGATGACATTATCGTGGAAATTTGGCATCAAATCAGAGGCACACGAGCACATGAGTGTGGCCTGCCGCCAACAGTTGAGACAAAAAGAGGCTGCACAGCCTACTGTCCCGTACGCAGATGGGCAAACGGTGTTACTGTACTTGAGGCGGCGGCGGCGGCAGCAACAACCAGCACAGCAGGAATAACAACATCAACAACAACATCAACAACAACAACAGCATAGAATACATATCCTGATCCTCCGCGTAATACAATTCGCGATTCTAGTTTTCGTTTTACCTGCATAGCGACTCGCATGTACGCCAAGGGGGCCGCATACCTACGTAACGTAAACAATGCACGTCTACATATTCATGCAGAGGCACGAAATTAGAGAGCTGTTGGCGGCCTACCAATTCCCATCCATCTCACATTGAAAAAAATGAGCCTCATTTCTATGCGACCTCTTTTCCGGCCCCACGAACGAACGAACGAACGACGCATGAATTTGCATGGGGCCGGGTGGGATATATTTAGATCAAGCCCCCCCTTTTTCCCTTTTCCCTTTTCCCATCTCCATCCACTCACTACGTGAAACACAAAATGGTTTGGGTCTAGATTGTGCGTGTAGATAGAGGGGATAGATGGTTGCAAATATTGGAATGTAATGAGACGTGATACCAGGACAGATGGATGACCTTTTTCTTTTACGACGCCACCAGAATTTTGAAGGTGGCAACTATGTACATGTGTTGTTCCAGGCTGCCGGCCGCCATACATAGTAAGTAGGTAGGTAGATATGTAGCGAGCACAGCCCCCCCTTCTCCCGCAAAAAGCACAGGTAGGTACTGTATATACATAACAACTCCGGTGACACATCTTCATCCGTGTGCGTGCGTGTGTGTGTGTGTGTTTCTTTGCAGCCCCGCCTCGGGCCACGACAGCGAACCGACGTAGGTACTTGCTTCGCCGGGTATCCGCATTGCGTCTACCTACATCTACATCCAATGTCTCAACATCCGTGTCCCTACAACCCAAGGCAAGGTTAGAAAAGAAAAGGTAGCTAATGCACGTGTCACTCACAACCACCCACTTCCCAAGCTACCTGCTGCACATCTCCAGCTGCTGTTTAGTCATCTCCCGAGTCCTGGTTCCTCAGCCTTACCTCGTTACACCTAGAGTATGTACTGTAACCCATCTGAAGAAAAAAAATCAACAAAAATAAAAAGGGGTGGGATGAGGAAGGGAGGTGGGAGGAAGGAAGGATACCTCGTGATACGAGTACGACTGTTGTCTACCACCCGTGACGGGGGACTATCCCTACGCGAAGGGACGCCACAAACACCTTTGCGCTGGACTCTTGTGTAACGGGTTTATGGGAGGGGGGGGGGGCCACACATTTCGAACCCCTTTGCTATGTACGGCTGAGAATAGGTGTTATCCAGGTCCAGTGACATTCACTGTCTGCAGGCGACAGGCTTGGCTTGTGAGACGGCGATTCGCCCGTCCCTCGCTGTACCATGTCATCGCCTTCGTTGTTCCTGAGCGACGTGAACGGCGTTTGAAAAAAAAAAGAAAAAAAATAGTTCATACTACCCATTTACCAAGGCAGTAAATAGGAAGCGAGAGAGCGCATTGCGCAATATTGATGGAAAGACCCTTGATTCGCGCATTTGGCATTGAAGGGAACTGAGTCACTGCGTGCCTACCTGCCTACGCACAGAAAGCGGATGTAGGCAGGTAGGTAAAAATAGAACCGGCTTCGACGGACAGACAGACAGACAGACAGACATCTGACGTTTTTTTTTTTTTGGATTCGGGCGACTAGCCTTACCCGGCTTAACCAAGATAGAAACATCCATTCATGCTCGGATTCCCTTTCACGATGTTCCCTTCAAGCGTCCCAAGTTAGAATCAATCTCCCTGTCTACGAAAAAAAAAAAGAAAAAAAGCTTCGCTTACGAAGATCCCAGGGAATTGGTTGGCCTAGTTCTATATACAGCTGAATAGAATGTCATACCTTACCTACCTCCTAAGTGCATCGGCAGGGACTTAGGCATGCATGCTGCAATGGATAATTGTCCAGCGGAAATACAGAATCCCATGGCCTGCCCCCCCCTGCTCGTGGGATCATACCCGATGTGAGCGGCATTCACATGATATGGGGATACACGGACTCCAAACTTTTGATATTCGCCATGCGCCACGCCTACAACGCAAATGACTCTATTGGTATCAGGAGCGCGAGCATTGAGGTCAGGGGCTTGAAGCTTTGATACCTGGCATGTGAGAATGGAAAGGATAGGTAGGTAGTGAAGAGATACCGATAGATACCGACACACATTGACAATAGACAGGTGTCTAGGTGCGCCGCAGGTCTTTTAGTCTAAATGTACTATCGCCGACCCATCTCAAGGGAAGAGGAAGGAATGGGGTGCAACAAAAGCAGCGATGACAACAACAACAGCAACATCAACCTGTAAACAACCCTCAGGGGGTCAATCAAGAGAATACCGTGTCACCGCGTCTGTGCTAGAGCGACCAGAAGGAAACCCCAGATAGGCATATGCCTCACCCCGTGTTGACAACACCGAAATCCGGGCAAGTTCTTATAACCTACCCCCCCCCCCCCCTAGCCTCCCCCAAGGAGTCTAGCTAGTAACTACCACCAAATTAGAAGCATAATGTAGATGAGAATTTCACTCACGTTACAAGGCGTACAAGCACCAACTGGCAAATTACAAGTAGCACCTACCCTATATGAACTCACACCAGGCCAACAAAGGGAGATGTGGTCACATCCGTCTCTCCAAAACCATGCATGTCCCGTGACTCTTGACCTTTCAAGTTGACATATACAGTAGCATAGGCGCGGCGCTACTTACTCTCTCCCCCAACCGTACAAATCTACATACCTACCTATGTAGACCCGGCGCAAGATCCTATAGCCGGACTAACGCAAGGCAGCACACCTTACACATAGGCATAGGCATAGGCACATAGTTATACACAAAGGAATCATTTGCGTCTACATACATACATACATACCCACAAACCCACAAACCCATCCTAACAGCCATGCACGAACGTATAACAACCCAGGGTTATGTACCTAGGATGCAGGTTATCAGCAACAGACCTACCTACCTACCTACCTCATGCAGCTCACGAATCCAATCCTCCCGCTACCTATATCCCAGACCCAGCGGCAAGTCACCGTGGCCTAGCTTACAGAACCACTACACCCCTTGAACCGATTGCTTAGGTAGCTAGGTAGTTCGTTGGATGGGTTGACGGATCGATGCTAGGCCCCACGATCCTATCCTCTCTTACCTACATAGGTACATATGCGAGGATATATTTTCCGCGGCCGGCAGGATTCCCCTAGATGCGGGCCGTTAAGAACACCCACTAGGTGGGTAGATTAGCGCCAACATAGGTAGGCATCGTTCCTTATGGGATTAGACGAGGGCGCGATATCTGGCCCTTCCTACCTAGGGTATGTATAAACAAAGTGCTATAACGGGAAGTTACTTAAATCTTGCGCCGCACGGATTTTCGTCATCCAAAAGGAACATTGAAGTTGCAAGAACTCTGTCTTTCAAAGAATGTCTAATATTATCCTCACATTAAAGGGCTCTTTCACATCAACGGTATACTTTCGTGCAAATAGCGTATGTAGGTACTTATAGGTAGGTACGTAAGCTACCTAGGTATATCTATGTTGATTATATGATACAATCCATAAACCAACCCTTCCTGACCCTATGGGAAGGCTGTTATGAATAAATCAGATTTATATCCCACGGATGCAAAGGGGAGGTCAACAATCCACCCAAGTTGGCCCTTGTCGAATTACTGATAATAGCGGAGGCCTCGATTTGTACCAACCATCTTAGTCCAATGCTACCATATAAGTATTCCAAATGCCCTTTGCAGTATATGCAGGCTGGGGGCGCGTGAAGAGTAGGTAGCTAGTAAGGCAATCTGGATGAAGATTAACGCACGCAATTTTAAGTTAGTACTCGCCAGACGCCACAATCGCTCTATCGTTGGGGTCCGGTGATCTTTGGCGTAAAGAATGGGTGCTTCAACGCCTCAGCTGGAGTGATCCTTTTGTCGGGGTTAAGCGTTAAGCATCGTTCCAGTAGATCTACGAAATGGTTCAGATCCCTCGACTCCACGTCGTTCATGCCACCAGAGGCGGCCATGAGCCTGGTCCGAAGGTCACGGGTCGGCTTGACAATAGCCAAGGTCCGCACTGTAGTCTATAATGCTAGTTAGTCGGCGTGTCTAAGACATATAAAACAGGTGATAGATTAAAGAGTCTTCCTTCCAATATCAAAGGGCTATGGCAGATATGGAGGTAAGCTGGTGGTGGTGTAGCATCAGCTCGATGCCGTAAGATCCGGGGTAATAGTCAGATCATAAGCGCGCCCGAGTCCGCATCGACTCGAGACCAGTGATAATGCAACATGCTGGTAGGATTAAACATGGGGCATGTTGATGATAGTCTGAGGCGCGACATGATCCCATAAGCCACCACCACCTAAGGAAGATAGATGAAAGGAAACAGGGATCTTGATGCGGCTGGCATCATCCCGAATGCACTCATTAGCTGATGTGATCCGCCTGCAGCTTGCAGCCTTGGCCCGGCACCACCCCCAGCCTAGGACAACGTCGACTAGACGCTGTGTATAAATAGAAATGCAAGTGATAAATCAAATCCCCCCAGTAATATGCCGCCCAGGGATTGTGAGCGAATTAGGAAATATCAACATACCTTACCAAGCGCCTTGTCCCTCTCAAGGCTGACAAAATTCCCGAAATCATCAAAATGCATGGGAGATAATTCACCGCGTTTGTATAACTTGGTGCTAAACTTGCCACGGATTTCCATAATTGCCTTGAGCATTTGGTTGTTGCTATCCCCCGTGAAAAGGATTTTGCCAGTGTATAGCTCATACAACGTGCAGCCGATGGACCACATGTCGACGGCGTAGTCGTACGGCATTCCGAGGATGATCTCTGGGGCTCGGTAGAACCGACTGACCAAGTAAGGAGTAATCTCATTATTCGCCGTTGCAGCATCTGATCTATCAATAGCCGTACCCAAGTCACAGATCTTGAGGATGTTGCGCGTTTCGTTGACCTATACGAGATTAGTGTTCATCCAATCTTCTTCCATCATGTGCTTGCTTACTAGGATGTTGTCCGGCTTCAAGTCAGCGTGAATGATACTGCACTTGCGAAGATGAGCTAAAGCAACAAATATCTGGTGTGCATAAGCGCGCGTGGCGTTCAAGTTGATGCCAATATTGTTGCCAAACTTTCTCAGAACCTCTCTCAAGTTCAAGCTGAGATTCTCAAAGGCTAGACAAAGATGGCCCTTGTGCTCAAAATAGCGCTCGAACTTGACAATATGCTTGCGGTTCTCAGGGTCAGCCTCATTCAACTTTTGCAGGATCGCTATCTCAGTAAATCCTCCCTTCCTGAGAGCATCGTTATTCCGCATCATCTTTATGGCAACCAATGATTTATTCGTGATATCAACGGCTCGGGCGACACCAGAAAACATGCCTTTGCCGAGGGTCGTCTGGACCTGGTACCGACCGTCCATAATCTCGCCGATTCGGATCTTATAATATCCCTCTTTGTCGTCACCCTCAAGGATACCGCCGGCACTAGCTTGTAAAAGGGTGGCAGGGACCTTACGATCATCTACAGCAGCGTCCAGATGATCTGGCTTAGGCGCGGCAAATTTCTCCTCGTCAAAATCTTCAGCAAACATGTCAAAATCTTCATCGTCATCGTCAGCTTTAGACTTCTCTAGCTGCTGGGGAGTATCTGCTGGTGCAATCTCCGCCTTCGGGTTAAGAGGAATTGCTTCCCCATGAGGCCCGATATGACCATGACGTCGTTCATCCCGTAGCTCATCTTCTCTCATGTCGTTCGTCGGATCGTAGTCAGCTGCGGAAGGTCCGTCATCATCACTACCTCTAAATTTTCCATGAGTATTGATAAGATCCTGATCGTTAGATATATCAATCACAGTGGGTGACATTCCTTCTTGGATACCACGAGCTGGGGAGTTCGGCGATGAGATAACTATAAACAGTGTTAAAAATTGTCCAGCATGGATGTAGCAGAGAGGGTTGCTCACTGGATCGGGGAGTGTTTCCATCGGCAAATACGGGCGTACCAGCTCGTGTCTGGCCCGGAGAGGATGCATTCGTCTTCTCTGAAGCTTGAAGAGCTTGTACGAGCATCGGAGTTGCGCCGCGTGATTTAGCAAGAAGTTCTTCGCGCCGTCGACGCCGTCGTTCCAATTCCGCCTCTATGTCGACAGGCTTCTCCTCTTCATAATGGTATTCTGATTGATCTGTTGTACGAGTACTATCTCCCGAACCACCTGATGCAAGTTTAGTGTCATTTTTGCTAGAAGCTGTAGTCTCTGCAGAAGCTTGTCGCTCAGAATACTTTGCTTGGTCTTGAGAGTGTCGGGGAGTGCCTTGCTGGCTCGACCGAACACTATCTACACCGTTCTTATCTGAAGTATGGTAGTGACTGCCTTCGTCATGTCGTAACTGGTCGGCTCGATGCCTACCACCTCGAGGTGGTCGATATGGAGAGCGAGCGCGATTGCCGGAACGTTTCTTAGCATAACGGTCTCGATCTCGATCTCGATCGCGGCTTCGGTCTCTGGTTGTGTTGCGACCAGAGTAGTCTCGGTCTCTGTCGTCATAATGAAGGCCAGAGACTGATGAACGCGAAGGAGGGCGGTCTTCGTCATCGTACGACAAGCGTGAGCGGCGGTGGGTGTCGGATACATCCTCGTAATGAACGCGGAATCGGCGGGGGTCCGCATCTATGCGGCCGCCACGGTATGATTCCCGTTCATCACGAGGACGCTTGCGCCCACGAGGAGAGCGACTTCGTCGGTTTGAGCCAGGAGGATACCTGGAGCCGTTTACATACTCGGGCGATTTTGATCTTGAATATCTAGCTCGACTTCTGTCCATACGGTCAACACCGGTTCTTTCAAGTTGAGGCAGTGGAGTTGCCTTCGAGTCTCCAACACCGTTTTCCACTATCTCTCCCTCGTCGGAACTGGAAGGAGTAGCCATTATTTTTGCTCACTGTATTAATAAGTGATCTAGGAAGTTCAAGTGACCCCAGGATCTTTAAAATTGGGTAGAACGCGTGTCAGCCACAAGAACGTCAATGATTGGGAGGTGCAGGGAATTGAGCCGAACCGTCAAGCATCTGTTCAATTCCGTCACATTGCAAATCAAACCACTGAATAGAAATGGCTTGAAACAAATCAAAGCGATCTGAGCTATAAGCGAGTTGTGTTATGTGTCGTTCGAAGAGCCAAGAGAAAGGCCAAGGCGGTGGTTAATTAGGAGGGCGATGCTGAAGATCGCCAGGATTTGCGTCGATTTTGGTTAAAGAATTGTGTTATGGTGACGACGTGTAAAACAACTCACGTTTGGATGATTTATTACATATTTGACCCTAGGTTAGTACTACTAGTAGTAGACCTGGCAGTAACTAGGTTCAACTTGTCAAGGTGCACCGTGCGCCTTGGAAGGTTTCTTCAAAGGGATTTATATATTACCGAGTCCGACAATATTATTGAAATGATTGGGCTAAGATGTTCATTCAAACCACTGTGCACATGCCTTCCACAGAATCCACACCACACTACCTAGTAAGTACTTAGTACCCATTTAGTACTAGCTTGTTCCTTAACATGGCCCTAGCGTTGGACCCTTTGTTCTTTATTGCCTTCTAGAGTAACTAGTTAGTTAGTTACTACTTACATGCTCCGTAGGCGCTGACTGCCCCGCAGTTCTCTCATTTCTTCGGTGTTGGCCGATTGTTCCAGACTTGAACTTTTGCCTCTTTTTTCTTTTCGCGACTGCACATTCTCCCGTCACTCGCGTTGAATAAATAATCAATAAATCGCAATATCTGCGTATTCGGTGCGAACCTACAGACCTCATCACTCATCAGTGCGAATTACCAAATCATTTCAACATGGGTGGCCAAAACAGAGAAGGTAAGGCTTTCCTAAATTATTCACATAACCATCTGATGCTCTGGCGCTTTTGCTGACACTGATTTTTTCATCAGGCGGCAAGATCAAGCCCCTAAAGGCTCCCAAGAAGCAGGCGAAGGACCTCGACGAGGATGACAAGGCATATCTCGAGAAGAAGAAGGCCGGTATGCAGATATACTTATTCGATAGTTATTCGTCGGTCTTTTAAACTAACTCGCATCGATAGACGAAAAGGCACGCGCTGAAATGGCCAAGAAGGCTGGCGGAAAGGGACCGTTGAACTCGGGCGCACAAGGCATCAAGAGAAGCGGCAAGAAATAAACTACTGGATACCTGATACTCTACGATAACGAAGTCACGGCGCTGAGAATATGGGTGCATGCAGCATAGGCGCTTGAGGATAAATATGACTCATGGGATTATTTTTGCGGCAACGATAACTCAATATATTTTACGTGCCGCCTATTGTATGTCATTGAGACAACATGCAAAAGGCTGTGATGTAGATGTTGTTGATGTCGATAGTGAAGATGTCGTGAATTTCATGGTTGGATATTTTATTGTTCATGTTAACTTGTATTAACTTATATATAATAGCGCTAAATGCCCGCCTAGGGATTAGTCCAGGGTAGTCGCCATGTGAAAATCAGCTGCTAAACCGATGTTTATCTTGGTAAGGCAAGTACCCAGTATAAGAGAATACCTACCTGCACCGCCATTGGTTTCTCAACAAAGCTACAACGTACAGACCCAACAATTATTATCTTGAAGACTTGAAGAAGGAAAAAAGCCACTAGACTTTTCAGTTTTGGATTAAAAAAAAACGTTTGCTAGATTTTATATTGTTTGTATTGTTTGTAATACTACAATCTGAAAAGGAGCCTAAGAATTGATTCATCCAAACATAAAAATCCCCAAACAGGGCAAACCCCCCCCCCCACCATGGCCGACCTAAACCAGCCAAGCTCGGGGCTCCGGAGGCGGCGGTCATCCTCAGCCGCCTCCTCGTCATCCACGGGGCTATTGCAGACAGCTAAGGACATTGAGCATAAGATCGCGGCGAAGCTGCTGGTGCTCTGGGACGACCTGCCGACGTGGCGGCGCGACAACCACTTCATCGTGTCCGGGTACCGCCCCGACAGCAACAGCTACCGCCGCTCCCTCGCCTCCCTCTTCTACGTCCACAACGAGTTCGTCAACATCTGGACCCATCTCCTCGGCGCCCTTACTTTCCCCATCGTCGGCGCTTGGCTCTATCACGTCATCGCCCCCCGCTACGCCTCTGCTAATGCTAATGATATACTGGTCTTTTCTTGCTTCTTTGCCGGTGCGGTGTTGTGCCTTAGCATGAGTGCTATGTTCCGGTACGTACCTCCCATGAAAAGGGGGGTTAGATACCCTTATGTCACTTGAATTTGCAGCCCCCCTTCCCCCCTCCGACCTTTCCTCTAGTCTCGTAGTTTTACTAACCGGGAAGCAGTAAGTCTTGCTCCTTTGAAAATGGCTTGGGGTAGTAAATAAAAATCCCACCCCTGAGTCTAGAAAGCCCCCTCATGATATACATATCAATGTCTCCTGAAAGAGAGCCTGATTACCTAATACGTTTTAGACGCCATCTCGAACCACTCAGAGGAAGTCTCCAAATGGGGTAACAAGCTAGATTACTCTGGCATCGTCTTCCTCATCGTCGGAAGCTTCGTGCCAGCCCTCTACTACGGGCTCTTCTGCGCGCCGAACTTGACGACTATTTACTTGTACGGGGTAGGTGCCAACATCTCGCAATGCTCCTAGATAGCTCTCGTTGCTAAGTCCTCTCTCTTCGTGTCCCACAGATAAGTTTCCTCGGCCTAGGCTGCGGCGTCGTATCATGGGTCGAGCAGTTCCGCACGCCGCGCTGGCGCCCCTACCGCGCCGCCATGTTCGTCGGCCTCGGCGTCTCGGGGATCGTGCCCGTGTGCCACGGTCTCAGCATCTACGGCTACGAGATCCTGGAGCAGCGTATGGGGCTCAACTGGGTTTTGTTCCAGGGGTTCCTGTACATTCTCGGCGCGTTTCTCGTGAGTACCTACCTCTTAAAATTTTCCCAATACCAATACACTTTTACTGACCTTGTGTAATATAGTACGCGGTGAGTTTAACAAAACAGCGAGCTTATTCGTGGTTATACATAGGTAGTTACGAGGCACTGACTAACATGATCACAGGTTCGATGGCCGGAGCGAAGTTTCCCGAAGACATTTGACATCTGGGGCAGCTCGCATCAGATATTCCACGTTCTCATCCTGTTTGCCGCCGGATGCCACCTCGTCGGCATGTCCAAGGCGTTCGACTATCACCATACCGTCATGGAAGGACAGTGCTAGTGGAATTTGTGACACTTGTTCATGGCATTGCGTATGTGCTTGTTCTCAATTCCCCGTAAGCTCTAAGTTAAGCAGGCCATAGAGAGAATTTTTGGTAGAGGTGTATAAATAGAGACTGGCTATAAATATAGATGAAATAGAGGTGGCCTTCAGCCAACGTTTAGAAATGGCAAAGCAAGATTTGAAGATTCCAGTACCTAGTTAAAAACCTTACAGCTGCATCAATTGATCTAAAGGGGTATATTGTATCTGATGAAAATTGCCGTGGTATTAGTTAATCGGACTCCATCATTTCAACATCGCCATCACCAACCTCATTCTCATCCACATCTTTTTCTCCCTCTTCTTCAAAACTAGGTTCGTCGTGGTCATCATTAATCTCCCCCGTTCCATCCGCTTCCACCTCGAATGATTCTTCTGCCTGCTCGCCCTCTTTTGGATCTTCTTTGTCGGTGTTCTCTATACCGAGGTCCATGATCCTCACCAACCCCGAGCCCATCGCAGCCGCGGCCCACCAACTAAAATCCGCGTTCGGATTCCAAGATAGGGCCGTGATCCGAGTTAAGGGCTCCTGCACAGCTATGGGGCCAGGAACCATAGTAAAGCTTTCTTCATCCGCATCAGGTATATCTTCGTAGTCATCGTCGTCTTCTATTTTCTCGAGCATCTTCTTGCTCGCCCTCATCTCCGCCCTGGCACGCTTAACCTTGCTTTCCTTTGCGACCCTTGTGCCCAAAGGGTGAAAATTAACCTGCGGTAAGAATCCATGGAGAATGCGGCATACCCCACGACTCCGAGGTTGGCTGTCGTCCTCATCTACTGTATCAGACGGCATAGGTGAATAATATTCGTGTTGGAAGAGTTTCACCTTATGCGTCTTTTGCCGATGCGATGTAATCTTACGCATGACATTAAGGGCCCAGACTGAGCCATCCGAGCTTCCCAGGAGAAGGAACGGATGGCACGTTCCAAATGCGAGGCACGTTGTTTGGCCCTCAACGGTGCATATATGGCGGGAAAGAGGAAATACTCGAGACTGCACAAATGATACAGTGGAAGTCCCTGGGAAGGATGAGGGCCATATCGACGCGAATCCCTTTAGATGGTTGTTCCAAGCAAGGACATTTGGTTGAAGAGATACCAATGGATTTCCGTGATAAGTCTTCTCCGCGGTTGGTCGGTTCAGATCCGTCAAGGTGAAGACGCCGCCCATGGGCATCGTTGCAATAATAAAAGGATGCGAGGGATAGCCAGAAACAATGTCCATGATAGGACTGGAGTGAACAGGGTGTCGTTGTAATTGTTGACAGGGAGAAAGTGAACATACTGCTACTGACCCGTCTGAAAGAGCCACGGCAATACGGTTCATATTAATCCAAGTGAAGCAATTGATTTCCAGTGTGTGCTCTTTCGGAGGTTCCAAGGTGATCATCGGCTCTTGTAATTCCCCTATTATAAAGTGAGCTAGCTTCTCTTAGACTGAGATGAATACTTACTAAATATTCCCTTATCATCCGAAACCGAATCTTGCTTAATTTCTAGGATCCTCAACCTTCCATCATCACATAGCATTGCCAAAAATGCTACTTGATCCCCAACAGCGAGAGGAACAGGGGACCATCGTAATTGAGTTACTCTCCCCCAAGAGGAACATAGAGCGTGTACTAGCTTAGGAGAGGAGCGTGCTGGTCGAATAATGCCTTCAGCATCCTTTTCCACCTTAAACTTCCAAATCTGTACAGCACCTGCTTTTAGGTCTGATGCTTTTGGTGCGTCATCTAAGTCCTTGTAAAAAGCTTGGTCCGAATATGGTATAACTGTCATTGCTAAGAGTTGATCGACTTGGCCGTTAATGGGCATCCATTCCATGGAGAGGACGATGCCTCCCACATCGAGTAGCCAGCCACCATTCCGTGGCTCAGGGTTATCTATATCCTCAATTGGGAAGCCGGCGTCTGAGAACGGTATGCTTTCGCCTTGCTTGATAAAGTATTCCTTCTGATCTGATACATGACCAAGTAGGACACTCATCTCGCCCTCGACCTGTGGAAGAAACCATCGATATGCCTTAGCTTTGTCGATTAGAGTTGATGTCTGTGACAGGGTACGTATACCTAGATATCTCCTATACCAGGTATGGAATCTATCTTCCTGGATCTGGTCGAAATTCTCTGGCATCCAGCTCCTTTTTGCACTTTCTAGCTGATGAGATCCTGGAGATAGTCGGGGCGGGAGTAGTTCGAACTGCCACCATAGATGCCAGAATTTGTTAAAGATTTTCTGGCGGTCATTTTCATCACCAAACCAATAGTCTAAGAGGTAACTAAGCCGGGTCCATCTCTTGACAGGACCAACGTAGGTTCTTGTCCATTTTTGAGAGGGATCTGTAGGGTATGGCTGTACTTCGTTATATGTCTTGGTTGCATTTGGTATCCAAGAACGTTTGTTCCTCGGCCTTGATGCGGGTTGGGCCCCTTCTTGATACTCGAAATCAGATATCTCCTGGAAGGTGGCATCAAACTCATCTCGGTCATGCGATTGTTGGCTGGCATCTGCAACAAATTCCTCATCGGAAGAATTGTGAACCGACTGTGCAATAGTCGCCTGATCTCCTTCAGAGATATCGACATCAAGGTTGGAATCAAGGCGTTTTTCATGGCTGTTTGACGCCATCTATACCTCATGAACATGCCCCGGTAGGGTAGGGGGTTACATCATCGGAATTGTTTGAATGTCGATATTCGAGTGGCACAAGGGCAGTATTAAATTCAAACATATGAATGAAGCGATTAAGTTATCACAACCTGTTTCATTGTATTAATATCTGGCGTCAGAGTTGGATGTATAACACTGTGTAAAAGTTAAGACGCAGGCACGAAATGGTGATCCAGGTTGAATTTCTATGTGGGGCGTAGTTAACGTTAAAAAAGATACAAGTGCGGTGACCCTAGTCGATCTTTTGGCTAAAAAGAGACTAGTTCAAGGACAGCCGTTAAATCAAGCTATCATCAACCTTCACTCCTAAGCACCGTACCAAGTAGCAATGATGTTGCACTCTAGAACTCAATATGAATTGAATATATACCTAAATAGGTACTCATATAATATAAGATATCGTGAAGGGCGGTGGATATTTTCTAATGAAATCTCTTGACGATCTGCGTAGGTATCTTTGTGTGATGCTGGATGACGCTGGGTCTGCCAAGATGCTTGAACGTCGAATAATACGACGACATAGTAGTTATATCTTGGTATGGCAAACGGCCCCCGAAATCTCTATCGATGTCTTGCATTTGATCGAGTGACACAGTTGCCTTTTAAACATCTGATCTTAAGGAGATTGAATGACTCCTTTGTGCTAAGTGCCTATCGTAGGTAGTTATATATCCAAGGTAAGTTAGGTAGTACGTTTATACTCCAACTACGAACCTCGGCATACTAGATTGGATAAGAACGTTTCCCTAGAATTGCCACACATCCTGTGTAGGGGTCTTGGAAGATCTCGGGATGCAATGAGTCAGCTGAAATCGCGAAGAATTTCCCTAATAAATTTAAGTTGGCATGGATAAGTGAACATGCTTAAGAGTATAATTAGGTGTCATTCGGAAGGGTTTAAGTTCAATATAATTACATGCATGAAATGGAACTGATGATATACAGGTAAGTACGTGTGTCCTGTAGGTGCGGCTGGTACGATAGATCTGGTGAGGTGATGTTCCAGTGATGTTCCAGACCGTTAAGAGAATTGGAAGTTGCAAAAGAAACCCAATATTTACTTGTGGGGACCAATCAGCAGCTAGATAATTTTTTGGGAATTTGCCGATATCGCCAATTGCCACCGAGTCAATGGCTGTTGACGGGTTGCAATGCGAAGAAGGCAAGTGCAACTATGTACCTAGTATGTAGTACTATGTACGACGGAGACAGGCTTTGCACGGGCCCCACTGCATATGTCCCCTTGCAGCACCCCACAATCTACCTTTTAACGTTTTTTTTTTGTGTGCCGCAGTCGGTTTAATAGATTTCTTTCTTATGACTCCAGGACAAAATCTGCAAACTTATCGTGAGATTTTTCTAGCCATTGATCAATCGCAGACCTCTATAACAAGGTTGTGGATATTAGTATTCACATAATACTAATAATACACCTATTTGACAGGTCTCTATTCTTCAAATTCCTCGTCTCGGTGTTTGATTTCTATCTTTCATTTTCTTGTCCATCATCTCCCCTCTTTTTTCGTCATGCTTCGCACCCGACAAGCTGGCCGGGCCTTCAAGGCTTTGGCTCAGACTTCGCGACAACACCAACGATGTCTCACCACTTCTACCGTAGCCTCAACCATTCAAATAAAGAAAAATGGCCCTGCTGGTGTTAGGAATCAAGCCACTTCGGCCCAATCAACTGCGTATGTTGGCATGATCACTTTACTTCCCTTACCCTTTCATATGATATACTTGAATTTCTTTGTTACCATCACTAATATTCTATATAATCTACATAGTCAAGCCAGAGATGTACCTGCTCCAGCCTTCAACACAGCCAGCACGAAAGATCGAAGTCATGTACAACCCTTGGTCAGTCCTCGGGCTCCTGAAATGGATGAATCGTATGTCTGAAACAACTTCCTCCCTTAGAACACTATATACTGACTGGGTATTCTAGGTTCATCGGAAAGACTGGCGGAGAGATATTCCATGAAATGATGTTAAGGAGAGGTGTACGGCATGTCTGTATGTTGCAATCCTAACCGGACTGCCCACCTCCTAGATTTTTCTAATATGAGTCATAGTCGGTTATCCTGGTGGAGCCATTCTACCCGTTTTCGATGCCATCTACAACTCGAAACACTTCGACTTCATCTTACCAAAGCACGAACAGGGTGCTGGGCATATGGCCGAGGGCTATGCCCGCGCATCCGGAAAGCCTGGTGTCGTACTAGTCACATCTGGTCCCGGTGCCACCAATGTTATCACGCCAATGCAAGATGCCTTATCTGATGGCACGCCCATGGTCGTTTTCTGTGGTCAGGTTCCTACCACGGCTATTGGTAGTGATGCCTTCCAAGAGGCAGATGTTATAGGAATATCCAGGGCCTGCACGAAGTGGAATGTTATGGTAAAGAATGTCGCTGAACTCCCACGTAGAATCAACGAGGCTTTCGATATTGCGACTAGTGGACGTCCGGGCCCGGTTCTGGTGGACCTTCCAAAGGACGTCACGGCAAGCATTCTCCGAAAAGCGATTCCAACCGAGTCAGCCATCCCTGGTTTACCTAGTGCAGCATCGCGTGCAGCGATGGAGGCCACCCAGAAACAGCTTCAAGCTTCCATTCGTCGGGTAGCCGATCTCGTGAACAAAGCTAAGAAGCCTGTCATCTACGCTGGTCAGGGTCTTGTCTCATCGGTTGGTGGACCGCAACTCCTTAAGGAGCTGGCTGACAAGGCTTCGATACCCGTTACGACCACCCTTTTAGGCCTTGGAGCTTTCGATGAGTTGGACGAGAAGTCACTTTACATGCTGGGTATGCATGGCTCTGCATTTGCTAACATGGCTATCCAAGAGGCCGACCTCATCATCGCCCTTGGTGGTCGATTTGACGACCGTGTGACTCTGAATATTACCAAATTTGCACCGGCAGCCAAGGCCGCAGCCTTAGAGGGCCGTGGCGGTATCGTACACTTCGAAATCATGCCAAAGAACATCAACAAAGTTGTGCAAGCAACCGAAGCTGTCGAGGGTGATGTAGCCGAAAACTTGCGGAAACTAGTGCCACATGTACAAGCCAAGACTATGGAAGATCGTAAGGACTGGTTTGGTAAAATAAACGGCTGGAAGGCGAAATGGCCCATCCATGATTTTGAGCGTACTGAGCGAGCAGGGATGATCAAACCGCAAGTCCTCATCGAGGAGCTCAGCAAGCTAACCGCTAATCGAAAAGAGCATACAATTATCGCCACGGGTGTTGGCCAACATCAAATGTGGACAGCACAGCACTTCAGATGGCGACACCCCCGAACTTTGGTGACGTCTGGAGGTCTTGGCACCATGGGCTACGGTCTTCCCGCTGCCATTGGCGCCAAAGTTGCTCGACCCGACGCCCTCGTAATCGATATCGATGGTGATGCTTCGTTCAATATGACATTAACAGAACTATCCACCGCTGCGCAGTTTAACATTGGTGTCAAGGTTATTGTCCTGAACAACGAGGAACAAGGAATGGTAACACAATGGCAAAACCTCTTCTACGAAGACAGATATGCCCACACGCACCAACAGAACCCCGACTTCATGAAACTGGCCGATGCCATGGGTGTCCAGCATCGCAGACTTATCAAACCCGAGGAAACCGTTGAAACCTTAGAATGGCTCATCAACACAGATGGACCAGCTCTGTTGGAGGTTGTCACGGACAAGAAGGTGCCTGTTCTCCCTATGGTACCTGCAGGGTGCGGTTTACATGAGTTCCTGGTATGGGATGGAGGTAAGTGAATCGTCATCCTTCCGACATTATTTCTATAATCTGTCTGCTAACAACACAAAACAGCCAAAGATAAAGAGCGCAGGGATCTGATGCGCACAAGAACTTGTGGCTTACATAGCTAATTCTGTTTCACATGAGTTTTTTTTGCATTGGTCGTTAGCGATTGTGTTGCATTTCGGGAATACCATTAAGGTTATTAAAAAAGATGTTGGGGCCATAACCAAAAAGGCTTAAAAAATGGCGACGAGAAAGGAACCAAAAGTGAATCTTGACATCGCGTATAACAACCCAGCTTGGAGAAACTTGGCGTTGTTATTGGCACATGTTACCATTACTGTATATAATGCGGATCGGTGAATCCAACCTTGAAGTTGTAAAGATGAATATCATGTTAGGATTGTTCTCTATCCAGTTGAAGTTCCATGCAACGATGAATAGATATCCGAACCAACACACGCGACTTGTGCGCCCACCTACGCCAATCTTGCCAGTATATAGCGAGAGCCACCTACGCAAGATAGTAAATCAATATTATAACATAGTGTAATCGGCGACCAAGTCATTGTTTCTCTATGTGCTTCGGAGAAGTTCCGATCTTGTGTACACATGCCTACCTAACTCAAGGCATCGTGGAGAGGATCGGGACCTGGTCTTGTATCACTCACGAAATAGAAGCATATAATTTTATAAGTTGCAACTAGGTACCTACCTAGGCACATAACAGCAGCATTCAAGTCGTCATCATAGATCCGAAGAACGGAAACTACGAAAAATAACCTCTCAGGAGAGGTAAGTAGACCCATTCGTTTCTTCAGGGGGTGCTCGGGCCGCGACGGGGTTCTTAATAACTTGGAAGTCCGGAATGCTACCCAGGCGGTATACTATAGGCACTAGGTTAGGACCGTTAGGTACGGATAGCGTTAATGAAAAAGGGTTAAACGGTGTGTAGAATTTGAGTTTCCCGGGCATTTTACCACGTTGGAGTTTAATCATCTGTCACGGGTCCTGTTAAGCGGAACTTTATATGTATAGATTCCCATGGATATGTAAGTAATGTACCTAGGTTAGGTAGGTAGGTGTTAGATGGTGGCAGGTATGCTGGAATGGAAAGTGCGATACAGTGAGCATGTATTTAAGACTTTTTGGTACATAGCGAACCCTTTGGCAGTTCTCCGTAAATTTTAAGCCATCCTTTTCAACCTTCTTTTTCTGTACCTAGGTGTATAGCGGTAAGTATTGATGGTGTGTATTGCCGATGATATTGGTGAGAGATAACCTATGTGGGTACTAGTCAGGTAATATCCATGGAGTCGATGAATACTACCACCTGCCTTGAAAAAAAAGAAAAAAAGAAAGGATCCATATTATTACTACACGTCGTATCGGGTTGGACCCGAATCTGCTGAGAGAACAAGGCAGCTAATACTAGGTTGGTACGTGTGTAGTACCCGGTTGTTGGTTGCAACGGCCGTCATGCGGTCTGAAAAAGAAAGAAAGCCGTGATCGGCTCCGACGATATCGCCACGACTCGCACCCAAAAACCGCATATCGCTTAATCACAATGAGACAGGGTCCATGAAAGCGAGGTCGGCTAACTCTGTAGGTATGAATACAAAGTTCACCCCCGGGGCGAAAAAAATTCCAAAATGGAAAATAAAATGGGAGACAACCTAAATTAAGAGAAGAAGAATAAGTAGGAAAAGGTAGGAAAGAAAGTTGAGAGCCTACAGACTTTCCTCAAAACCGATCGTGGTTTTTATTCTATCTAGTAAGGTTGTTTCACGACATGTCGGAAACCTCATCACAGAACAGCAGTGATAGGAGGAATAGCCAAACCCCTACTACCGCTTCGGCGAAGGAAAGGGAGAGCTCAGAAGAAGATGGCGATGGTGCTGCTGGTGATAGTATGAAATCGCCGGACAAGGAAGGGGATGTCGGGGACTTCGCTGAGCCTCCGAGCGAAGCTCCCGTGGTTGAACCGCGACCCAACTACTCCGTCTTCACGGATTGGGAGAAAAGGGGTATCGTGCTTGGCGCTGCTATCGGCGCCTTCTTCTCGCCCCTCACAGCTCAGATCTACCTACCGGCGCTAAATGTCCTATCAAATGAGTTTCACGTCACCGTCAGCCAGATAAATTTGACTGTCACCACATATATGGTACGTGGAAGTTGGAGGTGGTGGTAGTGGTGGGGGGGTTGAGAGGAGATACCCATATGATTCGCCAGACCGGGCCGAAGCTGTGTGTGACATCCTATCTATACCTACTTACCTCTCAATAGATTTTCCAGGGGCTTACTCCAATGTTCGTCGGCTCTTTTGCCGATAGCACGGGCCGCCGTCCGGCATATTTTATTTGCTTCACCATCTACATTGTGGCCAATGTCGGGTGCGCTCTAGCTCCTAGCTACCCAGCTTTGCTGGTCCTCCGCATGCTACAGTCCGCCGGCTCTAGCACGACCGTGGCACTCTGCCAGGCGGTTGTTGCCGACGTCGTCACTTCGGCTGAAAGGGGCCACTACGTCGGATATACGTCTTTGCCCATTCTACTTGCACCCGCCATCGGCCCCGTGATAGGCGGTGTGCTGTCGCAGACCGTCGGCTGGCGGTTCATATTTTGGATCCTAGCGATCTTGGCAGGGGTCGTGTTTGTCATCCATGCCTTCTTCCTGCCGGAAACTTGCCGCGAGATCGTGGGGGACGGGTCAATCCGGCCGCACCCCGCCTACCGCACCTTCTGGCAACTTATTAAGGACTTTCGACAGCGGCGACTGCGTCGCCATGCGCAATCGGACGGTGCTTCCATCACGCACACGGAGTCGCGCACGTCCACGAGACGAAGCCTGCACATGAAGAAGTTCAACGTGCTGGCCTCCCTCATCATCCTCTTCGAGAAGGAGATGTTCCTGCTACTCATGTACAGCAGCTTCGTGTTCACGGGGTTCTACTGCATCTCGACGGTGATGCCGACACAGCTGTCGGCCATCTACGGGCTCGACGAGATTGAGATCGGGCTCATGTACCTCCCAATGGTGGGCGGCAGTCTTCTCGCGGCGTTCGTCAACGGCGGACTGATGAACCGCAACTACCGTCGGCACTGCAGGCTCCGTGGAGTGCCCTACGACAAGTCCAAACAACAGGACCTCGCGGACTTCCCCATTGAGCGCGCGAGGCTCGAGATTGGGTACCCGATGCTCGTGCTGTGTGTGGTGATCACGCTGGCCTGGGGCTGGGCGTTCGAGTACCGCGCCCACATAGCTGTGCCATGCGTTCTGCTGTTCTTGTTCGGCTGGGGCGCCGTCGGCTTCAGCAACACGATCAACGTCCTCCTCGTCGATGTGAACCCAGGCAGTGCGGGCGCCGCCACCGCGAGCAACAACCTGACTAGATGTTTGGTTGGCGCAGCGGCGACGGCGGTAATAGGACCCATGATCAACGGGGTGGGAATCGGATGGTCGTTCACCATACTAGGGGTCTTATATGTGGTGTTCTCACCTATGCTATACCTAGTCCTGAAGAATGGGGTCCGTTGGCGTAAGGAGAAATTAGAGCGGAAGCTGGCGGAAGAGGAGAGGAAGAATGGTGAGGCGCTTGGGTAAATACACAGGTGGATAGGTATGGATATATCCTCCTTTAGCGACTGAGTAAATAGAATATAACATTGAATAGAATAGATTTATACCTACACGCATTGAATTCTATTGGACAAACACAAACATTGAAAGGGTGAGTGCATACTACCTATGTACGACACAGTACTTCGTAGTGTGAGAAATTAGAAATGCTGTGTAACACTTTCTACCCAAAGCCAAGACCAGCCAAGCCATGTGACGATGCCTGTCGAATGGTCTCACCACGTTGACATGTACATGATACCTAGGTATCTATCTTCAACAATTAAGAAATTTACTCTGCTTATTCTTATTTGATCGGCTAACAAGTCTTTCCTTACCTACCCAATTCTTCAATGGATGGCTATATCTGGAAATTGTTCATGTGGTTGAGAAATTTATGTGTCCCTCCTTACCTGGTACCTACGCTGAGTCTTAGTCGAGCGGCTCAAGCCCCCCCTGGTTCGTGGATTTAGGTAGAGCATGACGTATCCGTATTTCGGGGCAATTGGTGGGATATTTACCGAGAGCTTGGATTTTCTTCTTTTTTTTCCTGTTCTTTAGTTAGATACGAGTTCGTGAAGTACGAATACCTGACTTAATAACAGCGTTAAGAGGATAGTTTAGAAAATTGTTGAATTACATACCTACTAGTAATACTACAAAAACACTTGGGCAATGATGTATGATTGCTCTATACAGCAAGTACTAAATAGTAGTACTTATTTTTATTTTCTCTGGAATCCCTTACATAAATTCCGTACGAGTGGATTGTCTTGGTGCATTATAGGTACCCAGTCCACCGGTGGTGGGCGTGCTCCGGCCAATTGCTCGGCGCGGTTGGTCGCGGGGTATTCTCAATCCTAGCTAAGGTGGGCAGGTACCTGATGACGATCATGGAAGAATGGAAGAATGAATACCATGTAGTTAGGTATGTTTGCGATCTTGTGATTCCATTCTGTCTGACACTTTTAAGGCTATATGTATGTATATGTCTCGCTTCCTTAGGTATTTTGAATCGTTATCCTTATATGTATCTTTTATGAATGATTTATTTACCTCCTTACTTACCTCCTTACCTATATCTATAGCACCTCAAGTGCTATACCAGCATTGTTTCTAACGTCAATTTCAATGCTATTTAACCCAAGAGCTTAAAGTTTCCAAGTTTATAGAAAGTACCTAATATCGACTTAGTCAAGGTACCTACACCTACCTAGTAGTATACATACAGGTACTAGAAGGAAACACTAAGAAACTCAATTGACAAGGGAAGAAGCAGCAGCTCTGGGAGCGCAAAGCGGGGCATCGTTCTATACAGCTGCTTTCTCACTTCTCTTTACCTTTCACCTCTTTTTCTTTTCCTTTTCTCCTACCGATTAATTCTATATACCCTCACCCAAAAAAACAAAATCATGTCGGGACCTGTACCCACGGTCACTGCGCTGCAGGACATTTATACCCAGCAGGCCCTGGATGATCAAACCGTGCGGTGGAACAAGTTGCTCGACAAATTCCAGGCCCTCTATGGCAGCCCTGCCCAATTTGTCTCGCGATCACCAGGTCGCGTGAACATCATTGGCGAGCATATCGACTACTCCCTATACTCGGTCCTACCCATGGGAATGACCCCTGATGTCATTCTTGCCGTATCCACCGACCTCGAATCTTCCCAAGAGGGTTCTTACACCATCAAGCTAGCAAACGTCGATAACGAACGATTTCCCACGCGCGAATTCAACGTGCCATACTCGGAAGTCGATATTGACGCAACGATACACGAATGGACCAACTATTTCAAGTCCGGGTTAAGGGGAGCACTGCAGTTGTTGAAGAAGAAATATGGAGCAGACTTCAAACCCAAGAGCATGCAGGTCTTGATGGATGGAACAGTACCCGCTGGTGGTGGCCTCAGTTCCAGCGCTGCCTTTGTGAGCGCTAGCGCATTGGCAGTCATGGTTGCCAACGGCGAGCGCGAAGTCGACAAGAAGGCTTTGACCGAGGTTGCGATCGTGAGTGAACGAGCGGTTGGTGTAAATTCTGGAGGGTAAGTTCGCTTCCACCAAGTATGAAAATCGTCATTTAATGTAAAAACACAGAATGGACCAATCTGCCTCGGTCTTCTCTGAACGTGGATCGGCTCTCCTGGTTTCTTTCACCCCGTCCCTCTCGGCCCGGCCCGTCTACTTCCCTAAAACCAACCCCGAGCTCTGCTTTATGGTTGCCCAATCCTTTGTTACTTCCAACAAGCAAGAAACGGGGCCCATTCACTATAACCTCCGAGTGGTGGAGTGTAGCATGGCGGCGGCATATTTGAATGCCAAGCTATGCGCCAAGGGAACCGAGCTCCCCAAAGACGCAGGTCCCCTGGGTGTTTCTATTCGTGGATTCCACCAGAACTACTTTAAAGACACCAAGAAGTCAATGCCTGAACAACTCAACGAGTTGATCAAACTAGTCGAGTCGACATTGACTCAGGAGGAGGGATACACTATCGAAGAAGTCGCATCTGGTATCGGTATATCGGTTGAGGACGTCAAAGCTCGGTTCATGTCCAGCTTCCCGGTGCGGGGCGAACGTTTCAAGCTTCGCCAAAGAGCATTGCACGTGTTTACCGAAGCCCTGCGTGTCCTGCAGTTCCTATCCCTCCTCGAAGATCCAGCCCAGGCGCCTGATTCAGAGCACACCGTGGAGTACAACGGCAAGCTCGGCAAACTAATGAACGAGACGCAAGACTCGTGCCGAGACATTTACGAATGCAGCTGTCCCGAAATCGACGAGCTGTGCCGCATTGCGCGCGAGGCTGGGAGCTACGGCAGCCGACTGACGGGCGCGGGCTGGGGTGGATGCAGCGTACATCTGGTACCTGCTAACAAGATCGAGGACATCAAGAAAGCGCTCTTGGAAAAGTATTATGCTAAGCTAAACCTGCCCGAGAAGGACTTGAGCGAGGCTATTGTGGTTAGCCGGCCGATGAACGGAAGTGCTGTTTTCCAACTCAGTGATGGGAAGCTATAAGTATATCTCGTTAGATAGTATTCATCGTATATAGTGAGAGATATTACAATTATGTTTTGGACTTGGCATGTGACTTGTAGTTTATATTGTGGTGATCTTTCATGGCGAGAAGAAGAGTAAAAGGTTTGGTGAAAACAATGATTAGGTGAATAAGGGGCCCTGTTTAGTTTAAGGTAGCATTGCTATACTGTTCAAGAATAAATGTTACTACTACACAGCAGGTAAATATAGTTAGCTCAAGCTTACCAAGAGGTTAGAAAGATCCGATTCCCAAGAAGCCCACTTAAAAGAAGCCGACCCCTAAAACATTTAGAGCAACTTACAAAAATCCCGAGACATGATTGGTCGCATTCGCTAACTTGTTGCCCGATTGGGAAATTCTTCACGACTAGGACCCCTGAGATGAGTTGAAGGCTTGGGTGCTTGCCACTGCTTGGATTCCAGGCGTGGAAGACTATAGCGTGCTGATTCCTCGTTTACAGTTGTTTTGTTTATGAGGCTGGCTACTAACTACTTCGCACAATGTCAGTATCCTCAAGTTACCTAGGTAAGTACTAGGTAGGTAGGGCAGTACCTAATAAGCAACAGCCAAAGTTGATATTTTATAACCATGAATACCTCAGTACCTATTTTATGTACCCCAATTCCAACCGATCACCTAAGGGAAAGGGAAACAGAAAGCATCAACCTAAACACCACCTAGAGCTAGAACAGAAGAAACATAGCTCATAGTGAAACCCCAGACCCGAAAGAGAAAAGCAAACCCCAGAACCTATGCCATGCCACGCCTTTACTATGCCTTGCCATGTCATCTTCATTTAGATAGACACCCCCCCTCCCCCCTCCTAAGCCAAATCTCCATAATAACATAACTAGCCCCCTTATCGAACACCTCGCTTCGACCTTCGCTAGCAAAGCCACTGCTCCTCCTCTCTCTCCCCCATCCCCCATCTCCCTTCTCCTTCTCCTTCTCCTTCTCCTTCTCCTCTAGCGCTGACACTCCCTCCCCTCCCCACCCCACCCCCCCTCAAACCCCCCAGCCCCCCCAGCAGTCATGCTCCCACCACCACCACCACCACCACCACTATTATCACTAGGTACCAGCAGGATACCGCGCAGCAGCAGCAGCAGCAGCGAAAAGCGGGCGGACCCTCCCGTTGCTGTAGCGCCGGATGCGCCCGCAGCTCTGGTTGACGACGTGCTTGTCGCGCGCGGTGGTGCGCGTGAAGAAGGCGCCGCAGTGCCGGCAGCACGCCTTGCGCACCTCGCGCTGCTGCGGCGGCGCCTGCTCCTTCTGGTGCCGCACCAGGTTGCCCCGCGTCGAGAAGCGTCGGCCGTTGCAGCCGTGGTCCCAGCATTGGGTGGATGTTGATGTTGGTGTGGTGGTTGATGTGGAGGTGGTGGTGGTGGATGGGGATGTTGAGTCGTTTGGGGTAGGGGTGGTGGGCGAGGTGGAGGTGGAGGAGGAGGAGGAGGAGGTGGTGGTGGGGAGATGGTGGCTGTGGCTGTGGCTATGGGAGCGGTGGTGGTGGTTGTTGCTGTTGTTGTTGTTGGTGGCAGGGCTGTGGTTGGGTTGGTTGGTGGTCGTGGAAGAGGCGGAGGAGGTAGAGGAGGTGCGGGACGAGGAGTTACGAGTAGAGGTGCGGATGGTGTCGCTTCCTGCTTGAACTCCAGGAGGTGGAAGAGGAAGATTGGTGAGTCGGGAGTGGTGGTCGTCGGGTAAGGCATCTTGCGGTGAGAACATATGATACGAAGAGGGTGTGTAGTCCGTAGGTAGCATAGGTGGTGTGGGCAGAGACGTGCTTGGACCCGGCCAAGTGTCCTCGGGGCTCGTTCCGTGCCCTACTACTTGCTGGTGTTGCTGCTGCTGCTGTGCGTAGAGGACTGATTCAGGGGTCCGCAGATCTAGAGAATCCACCCGGCACGAGGGTTTAGCACGGCTCGTGAGATAGGGGGTAAAAGAGGAAGAGGTAAATTCACGGAATAGGTGGATGTCTTTGACCCCCTGAACACCTGCCATCCACGATGGCGGGCAGATCTGTTGCAAGCCGAGCAGGTCTTCATCGTGCACGTTGATGTTATCGATTACCACTGACTCCTCGAGGAAATTGCCTGGTAAAGGGTAGTTGTGGTCGGATGGGCAGAGAGAGTAGCAGTGGCCGTCCATGGATGAAAAGGATCTCTGTATACCAAAATAAACTGAAACTAGCTGTCTTAGACATCAACTAGAAACAGGGTGCAAAGAAGCAATAGTGGGAAGTGGTTAAGGGTAGTCATCTCGGTGAGTCGCTTGTCTTCGGGGCTACTGATCCTTATCTGTTGTGTCTACTGGCAGTGGTGAAGGGGGCCGATATAATATACCTACCTAGCCTAACCAAAGAGCTATGAGCAAATGGAAGGGCTGAGTTTCAATAGCCTGCATGCTGGCATCTTTTGGCAACTTCTTGCGCAGAGCACCAGCCCAAACCTACATAGATACATCACGTTGGGTGACTTGTTGGCCAAGTAGATTACACCTAGGTAGTTACTTCGACGTTCCATAGAGCCATGTATACCTAGGCTAGGCAGTTACCTAGATATGTAGTGATAGTTGATATTGTGCACTTATTTGCCCAGGTGGGAAGTGATCATAACGGGGCAATTAGACGATTTCGGCTACAAACCAACGCCGCTATCCCATAGGATCGTCATATTTTCTTTCACGGGGATGCAATCGTTGCATTTCCAGTCGACTTGGATCCAGAGCACCTTGATGGAGGGGGCATCGTCACTTCCAATGCAACCAAGTTTCCAGTTCCCAACTTTTGCTTCAGTTTCCCCGGATTTGTATCCGACTTTGGGCGCCCAATAGACTTATCTCCCTGCCATCCAAGATGGCGTATCTTATTACCGGTTACCAAGTTTCGTCGAGACCAATGGGGGGGATTTAAAACCATGATGACATCTAGATAATCCCCCCAGCCTTAGGTCCAAAGGCTGCCATGCATGTATGTACCTGGGTATTTGGGTATGTCCTATGGACGCGCTGGTGACGATGGTAATTCCTTGAATACTAATCTACCTGGTAATGTAGGGGTTACATTGCACATTCACCACACACGCGAGCCAATAACATCTCGGGCGCGTAAAACATTGTCCTATATGGTAATAGTATAGTATAAACCCCGAGTAAATACTTCCAAGTCCCATACTTACCTAGGTAGCAAATGCAAATTGATAGCAGGGAGGAGGGTGATGAACCAGGCTTTGTAGTGCATACCGTTGCTGATCTTATATCATGGCTTCTATCGAAAAAGATTTCGAACTTTTCGCAATCTGTGAAACTTGCCAAGAATCTCTCCGATTGCGCAGCCGAGCGTGCCATGCTCTCTAGTTGGGCAGATCAACCTCCTCGCGTCGTTATGCGGCGCGAACGTGGAATAATAAAAATTGGGGAAAAGAAGATGATGTGACCGGGTGGAATTTCCACTCGTGGCCAATACCTTGTCCGTGGATTCCGGCCCGCCTGTGGCCTGGCTTGGGCACTGCATGATGGCGTTTCGAAGGGGGTCCAGTTACTGGCCGTGGCCAAGCTGACAATGCAGCGCGAGTCGCGAGGAGACGTTTGTATAACCGAGACCTCTCCCCGTTCATTGGCCCTTTTCTGGAATCATGACATCCAAGCTACCGACACAGCCAGCAGTTGTGCTACAAACTTGCTCGGCCGACGCGGCAACGATAGGTATTACGGTACTGCAGTACCTATGTATTGCAGATATTTACGCCACACCTCTCGCCGCTCACGGTGCGTCGTCTCCCAGCCTGCTTTACGACGCCGGCGTACACCACCAATCATACCCAATCCATGCCTCGGTGCAAAAGGCCACACACCGGGGGGGACTGCAAGAGCAGCACCATATTGGTTTACCTTCTCCTTTCTTTCTTTCTTCTTCGTCGTCGTCGTCTTCTGTCACGTACATATCAGCATATAATAAGCTCTGCACCTTTTTTTTACTTAGGCGCCTAAGTATGTATCTTGGCCGGCGCGATTCGCGGCAAAAAGTATATTTAAGTGGTTGGTAGGTATATATGTAGTTAAAATATTGTCCTTGACCGCTCATCAACGCCACAAATACTAGGTAGCCAAGGCAGAATCGCAGGCGTGCAGCTGAAAGAAACCCCCCCCCCCCCCCCCTTTTTCGGACCATCCTTCGATGCCGTAGAGGGTGATGGGATATTAAGTTGATGCCTGCTGGGAGATATTGATCGCAAGAGTTAATACAGGAACGAGTAAGTGCAAGCGAAATCGGATCATGCTGCCACTGACATTAGGTTAGGTTAATAGGCTGAGAGACCACGCGTGGGGATCTACTTACTGTACGGCCATACCTAGGTACCTACCTGGTAGGCATTTCTCGATATGTGTAACACATCTCATCAGCATCGATGATCGTACAGTCTTTCAGTCCTGCACCGGAGGCCCGAAGCCCCTCTATCTTGATCGCTCCTCCGATCAGATAAAAGCCCCTTTCTACCTCTCAAAGCACGTGATCTACATCTCATAGCTCCGAGGTACCGGATGTCCATCACGCAGGACTGAAAATCTTGGGGAGGGGTGTAAGCAATAGGATCACGCTTGGCTTGCGGGGCGTCCCGAGAGGTTGTGTGATAGGAAGACTATGTGGGCGTACGGAACGAACGTTGACAGGTGTTACGGATGTGGCTCTACTAGCTCAGGGGTTTACCGAAATAGCTTGACGTAAAGCCGATTTTTACTTCCTATTACGAGAGTGGCCAATAGGCAAATTTGCTTAGATGGCGCAAGATACCTTAGATAGGTACCTAGTCAGCAGAAACGGCGGTTCATCACCAGGTACACCAGCACGATACCATCTCATCGATAAGATTATTCTCCGCCTATCCCCGAATCAAATCACCAATGAAGCCGCATTCTGAAGATTCGTCGCTTCGAACCCTCCTTCACACCCCTGTCCCTGGAGTCGACAATTAGGCACATACAGCGCAGCAGATGATCCCGAGATTTGGATTATTATCGAAGAGCTCATCCACTCAACGTAACGTGAACGACCTCTACAGAATCTCAAAAGATGTTAATACCTAGCTAACCTAGAAAACTCGCAACGATCGAAGCCTGTCTCGTACAGGGTCGAATCTGACCCGATCAGGGGGTCATGCCGTTCTAACAGTCATACCCATATCGGTATGCATCTTGACTTACACGGTTGGAATATCGTGATTGAAGGCGGCCAAATAGCCGCAATGATGTGGTAGAAGCAGATACCGAGACCTTGACGAACGAAAACACGGTTTGAGGTGCGCGGATAAGACGCTGTATCTGTGAGGCAATGGTGGAGTGAGCATGTATTGATTTGTTAGTTGAGAAGGCCGAGAGCTGAGATGCTTACCTGCCTACCTAGGTACCTAGTAGATATATAGAGTACTCGACATCTGCCATGAGGGGCAGCTTATGCTTTACATAGTCAAGAAGCCACTTTACTTCAAAACAGCAATTGAGAGACTTATATCGATATGATTTTTATCTGTGTCGCGAACCCCCTTTTCTCATGATCCGTCCTATATAATCCGCTGCAATAGCTACATTAAGCTTCGCATCTCTTTTGGAAGACGTGAAAACCATAAAACACACAGAATATAATCATCCAGCTTCTATTTGATCAAGCTACACGCTATTTACGTGACACGACGTGTTCCAGCACTTGGGTTACGTAAAGTCCATACTCTCGTTCCATGCCCATGTCCATCATCCCAATCATCCCAGCCATGCCAACCGTCCAACCATCCAAGCATTACAATTACATCCTATATCATATCCTCGTCGTCTTTCCGTGGGAATGTATTATACAAACATTATATCCTATTCCTATACACAAGTAGTACCTAGTTCGAAGACCTTCACGACTTCGCGTTAGCTGGGGGCCGATAATCTCCCATTGTTATCTTAGTGACCACGAGCGAATCGACGGCTCACGGTCTCATTCCAGGCCGGGTAGGATGTGTGCCAAAACCCATCATCATGAGTGCTAGAGCTCCAGCTCCAACTTGACGTGGGTACAGACACGGGCAAGGATGTCGTGTAGACCGTCGTGGGATAGGCAATGGTAGCTGTCGTAGGTTGGGGTAGAGTTTTTGTTAGTGAGGTTGAAGTAACAGCCGTGCTCGACGACTTATGAGACGCAGACGCAGACGCAGTAGAAAGAACCGGGGTTGGACTGGAAGGAGGCGATGTGTTTGTCGTCGTCGTTGTGGACTCTGTTTTTGGGTACGATGTGGTTGGCGTTGGCGTATCATCGTCTTCAGTCACAGTAGTCGTCAGGATGCTGATTGTAGATTGAATATCGACAATGGAGACGGTAGTAGAAACAGTACGCGTCGAAGGTTCAGAGGTAATTATTATCGTGTCAGTGATTGGGGGAGACGACTGGACTATTGTTTTCGTAGTCGGAGATGGGGTCACGACAATTGTCTTGACAGTTGTGCCAGAGCTGTCAGAAGTCTTGGTCGATCCCCCACCATCCCCGCCATTCCCATTCCCATTCCCATCAATCGGGACCACAGAATAAGTGGCGCGAGCTGCCAGCGGCTTAGTAGATGGTGCTCTTTTCAAGGCAACAAAAGGCAATGAGAATGCGCCTTCATGAAAAGACAGCAAGATACAGAGAAGCGAGATCGGCGGAGGTAGATGCATCTTGGGTCAACACCTCAAAAGTCAAAAAGAACTTGCTTGATATATGGTTGAGGGTTGCGAGATTTGGCACCTTACAACTTGACGGAATGGGGGAGATCTACAAGAACGAAAAAAGAGGACGTATAAGGTAGACTTACCAAGATGCACCTAGCCTTTTATTACAATAGGTGGAACACATATTTGGGTATGCAGGAGTACTACTAGTAGTAGCAATCTTGAATTGACGATATTCAGATGGTTGGGAGGTTGGCATGTGCAGTATAAACCTTGCACATTTTGATATGTATGCACTATAAATGAACATGAGGGCCCATTGAACAAGCTTCAACAAGGTGGCTGGTAAGTGGGTCATACATGGGGTCTCCACACTAGAGCATCCGGGGTGTAATTTGATTGGTTTAAGCTTACCCCAGCCACAGGATATTCACTACCTAGTACCTATTAGGTAGTACCTAGTATTTTAGGAAGGAGTAACTACAAGTACCTGCATTAGTTCTATCGGGGAAATTCAAGTCTAGATTTCTCACTCCGTAGATTTATTCTACTAGGTTAAGAAGTCACCACCAAGATCTAGTTATTCTGTTGGTGTCTATAGTTACAAGAAACAGGAAAGTATAACTACCCAAATATGAGGTGATACAGGAAAGTTCGATGATAACCTTGGAGATTGCCAAACATTGAATGTCATACATATCTAGTACATCTAAGGTATCACATATTAGTATCATCTCCCTACCTCATCAATGATACATCATACATACACATTCAGACTTCACACCCACACACATTTCAACATTTCAACATAGGCCCTATTGACTAGTAAATAAACCTGGATCGATAATTTTGGGTATTCAATTATGGAAAAATTCCTTCCTATCCCTGCTAAGACCCTTGTTCCTAACAATGACTTCGCGATACCACAATTCAATCAACCTGTGTACAAGACTCCGATCCAAATACCTCTACCCGTGCAATACATCTCACCAGAATTAGCCCGAACGAAGATTCGATCATTGGCCACATACATTTTGGGCTGCTGGGAATCCCTGAAAAGCGTTTTTGGTCAGCATGGACAAATGATCCAAACCCGCTGGGTCGAGATGTCTATCCCCCAACGCAAGGCTATATTAACCAAGGTCTGGCCTAAAATACCAATTGTACATCGCCCCGACCTCGCAGCTTGGAGACTTGAGCACATCAGCCCAACTCCAGCCGACTCTACAGATCACTGCCCATATATGTGGCCCCATCTCAACCTCGAAGACCTTTCTCAGCCTACGCCGCTCTTGCTGATGCTCAATTCGAGGACAGAGCATCCACCACACACCTTTGTATATATGGATGTCACAAAAAGTACGTTTGGCCACCGCTATAGACGCCTCACGTTCGAATCAGTTCACAATCACTTTATGGTGTTCAAGGATCGCGAAACGGCTGAGACTTACGGTCAACTCTACAGCAATGATGACCCCGATGGCATCGCAGAAATAGCAGTATATCAATATATCTATACTCCCGAAAACGGACTCAGGGCTATGGAAATTCAATTATGTATTTATTGCCTTCTTGACGACGTTTGCCGGGAAATTATGTGCGCTGTTCCAGCAGAAGATGTTCCAGAAAAAGATGTCGTGGGAAGTTACTTGCCATATCAACCTGCACCTGAGGTGATTTTAAACCAGATGGACTCTGACGAGGTTGAAAGCCTTGCCGTTGCGTCGTTAGAAGCTTTATATGGAGCACCATCCCACCTTAATCTTAATCGTATGGAGGCGCTTGTCAAGGCAAAGCTATCGAGCGCAGAGAACCACCTCTGGGCCTTGAGAGAGAACCCGGGTTACTTCGCGATGGTGGCTTAGCAAGTCGCAGACCATCGACCCGAGCACATACTTAACTCCAATGGCTCAAAACACTTAGTATTTACCGATAACGCAAAAGACGTATTCTGGGGGCGAGTCTTCAGCACCATCATCTGCAGCGCCTTCTTGGAAGTTGACATCCTTCATGAGCTAAGCCATAAGATCATCCATCTAAGCCTACTTGCAGACATGTTTCAGGTCACGTTTGCCCCCCAGGAGGAGATACAACAAGAGCTCATGGGTCCATTTTGGGAGCTTCAGTATATAGTACGTTTCTGCGCAAGCGGAATTCTAGGGAGTGGATTTCTCAGGGAAGCCATTTGTAGTTCACCCGCCACACGAATGTTTTACCGTTTCAACAAACTGGGTGCCAAGGCAGATGTTACGCTCTGTCCCGAAGTTCATCGGACTGAAGCCGAAGATTATCTGGTCTGGCTTTTGACTCACCTCTCGGACAACATTCATCATTGGGACTTCGGCGGCAGGACTATCTCGGTCGAGCTTGAACTATTCCTCAAGAACAACCCCGCAATGTACCAATATGTAAGTCCTTGGATAAACCGCCATGTGTCGCTCATTGGTCTCCTTGGGGAATTTTTGGGTCAGCTTGAGGATGTTCATCCCAACGATTTAGCTTATGCGTCTTATTTCACTGAGCACAGTGCGAGGCTTACGCATGCTTTTTTTGAAGAACACCAACCCATGTACGCGTTGCTATGTATGAGCGATGTGGAATGGACCGTATTGGCCAATCGTTTCCTGTGGTTTACGGAGGAAAGGTTCGAGTACCCTTTTGAGCAGCCTCCCACCATAGAAACGGTCGACAAAATGAGGCAAGCAGAGCTGTACATGGACACGTTCTGGGAATCACTAATCGACCATTTAGAGAACATCAGTCCCAAGTGGAATGGCCTCCCATTACGGGTGCAGCATCTTTTTCGAAGCCGCAGACTACGGAGGACTAAGCCGTGGAAGAACATGACATCTCCCATGGCAATAGAATCATCTTCAATATCATCAGGCTCCTCGTCATCTGATAAAAATCCTACCTTTCGTGTCGATGAGCGCTCTCTCAAGGTGTTCCACACTCTGCTCTACGAGGGACGCGATCTTTCCCGACTAGAGAGCATAGGCTGGGACGACTTCGTCTACGCCATGAAGTTCATGGGCTTCGCCGTCGAAAAATTATTTGGGTCGTCGTGGTTCTTCAGGCCCACCGAAGAGGTATTGTGGCGACCCGAAGACATCATGGTCGAGGAAGTGCCAAGCGTGAATGGCAAGATGGTGCTCGTGGGGGCTAGAGTGCTTGGGGATCACCTCAAGGCCCGTTTCGGATGGGAGCGCAGTATGTTCGTGCTGGCTGTCCCCGAATCCGAGGCAAGCACTTCTCAGGTAAATGTTAGTGGAGCGTGATGATGGGATTTGTTTCACTTGGCTTATTGAGGCTACCTGTTCTGTTCTACTCTTCATGCATAATCAGAAGTAGGTATAATGTTTTCGGGAGGTGGATGACGAGTGCAGATGGCACTCTTCGGTCTTTCCACCATCCCCCAGTTTAGAAAGTTTACATAGAAGTTGCTCTGCATGCCCTATATCAAGGCATGAGTTTTTTTTTTTTACATTGATACAAGTTTGATATGGCACTTTTAAACTATAAACATCGAGATTTGCAAGTCAGATTATGATAATGAAGTTTCAGATTTGCATCTATTTTCTTTTAACTAATATCACTTTGGTTATGTCCTGGCCTGGCTACTTGCACCAATCTGGACCATTTCCCGTACCTATTGGATGATCCGAATTCGGTCAATGTAAGGAGGTAGGTTAGGTAGGTTAGGTAGCTAGCTAGTAGGACAACCTATCCTGGAGGGAATGAAGAACATGGCCAGAACTTATAATACAATTAACACCGTCCCATTGTTGTTGTTTTTTTTGTTTTTTTTTTTTGGGGGGGGGGGGGGGGGGGGGGGGGGTTGGTTTTCGATGGGTTTCCCAGATGAGATAATGGGGGTCGTGCCTAGGTAATAGGTGATAGCGAGTAACAGCCAACCAAGTCGCCTAGCTATTAATCAACTACCCAACGGACCAACCTATCGATTTCCAATAGCACCACCACCGCCATCACTCCCAGTCACATGTTTTTATGACTGGTGAGCCCCGGTCACAGGGCAGACGCCGGAGGAACCCTCGACGGCGGGGTGGACGACGACCTTGTCCTTGTGGTGGCCGACCTGGGCCTTGGTGACGGGGCAGACGTCGGCGTCGGACTTGTTGGCGGTGCTGGGGTGGTCGGGGGGCAGGACGGTGGTCACGGGGCCGACGACGGGGCATACGCGGTCGTCTGTTTTTTTGTAGGTGTTAGTGATGATGATGATGATGGTGATTATGATGGTGGCGTGGAGAAGTCAGTGGGTCAGAGGGGGGTAGGGAGTGATGGGGTTGGGGGGGGGAGGGAAGTGGATGGTCGACAGATAGATAGATAGATAGATAGAGTAAGGATTATCACGTACCCATCTCCTGGCTCTTGGTCTCGTTGACGACGCCCTTGAGCGCGGGACAGGCCGAGGCGTCGGCGGAGCCGACGGACTTGGTGGTGGCAGAGGAGACGTCGCCCTGGGGGACGGAGGGGTGCTGGTGCAGCTTGGTGTGGTGCTCCGACTTGGCGCCGACGACGGGGCAGGTTTGCCCGGGCTTGGAGAGGTCGATGTCAGGGTGGGATGGGGGGAGGGTGTGGTTGGTGGTTCCGACTACGGGGCAGACTTCAGCGGAGGCCATGGTTGATTATTGGTGTTGATCTTTGTTTGTTTGTTTGGTATGGATGTAGGTTGCTTGAATGTATTATCTAATGTTAGATCAGATAGATAGATAGGTGGATGTGGATGTGGATGTTATAGGTGGGATAGATTCCTTTGATCTTCGATGGGCAAGCAGGAAGGAGTAGAAAGGGAACCAGTGTTTAAAGAGGAGAAAACGGGTTTTATTTAAGGTTGCGGGTATGAAAAGGAAAACAGGACTGAAAGAAGAAAGCTTCGTTGCTCGAAGCCCAGGTCATCGATTGTTCATTTAAGGTTCCCCATGTTCCTCAAACAGTTTTTTGAAAGCTTGCCATAGTACCTAGTACTGACTGTACTGTTTGTACATGCTAAAGGTACCATAGGTATGCAATCTACGTCATGCTACGCTCGTTTAGGAAAATAGCTTGGACGCTGGGCGATCGTGATTTGTATTAGCGAAGCGTTGATTGGCTGGCCCTGGCCAAATCCGGCCCAGTAGGGCGAGTATTGTGGATCTGCTTCATACAGGGGTGTGTAAGTGCTAGAAAGTACTTAGGTACCTGCTTGCTTATGCGCCACTACCTAACGTTAATTGATCTCATGATCTCATGATCTTTTTTCGTAACATGAGCCAATCCAACATTGAACATTAATACAATGTACATTAGATAAGTACCTAGATGCCTAGATAGGCGTGTACATACCTAGTAGCATCATGAACTGTAATTGGGCAGCAAGATACCAGCATATCGATAAATGCTATGTATTCTCTAAACAGCCCCCTTTTTTTACTTCCCCCTTTTCCATAGTTACCCCCTTTACCTGTAGCCCCAACTCAACTTTCATAAATCCACCACCACCAATCACCGCCAACATGGTAGCCTTCTCAGCCCTAGCCTTCGTCACCCTATCTATGTCCTTACCTACGAGCGCAATACGCACATTCACATACATCGCCTGCTTCGACCACCCCGGCGACTCCCAGCTCCACTCCCGAAGCATATTCCAATCCGTCGGCGGCTGCGACAATGCCTGCGTCGCCATCAACAACCCTGTGATCGTTCTTACCAATAGCACAGACTGCTTGTGCGGCTTCGCGCTCCCCCCGCCCAGCGCGGTCGTCGATGATTCGTGGTGCGATGTCCCCTGTCCGGGGTATATCAGGGAGTCGTGTATGAATCAATCGTTTTGAATGCCATTATTTGCCTACTATCACTGTCTTTTTTTTTTTTTTTTTTTTTTTTGGTGTGTACTTAGATCGTTGGCTAACCGTTAGCGAGTGCAAAGGTGGTGCCCCGGGATTCTTCTCGGTCAGGCTCTATGCAGAACCGGATGAGCTTGGGATTTGCTCTACCTAGTAGACAGGTGGTTGAAATCTCGGCGTAGCTTGTCGAGGCCACGAAAAGTGAAGTTGGCTTTTGGGAGAAGCTGCCTATCAACTTCATGGCATTTGATTGGATTCGATTGTACGCGCGAATCAACCGTCGTGTGTAGATAAACCCATATGTGTCATGGGCAAGCCCTTCCTTATTAGGCTCGCAGCGCGTGAACAGATGAGTTGGAAGTAAGCGTAGGAGTTACGAGAATGAAGCTACCCGTGTGGATAGTATCAAAAAGCCTGTGGATTTTGGGAAATTTATCCATCGATTTACTAGCAGCAGTCAAGATTTGCTGATTCGAGAGGCGTGGTCATGAAAACAGCTGGCTGATATCACGGAGAGAAACCCATATCCAATGGTCATATGATTATCTGGTAGGCTGGGTCTATATCACAATCAAGGGTATCTCAATATCTGTCTTATTTCTCATTTATTATGAGAATACGCAACTTGCAAGGTCACAATACTACCGTATCTCACTTTGGCCATCACTTATGCCCACAATAGGAGGTAAGTGCCTAGACTCTTTCGCATAGAAACATAAAATCATATATTCATCGCTGCTGCTTATGATGACAACTACTAGATCACCTCACAGTTTCTAAGATGTCCCCGAGCAACCCACGAAGTTATTCCCACTTGCACCAGTGTGCGTGATTTCACCCGCCAGCTTGCATGATGTGTTGATGATAACCCGGTCCGGCCCAGGGGATCCTGCATTGTTTATCTGTCAGCCCGATGCAATAGCATGTACCTATCTACTTATGCCTAACCTACGCCATACAAAAGGAGAAAGGGGAAGAAGACATCAGATACATAAAAAAATAAAATTCATGAAAAAAAAAAAGGGAGTTGCTTACCACCAGTATACACGCTCCCACTCGACAATAACGGGAACTCAAGGTACGGCCCGGAGACGACAAAGGAGAACCCCTCGTAGTTGTTGTACGTGTGCGGGTACCCGCTGGGCGCGTCGCCCGAGCTGTAGTAGCTGCACGCCTTCTGCGCCGCCTGGTTCACCTGCGTCGCCGTGTACGACGTCGAGCCGCACGTCGTCGCTGCGAGTTCTGCGCGCTCGGAGATGGGGATGGAGGCGGCGGTGGTGATGAGGGCGATGAGGGGGAGGAGGGAAAGGGAAAGGGAAAGGGAAAGGGAAAGGGAAAGGCGGGTGGTGAAGAACTTCATGGTGGTGGTTTGCTTGGGTGAGGTAGGTGGGTATTCAGGTGAGTAAGTATCTAGCTTAAGATTTCTTTGAGCAGTTTGGCTGGAATGCGAAGGGTGACTGCGAAGTAAGACAAGAATGAGTGAGCGAGCGAGTGATCTGGCTACACTATATATAGGTACTAGAAATCCCTATCTTGGTACCTACACAACCAAGCATATCCAAGAAGAATATAGAAAACCACCCTAAAGTTCTCTTCCAGGCATGGTATGGTGCCTGGCGATCCTCCTTCCTCACGGGGTACAAGGCACCGCAAGGAGTGCCATCGAGCCTCCTATAACAGATTGCGTGTTATAGATGGATGGAACGGCAGGTTTCTTGTTCTGGAAGCAAGCACCGAAGTATTCTTTCTTTTTCTTTTTTTGCATGCGTAACAGTTGCATGTGTGCCAGATAGATAGGTCACGACTCAAAGGGGAAGGTCCAAAGATAATGGGACGGCACGAACGTTGCGAACGTGCCGATAAAGTTGGTGGAGAGGTATGGTAGAGGAACTCGATGGTTTCGTGAAGAATGCGGGGAGGGTTGGTAATGGGTGGCCGTGGCATAGGATCGCTGGACAGATTGGTCTAGGCTTGAAGGACACAAGGGTTTCGGCTCCCACCATGGCTGATGTCTCTGGTGCTATTGGCGATCAACGAATGAGCTGAAAAGGAACGGACCATTGATGATTGAGTATAACTGTATATTTTCAGGGGGCCGATGGAACTTTTATAATCTTGAACTAACTAGCAGCTACCCGGTTCCTTGAATGAGGGTTTTCCAATCGAAGATGCACCAAGCTTCGATTGGACTTCCGTATTGGACCTCCAATACGACACCAATGAGACATCGCAAATAGAACATCGCTGATGTAAATTCTTGACTCTGAAAGTCTCTAGTAGGCCCTAGGTAGGTGAAGTACATATTCGATGTTTTGTCAATAGGACTATACTGTACTAGGTATGCACTTGCTATACCCCTATATGGAAACTAAGGCCCCCTTTTCAACGCGTTAATTCGTTCGACAAGTAAAATCAATACGTACCACACAGGAGAGTCTAAGGGATTTATTCTTATAGATTTACCTATGTATGTACCTACTTATGATAGTATCCTATGATAGTATTAAAGTAAAGAAGTTACCTATACCTATTCCCCTTTAACAACGCCTCTAAACTCGCGACATCTATGAAAGTGGATTTTTCTCACTACCGCGTCTATAGTATCATTATATAGGTGCCTATTCTGTAGAGTGAAATACCACTTGAAGCTTCATATGCATTTCAGCTCCTAGCCTTGAGGAAATACCACCTACCTCGGATCGATTATTTTTCGTAACATACCTCCAAACCTTCCCCCCTATTAAACCAAGTTTCTTTCTTACCTAGTCTAACTGCAGCCCGGAAAAGAGCAACTATGAAGGAAGGCGCACACTGAGTGAAGGGTAGTAGCCAGTACGACGCTGATTGCACGCTGGGTAAGTGGAGTTGTAGAAGTAAGTAGGTAGTACTTGAAATAACCCATTATTCAGGGGTATCAGCTGACGAGTCCGCGACTTACTACATCAGCCACACACCCCCTATACTTCCCTGCCTAGGTACCTGTCTACTGGGCTGGTAGTAATGCAGCAATCAAGCGAGCGAGTTTGCATAAACACATAGGCAACTGAGCGACACGTCAAGAGGAGCCAAAGCACTCTTTTACGAATTTGGGTAGGTATATAACAACTAACTAGGACTCTCAACTAAACCTATACATAATATAGCATAGTCTCGCATCCCTGAAAATCGTCAAACCTAGGTACCTACCTTCCCCCATTCCCCTATTCCCCATCCCGCAACCGCTCCAGTCAGTTGACCAGCGTCGAGGGCCAGCCCCTTCAACCTCATTTCCCAGAACCCAGATCTCGGTCCTCAATAGGCTTAGTGTCGGCTACTAACGACCGACGCGACCTCCGGCTGCAATCCCTTCTTCGCAGCCGCCGCCGCCTCGTGGTCGAGCGGCTGGGCCCTGCGTCTGCGCAGAACGACGAAGGCGACAGCGCCGACGATGGCAAGGGACGCTACGATGACGCCGACGGCGATGCCGGCCTTTGCTCCGGTGGTGAGGCCATCGCTGCTGCTGCTGCCCGCCGCTGGGGTAGCAGTAGAGGAGGAGGAGGAGGGGGAAGAGGAGTCGAACTCGGAGGCCGTGACGTTGAAGCAGGGCGCGTTGGTCGTGAAGTCCTGGAGCTCGACGAAGGTCTGTGGTGGGTTAGTGCACGTTTCAGAGTACCCTAAGTAGGGGGTAGGTAGGTAGATAGGTGGAAGAGACAACCTGCCCCCACCCCCCGGTGGCTGCATAGGCAACTTACAATGTCAGCGCAGGCGTAGAACGTCTGGTTGCTGCCGCTGAGCTCGGTGTCGACGTTGGACCAGTACGCGAGCTGGATGGTTGCGTTGCTCCCCGCGGTCACGGTGCTGGGCACGTTGCCGACCTTGTAGCATTGGTGGCCGGGCTCGATCTCAGTGACCTCGCTGACGACCTGTTGGGAGAACTGGCTCTGGATGGTAGGAGCTGGGAACTTTTTTAGTGGGGTGGTCTGCGAAAGATGAGATATATGTTGATACTGACTGTTGTCATATGCAATAGAGAAATTGACGTTCCAAGCCTCGTCTGCGATGGACAGAGACACAGTCCCCTGAGCTATACGTAGACAATATTAGTAAGCTAAACTATTTACCCCTATTACTATCGCTACTCACATATCGGGAAGGCAGTTCGGTTCACCACACCGCTGGCACTCCCGCAAGGCCCGCTGTTATCAGCCGAGGCGCTCCAGGGCCTATCCTCAGGCCAGAGGAAGGCGACGGGGCCCATGGAAGAGCCTTCCAGGCCTTCGCCGTGAGCCTCTCCGTCAGCAACGACGAGCTGGCTTCCAGCCAGGGCAGCGAGATAAGATACTTGGCTGAACCTCATGTTGAATGGAAAAGAAAGGATGTTTTTTTTTTACAAGCAAACTACCTAATGAGTTTTGTCAGGGGGAAGAATGTAATACGAAGTTGTCGAGACAGGCTCGTCTTGGAAAAAAAGTGGCTGTGGCTGAAGAGAGGAAGTCGTTTTCGAAGAGCGAGTGGAGGTTGCTGATGGGACTTATAAGGGTTGGTTTAGTTTGTGGAACGGGATGGCTCATCCACTTATAATCAGTGGGCAGTTCATTTAGGCACATATAACCGGCCCCTCGTCACAAGCCAATCACTCCCTTGCCAAGCCAAGATGCCCGCGACCTTGTGTGGGAGCCGATATATTCACTCATTCGTCCGAGATAAGCCGTTTCCAAGACGCCATAGATAGTTCTACGTTGTTCCTGGGCGAGGATACCGTAACGGCTCTTCGTCAGAGGAGGGACTATTTACCTGGCTTTGTCGTATCTGAATATGCAATGCATATGCCGATAGGAAAAGTTTCACGATAGTATCATAGTATGAGCGGTTTGAGGCAAGAGATTAAGAAAGCAGCTGATGTCTGCCAACTTTGAGGCCTAACTATAATCCAACCAATGTTCAATTCTTTCAACAGCCTAGGAAGCTGAATAGGTCTGTACCCCATTCAAAGCCAATTGGCCGAACAATCACCGTAGATGGTTACTAGATAGATTCCTATGTGCACCTTCAGATGTGAAAACTAGAAAAAGGAAAAGAATTGATCATCCGATGACGGTAGGCCAAGTGAAGGCCCTCATCTTGGTTAGGAAGGTCATGCAAAAAAGACTCATCATCTAGGTAGGAAGTAGACAATGAATTTTCAAGACAACGCCAACTTATAAACTGTGCTGTAGGAGGATAGGGTATCTGGGCCTTGGATCCCACCCGGGCTCCGATAATTCAGTAGGTAACTAGTAGTTAGTCGGCTCGTATTATGGCATCTTGGTATAAAACCAACTGGGGGATGAATCTGAACATACCTAGACCTTGTCTTATATAGGATGGTACATGTTAACATTGAAAATCGCCGAAGGACTAAGAGTCAGCCAAGGGAGCTAGAATGGCGAATGCTAAAGGTGATATGAACCCAGCTGCAGCATGATAGGTAGATGACAGCGAGGGAAGGCCAACTGCGATATACTAGTAACGAGTTACAGGTGTGACCAAGCTGCCAAGTCACGACCACCATGTGGTGATCTTGTCTTCTATGTGGGGTGAAACGACTGGAAGCAGTTAGACACCAAGAGACTAGGAGAAAAGAAGCGAGTTGGTTCTGCAAGTTGACACTCAGACGGGCAGCTATGAGTGGCCAGGCTAGGCGGGTGGCATGATTATTTACCGATTATCAGATCGAATACCCACTATTGCTTTCTTGTAATTCTTGTAACTGTCCCTTTCAAGCTGCCCGCGTAACGTCAATGGAGTCGATTAGCACGAGACAACACTATAAGTCTAGGTTTGCTCGGCATCAAGATAAGGGTTGCTTCGAAGGGCCTAAATTCTCTTAAAGTTCGACATAAAGATCAGATTACACTCTTACAAGTCCCTTTAGGTCATACATAAACAAGTAAAAATATAAGTCACATGTTGAGCTCATTAGAAATCCGTAGATGAAAAAGTGCAAGTCCCGTCACACACATTTGTGACCCAAAAGCTGGTTTATCTGATGGCGCTAAAGTGAAGATCCTTGCTTAACCACCCCTACTAGTGCCGTCTTAGTGGTACAACGCCAGAGCGGAGATATCCAACGGCAGTGTGGCACTCCATCTAATCTTATCAATCTAATCAGATCCTTGTGGCCAATACCGATCCAGAATCCTCTATTATTTCGTAATAGCTCCTGGGGACCTCGGAAGGGAATGGAACAAAAACTAAGCAAGTATAAGAAGGTCACAGCCTAGCCAAGTTGTGCTTAGAAAAGTGTAACTCATATAATGTAACGAAGCATTACGAACAGTAGGTAACAGACGGGTAGCTACCGACCTCCTGTGCAGTCCTCCGTTCAACCAAGTGTATTCCATCGCCACTCATAGAGAGTTTAGGTAGATCGTGACATACAAAATGCCGTACAACGGTAATCATGCCTCGGAGTCTTCGGTTCGTACGTAGTTACATAAGGTCAATCCACCTACAGCCAAGTCATTACCTATGTAGATTCGCCTCCGGGAAAAAAGCTCACAACCAAGGCCGGAACACCTGACCTGCCAAGGTAGTGGTATAATCCTGCTTCCTGCTTCCAAGACCTACAGCCTAATCTCCGAGCATCGGCTAGCCTCACAATCATTCGTCCAAAAACTCTACCTAGGCGGCATGGATCAAAACCCCCTGCCTTAGCTGAACGATGCTACAGCCCGTCTACATGTGAAGCTACACAGCTATAAGACGGCGGCCGCCGCTGCCACCCTTTCCTGTATATTCAAGTCTCGCTCACCTTGAAACATACCGAGTTTTATACGAAGCTGAACATTACTAGAAGCCGCTCGTTTTTTCTCAATTATCTAGATATACGTTCGTTTCCGCTACACATAAGCCGTAAAGATGATCTCTGTCCACTGGGTCCTTGGCGCAATCGTCGCCGCTACCGCTGTCTCCGCATCCGCGGACGAGACCGAGCTCTTCGCCCACTTGCTCAGGCGTCAGGAGCCTGGCACCCCTGCCTACAACTGCCACGACAACTGCGGTTCGTTATATATGCCTACTTCTAACATATCATGTAGAGATTATAAATCAATGCTGATGTTTTTTTTCTCGCAACTTTCCAGGGCAGGCTATTATCCAAGGACGATCTAGTGCCGATGTCTGCAATGACGAGATATTCCTGACCGACTACGAAAATTGCCTGCAGTGTTCCGGACCGGATAATGAAGGTAAGTGCGATGGTTAAGGATAATATCATGAATATACAGAGCACAGCTAATGAAAGTAGATATTGTATGTCCCTAGCCTGCATCAGGAACCGCCCCTTTCCCACTCGGCCAACCTCGCAAGCCAGAAGCCCTCCTCTCCAACCTCCTTTGTGCAGATAAAAATAAAGTAATAGGCTGGTAAACTAATCTTTTACTCGGAACCTACCTACAGTGGAAATACTACAGCTCCTCCCTAACTCAAAGCGCATCCCAATGCGGCCTCTCAACCGAGCCCCTTACGGGCGACCAGCCAGACGTCGGACCCGCGCTTCCCGCCACCACCGGCGCGACGCAGTCGACGCAGTCGACTTCGTCGGCTCAGGATTCATCCGCCTCCTCCACGACCGAAGCCCCGACGACAAGCACTGCTGAGGAGGGGTCCAGCGGTAGCAGCGAGGCGACGACGTCCGCGGATACTGCCAAGACAGGGTCCGGATACGCCACCGCAACGCCTACCTCAGCGACCACCGGCGCCTCGCCGACCAGTGTTTCTGCCACCCTTACCCAGGCCCCCACGGGTACTGGCAACGGAACGGTTCCTACTACTGTGCGTACATGTCTAGTCTCCCACCCCTCCCCCCCCCCCCAAAAAAAAAGAAGAAACGCACTTAACCATCTTCTTATATTCTCCCAGAGATATTACTTGCTAACATTCATATGACCCTGATGCAGACTTCGGAAATCCCAGTCGTCAACAACGCTGCCCGCGGCCTCGCGGGCAGCTTTGTCGGGGTTTATGGTGTTTTGGCTCTGGGTGCCGTGTGCGCTGTCGTCCAGTAGACGACGACATTTACTTGTATGTGACTGACCAACCAACTGACTGGTTCACATTGTAAATAGGTAGTTGCTTACCAGGTAACCTACCGAAGTACCTGGCCTATTAGGTATCATGGTAAAAAAATATAGGTTGTAATTAGATAATTGAAATCACCTAAGCATCACATCGGTGTGATTGAGACTTGCGTATTCTTTCCCATCACCTGCTAGCAGTGTTGCGCAATTATTGTGAGAATACGCGTTGTAAATACTTGCTCACCTACAGATTGACTTCTTGGGAAAATGTTTAGAATGAAGCGACGAGTGAACCATTTTTTTTTCGCCCTTCACTCCTTTCTATACCGCGCCCCCTTAAACAAACAGTTCACAGTTAATATCCTCGTGACTGCTTCATAGGCGATCGTGCATGTATATGATTGCCGGACGGGTATGCAGGTGTAGGTGTATGTAAGAGCGACTCGATATAGGGGAAGCCATTTCATCGTGTTTTCGACCCGTGCATCGTATATAGAGCGAATGAACCGCACTAGTCAAGATATTCTATTTGCCTTTTACTTGTGTGTTTGCTTGTTCCTCTGTCCGCCCGCCCCGTCACCGTCTCCCCGTCCCCATAAACCGTACGGAAACGTCCTCTCTACCTATGCCCCTTTTACTTCACCGCCGTGCTGTGCCTTTTTTTTCGCTGGATTTTTTATTTTAAATCAAAAGGCTATTTTCATTTTCACATGTAGTATTGCTGTTATTGCGGGAATAGGCACACAAACCTTTCGGATGGTAGGTTATATTTTACGTTCGGGCTTAGGTAGGTAGGTAGGTAGGTAGTCCAAGCGTGATCCCCGAAAATAAGATCCATGGATTCCGTTAGCTTGTTCTGCACTGACTTGACTCTCTCCTAACGTTACTTGGTGGGCGAATGGGCCACGCATCTGATGTCTGGCGATTCGTTCATGATTCAAAGTCTTTACTAATAGTAGTCCTGTTTAGTCCTGTTTAGTTTAGTCTCCATGCAGTCTGACTTAGTGGGTGATGTCGTACGGGTTTGCTTACGAACATGAAGTGAGATTAGGCATGGATTCCTAGCATTAGTCATTGGAAACTTATGCGTACTGGCATGTAGGTGATCTGATTCTCGATAGGAGTGATCTATCAGATATCCGGGAACACAAGCTTTGTCGAGTGGAGTGTCGAGTGGCCTTAGTAATATGGTAGGTTGTTAACAGTAGGTACCCAATATCTTATTGTGCACTGCCAATACAATACGAGGGAAAGGAAGCAATCAGCTTGGGCAGATCGAGTTGACATTGCATATAGGTCCGTAGATCTTACTAAATTTAGTTTCCATCTGCCGTACCGATACGGCGTTGAACGGCACAGTAGTAACGTTGCCATATGTATCCCGGGGAAAGCATGCCGCGATCATGTCGGCCACGACCAAGACTAGCGGCTCACAGGCTGACATACTACTAATAAGTACCAGCATTACCTACTTAAGCTGTGCCAGCTGAGTCTTGGCATGAGGCAAGATATCGACGCCACAGACCACTAAATGAGCGGTGCATAGTGCTCTCTGTGCCACACGTCGTACTCTCTGCTAATGGGAATAATGCCCTTCACATAACTCGTATGTTTGCTAAAGAAAGCCATTATGTACTTTTTTATCATGTACACAACTTCGTGTTGAGAGTCGTTGGGCTTTGCCTCCACAAGAGCGAATATCGTAGAGGCTCAGATCTATGCGCGCCACGTCCTGGTCGATGTCAGCCTCCAGGTCGGCGATGATCTACATCGTTGTCAGCACGTACCACGTATGCACGTACCTACCTAAGGTTAGGTAGATGGTAGACAAACCTCAATATTGTCCAAGGAGAGAAAACATAAGGGGGGACCCGTACAAGAAAATCTATATAACTGACCGTTGGGCTCTACATTATTTGCGTTCTCTCTCATCTCATCATCAGCATATCCAACTCATCCAACAGACTCATCTTCAAAAGCATCCTTCAACCAACTCCTCAATCTTCTCACCATCTTCACCGATAAAACCAACCCCTTACCACATTCAAAATGCAGGTCACCAGCTTCCTCACCATTGCTTTCGCCAGCGTGGCGCTTGCCCAGAAGAGCCCCTCCAAGATTCCGGTGGCTCTGATCACCGTCGAGGCTTCCCGCGGCGGAGCTGGCCACGCTAAGAACTCCACGGACATCGTCCGAGTTAACATCGGCGCCGATGGTGCCACCGAGGATCAGTTCCCTGTCCTCAAGGAGGTTTCTACCCTCTACCTGACTGGTGCTGAGGGTGTCTCGGTCGACAACATCGTCTGCACTCCTTTCAGGCCGTAAGCAATAACCTTTTCCCCCTTCTCTGTCCATGTCGCAACTGACTAACATGAATATTTACAGCGGTGGTGCAACTGCCCCTACCTTCACCAACACCAAGCCGGTCAGACTCTCGCTCAACACCGTTGAGGTTTCCAAGATCGAGTGCCGGGGCTCCTAAGCACCTTAGCTGATGAGCCTTTTTGGTCTACTGGACCATCTATAATAAGGGGCATCTAACTTTGCATTGCATTTCATCGGCGAAGGTCAATTTTTTAGAGATGGGAGATAGGGTTAGATATTGCATTTGATCATGAGTCTCAGTGGCAAGAGGAGAGAGTGAGGAGGGTGAGAAAGGAGAAGGGGGGAAAACTAAGCATTGCATCGGTGTTGCGTGATACTCTCACAACGCATTGGTGCTTTGCCTTATCGTTCAGGTCACTCCTTTCAGAAAATTTAATAGAGAGAGATTTGCATCACCTTTTTGACTTGTTTTGCTTGTGAAGTTTTTGATTTACTGCTATGCAATTGAAGTCCCATGCTTGAAATATGCATGGCACTATACTAAAGATGGGTGTAAGAGGTGTAAATAATGATGGGTGTAAAAGGTGTAAATTAAAAAGGAACATTGCTCAGGTGATGATCCCAACTGGCGTACTTGTGGCGGGGACTTCGCGTCATTGTCTTGGCACTTCACTAGGCAGATGCGCTACATGCTAGGAAGTATTCTCAAGTAACTTGGCGATTTATATCCTTCCTAAGGCTTCCTTCCTTCGCAATCGGAATACCGGCACACAGGTAGACCATAAAAACGTACATAATATTGAAGTATGTAGTACATCAAGGTACACCTGAAATCCTGAGCATGGCGTACCTACCTACTATATGTAGGGATAGTAGAATGCGCCTCAGCCACGAAGCCAGCCTGTCTAGTACTTCAATTAATGTTACTAGTACTACGTACATAGTAGAGATTGACGTAGTTTAATTCATTTTAATTCATTTTAAAACGGTTTCTTTGTTCAGACTACCCAATGACGACGCATCCAAAAGCTAGGCAGTTAGCAAATATTCTTCACAGCCTCAACGTGTGAGGCGCAAGAGGGCGAGCCAGAGCAAACTGGGAACTTGATGGAATATATTATAATGTTATCTGTACATATTTTCCTCTTTTTCTTCCTACTTTAATTTTTATTATATACCCACTCCATCTCTCCATCTCTTCAAATCATCCAATCCTCAACTATTTCCACCTATTCAGACCCCACTTCATCTATATCATCCAACCAACCCTTCCACCTACAGCAGATAGCTCCATCGTTACCTATCTTGGTTGCTTTCGTAATTAAAAGAATCAAAGATTCCAACAAATCATATCAAACTCAATCAATCGGTAATCGAGCGAAAAGCTACTTCCCGTAAGCACATGTCATACCCTTACGGTCAGCCGGGCGGCTATCCCGGCCAGTACAATCAACCTCCACCCCAGCAATACGGCCAATACCCACCACCGCAAGGCCAATATCCATCTCAATATCCTCCCCAAGGCCATTATCCACCTCCACAAGGCAGCCCGTACCCCCCTCAAGGCCAATATCCCCCACAGGGGAGCCCTTATCCTCCTCAAGGTCAATATCCTCCGCCCCAGCAGCCCTACGGAGCGCCGCCGCCGAGTCATTCCTATGGACCTCCTTCGGGACCTCCGCCCGGCCAATATGGCGCACCACCCCCCCAGCAAGGGTACGGGTATGGTGCCCCGCCCGCCGGGCCTCCCACTGCCCCTAGTCCAGGGTACGGGCCTCCACAAATCATCCAGTGGGACGCTAATCCCGATGCGCGGGCGCTCCGAAGTGCCATGAAGGGTTTCGGCACCGACGAGAAGACCTTGATCCGGACCCTGGCCTCCAAGGACCCCATGCAGATCGAGGCCATCAAATCGGCCTATTTCCGAAGCTTCAGCCGCACCCTCGAGAAGGATATAATATCGGAGACGAGAGGCTGGTTCGAGACCGGCCTCGTAGCCATCGTGAGGGGACCGTTACTCCACGATGTTCACCTCCTTAATTCCGCCATGGACGGCCCCGGGACGAAGGAGAAGGTCCTCAATGACGTTTTGCTGAGCCGGAGCAATGCGGATATGCATGCTATCAAGAGCATGTACCAGCACACGTTCCATCGATCGCTCGAGAATGACATCAAGGGGGACCTCAGCATGAAGACGGAGAGGCATTTCTTGATAGTGCTAGGAGCGAACAGGGCGGAGGATAGCGCGCCTGTCATTCCCCAGGCCGTCGATCAGGACGTCATGGAGTTGTACCGTGCCACAGAGGGGAAAGTGGGCACAGACGAGATGATGGTGTGCTCGATTCTGTCCACGCGGAATGATAATCAGATCCGAGCCATCAACCACGCCTACGAACAAAAGTTTAGGCGACGGTTGGAAGATGTCATCAGAAAGGTAAGCCCAATGGATTCTACCTACCCCATTGATCACACGTGCTAACTTTTACCTAGGAATTCAGTGGACACATGGAGCAGGCCCTGCTCTACCAGCTACGGAACGCGGTTGATAAGTACATGCACGCGGCCTCCCTTCTCGAGGAAGCGATGGCAGGCATGGGCACAAAGGATCACCTGCTCGTATCTAGAGTGGTACGATACCACTGGGACAGGCAAACGATGGCAAATGTCAGTGGCGCATACCAGCAGCGGTACCGTAAAAGTCTCGCCAGCCGCATCAAGGGCGAGACGAGCGGTGATTACGAGAGGCTCATGCTTGGCTGTATTGGCGAGCCAGTATAGATATGTATCATAGATGTGCGTCTGGACGGGAAGGGTCGGTTATAGTTGACCTTTTGGCGTTTGTCGTCAGTCACATTATAGGCCATTGGGTGTGTAACTTACTCCCGTACATAATTTCAACGATATCCCCAAGCCAATACCTTTTTTATTTTATTGTGCCGTAGCCTATCACATCTCATAATCTCGATAACGGCCCGGGGAGCATTGGAATTGTTGTACTGCGTACCTAGTATGTGGTACATGCACGGCACATGTGTTGCCATCAAGCAGCACTCGTGACCTCTATATTTTATACTACATAGATACCTAGGTACCATGGAGTATTGGATGTCATCAAACATTGAAATGGATATAGATAGGTTTTACTTATTGCTATCTCTCTAAATTATTCGTATATATAACTATTCCCAAACGCAAAAGCTGTATATAAATACATCAATGATGTAGAAATAAAACACAATACCAACCCAAAATGATGCAATCCAGAAACCCTTCACCCCTGCCTAATTATTGAAGTGACTGGAGAACTGGGAACTTCGATCGAATCCCGTCCCCGCATTTGCACAACCAGCCAGCCAGCCAGCCGCTAGGTTATGTACAATACCTATGTAGTTGCACATGCAGTGCTTAGTTATGTAAATATGTAGCAGGTACATAACTAATATAGTGGCCATTGTTCGCTGGAACGAACCCTTTTTATTTAATATACATATGAAAGGAAAGTTTGGATACCTACTTTTTCCGAACTCAAACTCAACAAGCAACAACAATAACGCAACGACATAAGCAAAACCAAAACCTTCTCAATGATTGAACTCTTCTTCAATTGTTACTTGCTTGCTTGCTTGCTTCCAGATTGCTTACCGACCAACCCTACCTAGCTAGGTAATCCAATTTTTTATGTCAGGGAGTACTACTACTAGAGTCTAGTAGTAACTACGTAGGTTAGTAGGATATCAAAATTGATGCATACCTGTCTAGTTAGCATATAAATAAATATCCTACCCACTGGGCAGCACCTACATACCCGGTATTCATACGTGAAGGTATTCATAAAGAATCCATTCATATACATATACATGTATCAACCAATTCAATTCTTGGCTTATTAATCCCGGTTTCCCAACCATCCAATCCTAATTCTGCTTTCTCTCTTTTTTTTTCTTTTCCTTTTTCTTTTTTTTCTTTCTTAAATTGGGCTCGTGGAGAGAGACAGAAAATCCGTCCCAAAACTGAACTATGGCTACAACTTGAGGATAAATTATCCCCCCCAATCCTTCTATATCTCCCTCGCTCTTCCTAACCACACACGCGATGAATTCTTCTATATCGAGTATCATATATACATATCAGGATGTATTGCTTATCTCCCTCCCTTCTTCCTCCCTCGAGGCCCAGCACCATAACCTAATCTCCATGGACATCATATCGCGGTGTTCCATCGCGCAAGCCGCTATCGCCCTTATCTGTCTCCTGCTCTATCTCAGTCACGGTTTCTTCCCCCAAGGTCCCCAATGGACGCGACCTTTTGCTAAGGAAGAGACACTGCTATTCGGCTTTCGCACCCGGCCATGGAGTTTCTGGAGTTTTTGCTTGGCCGTCTTATCCGCGATCGGACTAGTCCTGGCCGTATTAGCCGCCGCATCACCGCCTTTTGCCACGGTGCGGATTTTGGACCTGGCGCCATGGGTTGTGACCCTCCTCATCACGGTTGTTGACCGTCCGCGCAGCACCCCGAAGGCTTTACTTACTTTGTTCACTACGGTTTTGGTATGCGGTTTGTTGTCGCTCGTCGCGTGGTACAATGGGACGGCCCGCGTGAGCATAGTGCAGGTTGCTGCCGTCAGTCTTGCGCTGGCCGGCATACTGCTTATTCTCGCCATGCCGATGCGGGATCCGGATCTGGACTCGACCGGGATTGCAGACCCGCAGTATCCCCCCACGTCGCGACTACGCAGCCCCGAGGATAATCTGAGCTTATGGCAGTTCATGACCGTGTCTTGGATGACCCCGTTGATAACACGAGGATATAGGAATAAATTGAATGATGAGGATGTGTGGTTCTTACCGTATGACTTTCAGCACGAGCGGTTGCATCTTTTATTTCGGGATCTAAAGGGCTCTATAGTGAAGCGTTTAATTATGGCGAACGGCTTGGATTTAATCATCATCACATTTCTTGGACTTATAGAAACGGCGGCGAACCTTTCTAATCCCGCTCTTTTGCAGCGTTTGCTGCAATCTATTGAGAAGGGTCTTGACCACAGGAACGAATCTTTCTTATATGCATTGGCTACCTTATCAGTTCGTCTTGTTGCCTGCCAGTCGGGTGTTTTTTTGCTTTGGTTTAGCCGCCGCGCGTATGAGAGGTCGCGCGGCGAGATGCTTACAGCGGTCTACGCAAAGACGTTAGCCCGAAAATCATTTGGACTTCGCACAGATTTGGACGAGGTTCCTCAAGAGAATGGTGGTGCGGAGCCGGACGAGGACACTCCCTTACTGGGGGGCAAGCCCAAGAAGTCTCGCTGGGTTCGCCTTCTCGAAACGCTTAGACTACGCAGCCCTAAGGCTCCAAGTAAGGCCAAGGGTGCTTCTGAGCAACCAGCATCTATGGGCAAGATCCTCAACTTGATGAGAAACGATGTTTATGAGGTGGCGCAACGTTTTTGGGAATTCCCAAACCTGATTACGAAACCACTGCAGTTAATATTATCTCTAGCTCTCATTTGGCAACTTTTGGGGTGGCCTTGTCTTCTTGGTGTCACGTGGGCCGTGGTTCTCCAGTTTGTGAACGCTGGTTGCGTGCGTTCCTTGATTCGAATTGAAAAGCGACGGAGAGTAGCGGCAGATGTCAGGCTTCAAGCAACTACCCAGTTTGTCGAAGCCATTAGACCCCTCAGGTGGTACGACTGGCAGTCCAAATGGCTGGGAAACATCATGCAAGCCCGAGCGAAGGAACTACACCTACGGATTATCTCGAGTCTGTGGACCATCGGGGTTGGTGCTTCCAATCTTGCAGCCAGCGCTCTTTTCCCCGTGTTCACATTCTTCGCGGTAACGTATATAGCAGGGCGGCCTCTTCCGGTTGACGTTGCCTTCCCTGCACTCCAACTCTTTACGATGCTCGAATCGAGTTTGAAAGAGCTACCTAATTTAATAACAGTATTACTCAACGCCTCTATAGCAGTGGGGCGTCTCGAAACATTCATGCGCGAGCCCGACAAGGAGGAGGGTGATTTTGATGATTTCACGTCTGAGATCGAGTTTCGCGGTGCTTATTTTACGTGGCCGACTAATGGAAAACTTGTTCTTGAAGATATCGATTTGCGCTTTACCCCTGGGCTCACTTTGATTCATGGTAAAGTGGGTTCAGGGAAGACGGCACTCTTGGAAGCTATCCTTGGCGAGCTCAACCAAGTGAGAGGAGATAGCACATTGCCTAACGAGATGGTGGGATATTGTGCTCAGTCCCCATGGCTCCAAAACATGAGCATTCAAGATAACATCTTGTTCAACTTCCCGTTAGACAAGATCAGATACAACGAGGTCCTAGATGCATGCGAATTACTGCCCGATCTTGCTAATTTCGCACACGGGGATAAATCTAACATTGGAGAGAACGGTATTGGTCTCTCCGGGGGCCAGAAGGCACGAGTCGCGCTGGCACGAGCTGTGTATAGTCGATCTCGCATCATCCTGCTTGACGATCCGCTCGCAGCGCTCGACCACATGACAGCTCAATCTATCGTACGAAAGCTATTTCGCGGGTCCCTCCTAAAGGGGCGCACCGTTGTGCTGGTTACGCACCGAGTCGACCTATGTCTATCGCTGGCGGACCAGGTGGTCGAAATCACCGATGGCAGAGCTCGCGTCCTCGACCCAGATGAGTACCCCCGAGAAATTGAGACCCCCCGACACACACAAGAGAGCATTGTTGAAGACGAGGCCCAGAATGTCACTGAGGAATTAGCGAACGCAGCGGTTCCAGACAAATTCGTCGAGGACGAAGTCCGTGCATCGGGTGGCGTCGTCGCCCGAGTTTATTGGACATATATAAAAGCAGGGAAGCTAACATCATGGATCGCTGTTATCGTCATTTTCTCTCTTTTCCGGTTCGCTCGTATATTCAATTACTGGTTTCTCAAGTCATGGGGCGAGGCATATGAAAGTGTCAAGGCTCGGTTATCTGCACATTCATCTAGCCTCGGAGACGGTATCTTCAACGGGCTTCCAAGCCCAGATAATGATGTCAGGCCGTGGCTAGTATGGTATGCCATTCTTGGTCTCGTCATGACTGTATTGTTCGTCCTCACCCAAATCGGCCTTACAGTCATATTATACAGAGCAGCGAAAAGTCTGTTTGCCAAGGTTATTGATCGAGTGAGCCGCGCGACATTCCGCTTTTACGATGTCACCCCAGTTGGGCGCTTGATGAACCGTTTGACATCTGATATTGGGATGTTAGATGGTGGTGTTATCCAACCACTCCAGAATTTTGCTTTCTGGTCCCTAACATGGCTTAGTTCCATGATTGTAATTGCCCTTACAACGCCAGTATTCTTCGTATTCGCTCTTGGAATGACCGTTTGGTTTATTGTCATCTTCATGCGATTTCTGCCGACCTCGCAAAGTCTTCGCCGGCTTGAAATGGTCACACTCAGTCCACTCATGTCAAATTTTGGCATTCTTGTTGATGGATTAGCAACTATTCGAGCATTCAAGGCGCAGCCAGTCTTCCAGAACCGTAATATTGTCGCCACAGATACTTTTCAGAAAATGGACCACTTCTACTGGAGTTTGCAGGCGTGGCTCCAATACCGATATGATTTGTTATCCGCATGTTCTATATTTGCTTTAACAACGTTAGCCTTGTACCAAGGTCTGTCACCTGGCTTAACCGCTTTCGTGCTCACCAGTGCTGCTCAACTAGTCGAGTCAACCCACATTCTGTGCAAAACATATGGTCAGCTTCAAATGGACTTTGTGTCGGTGGAGAGGGTGGTCGAGCTCCTAGATCTAGAAGAAGAGCCCAACGGAGATATCCAGCCACCTGCTTATTGGCCTTCGTACCAAGATAGCATCACATTCGATTCGGTGACGGTTAAGTACGCGCCACACCTTGAACCTTCGCTGGTAGATGTGTCATTCACGATCCCCAGCGGGTCAACCTGTGCGGTATTAGGACGAACAGGGTCCGGAAAGTCTACCTTAGCGCTGGCCCTTCTCGCAACAATGCACCCAGAAAAGGGGCAAATCCGGGTTGGTGACCTAGACATCTCTCGAGTCGATGTACACACCTGGAGACAACGTATCAGCTTTGTGGCACAAGATCCAGTTCTATTTCCGGGCTCGATACGCGAAAATCTAGACCCACTAGAGCAGCACACAGATGAGGAATGTAAGGAGGCGTTACTCCGAGTCTTAGGCCCGAAATGGTCTCTGGGTTCCATGGTTGATGTTGGTGGTAAGAACCTTAGCCAAGGTCAACGGCAGCTTGTGGGCATTGGGAGGGCCATACTAAGAAAGAGTCCTATCATTATCTTGGATGAGGCAACAGCTTCGATCGACAAGAAGACTGCGTTGGCAATACAGGATGTGTTGTTGGCAGAACTGAAAGATAGCACGGTAATCACGATTGCTCATCGATTAGAGGCAGTGAAGGATGCAGATTACTTTATTCGGTTGGATGCTGGACGAGTTATTGAAGCAGGGCCAGCTGGAGAGTCTACCTAAGTACCCTAGGTAGTATATACCTTAGGTTGGGTAGGTACGACGTACGTGCCTGCCTAGTAGGTACCTATATATGTAGGAGTTGGGACGTGGCTACCTACCTACACTATGCCGCATTGTTAAGGCATCTAACATACCCTACCCTGGTATGATAATAGATGGTAAGCCAGATTGGACAACAAACAAGGCAGGCACGAATGGTAAATCCCAAAATAGTATGTACCTACCTACCTAGCAGTACCTTGCCCTAGCAGATTGGAAGGCAGACGTGCCTAGGTATATACTAGGTACTTACATTGATATGTACTGTACCTCAAATATATATAAATAAATAAAAATAATATTGAAATCAACTACCTAGTGCCTACCTATCACTTACAACAACGAAGCACGTTCATATTCATTATTTCGCGCACAGAGTCGTCTTAGAGAGCTTGACGTTATATTCAGTAAGTATTTGCAATAGTATACCTATATATTGCTACTACATCAACGCCGCTGACAATGGCAAAAAACAGACAAAGAGCATTGGTGGAAAGCACTCCAGCACTCTCCAGCACTCTCCAGCACTCTAGAACCTTCAAGTTAACACTCTAACACTCTGACACTCTAACCCGCCAGCACACATATTCCCTTCACTCTAATCTAAGGTTGTTCAGGCACCCACTCGCCGTACCATTGTGCATGTCAACATCGCCCAAGAAAAAACACGCGTCACTACCAGCAATCTTCTTCATCCACGTCCCATCAATTCCAAACCTTTCCTTCATCCTCTACACCATCAATAACCTATTAATCTCACCACCTCCAATTGTTTTTCAAGTTCATAACACTGTCACATCATTGTATAATTGGCATCATGAGTCAACCAACTCCATGGCAGCCTTCTTCGTGGCAGCCCTCAAAGGGTACTCCCATCCGACCTTGTGAACTGCCATTCAAGAAATGCCCCGAGGAAAAGGAAATCACAACCGCCCTCGACCAGGTGGGGGACTTCCAATCATGGAAGCGCGGCGACAAAAACAAGCAGAAGGGGATTAACGGCAGATTGGAAGCCATCGACAAATTTATTCACGACCTCGAGATGAGTCGCCAGGAGGGCACCCTGAAAGATTTCAAGCGTGACAACATGCACCCTTCATTTGCATCCCTTCCCGAAGATAAGTTCTGGGACGTGATCAACACCATTGCCAACCTACGTGCTTTGACCATCAATTACATCCTTTCTCGCCGGGTCGCAGCTGTCATCCTCACAGAGGAGGCTATTCGCACGTTTCAAGAAAACGGCGGCTCACATTGGCCGGCACGCCATCAACATAGCTACCGCCACAAACGCATAGCCACTCAGGCGATAGAGCATTTCTGGGGGTTTCAGCACTCCGGCGACCCACTGCCATATTCTAAGGGTGCCATTGTCATCTCTGAATATGATGGGTGGCACAACCTAATCGATGACAAGTTGGCCAACGTGGCCGCTGTCTACAGAATGGAGACAGAGAAGGTCAAGAAACTGTTCTAGGATGACAGCAAATTGTGCCTTGTTGTTCCAAAGCAGCCCGAGCTGGGCGACAACCCTGCGGGCGACGAGGAGAACGACGCCCCGGAAAAGACAGAGGACGACGCTGGAGCCACTGTCGCGAATGAAGAGCCTACTAGTACTGCGATGCCCAAGAACGAAGGCACCAAGGATAAAGACACCAAGCATGATAACACCAAGCACGACAGCGCCCAGCACGACAGCGCCCAGCACGACAGCGCCCAGCACGACAGCGCCCAGCACGACAGCGCCCAGCACGACAGCGCCCAGCACGACAGCGCCCAGCACGACGGCACCAAAGATGCTACCACATCTAAGAACAGCCATGGAAAGAACGCCGCGGCCATGACTAAGAAAGATACCAAGGGCGCTGCAATGACCAAGAGTGGAAATGCGAAGAACACTAAGACAGTTGAGAAGTCTGACGAAAGTGGCTCTGCAATGAATTTGAAAGATGATCGTAATGACACTGCGGTCACTACGAAGAAAGAAGTTGCAGTGAATCAGCAGCTGCAAGTGATGCCAAAACTGAGCAGCCCCAAATCGACCAGACCCAAACGAGCAGCGACAATCTAACCCAAGATGAGAACCTAGGGTAAAAATTACTCGTGATGAAGATTAGGAAGAGGGTTGAAGGGTCTCGGCGTGAAATTGAGGCAATCGTGGTAAATGTACACGAGTCCCAATCTTGAATCTTTCTGCTGTTGTAGCAGTTGGATTGGCGAGTATTGTGGATGGATGATTTGGTGGATACGTTGCGATCTTCCGTCTTTCTGCTGATTATACAGCTATATTTGTGGATGGAAGGCAATGCCGAATGCTTTGGAAGGAAATCTGATCCTCCTGTTCCTGGGGATGTTGGAATAGGGGGTTAGTTAGAAAGGGATGCTTCCCTATTTGAGTGGAGGGCTTTTATCTACGCTACTTTGGTAGATGGATATTACCTTCAGGGTGATTTTATTCTTTTGTTTCGTCTGGTGTGCCTCGCGGTGATATGGAGGCGGTAGTGTATGCTGACAAGTGGCAGCTATGGGTTATCGTAATACCAGCTTTCCTGACCAACATGCTCCATAGTCTATCAAATGACACCAGTGATTAGTACTGCATAAGTAACTACAGGCAACTCAACCCTTCTTCGATTTTAGTAGACCTGAAATGTATCATCTTGATACGACTTCTACTTAGTTGTAAAATGTAAAATCTTCCATAAGTCTGGTTATTGTAGTTGACACAGCTGAACGTCTAACACATAGGTAAACCATCAATAATCTGAATATGCCTACCCATACTAGTAAATACTAGATGAACGCTGTAATTTAAACTATATTATACTTATGAATTACTACTAAGCCTGGCGTGGTTGATATATATAGAGTATGCCTATACATTACATCATCTCCTTTGACGTCCACGTCATGATACTCTACAAGACTACACCATTTCATCTCATAAATAACAACAGTAAACCTAGCATTGATCTCAATTAAAAAATTAGTTAATAGGACTATATTTATACCTAGGCATATAATGATTCCAACGCGCCATCTCCATCTTGACCCATTAAAGAGGCAGCCTCTCCTCAAGGACCAGGCGGTCCCCAACGAGGACACGACAGCATTGCCGACGAAGAAAGTGCATTTCCATCCCGGCGGGTCCGGGAAGGATGAAGATGCGAGTGTTTATTTCATCGGCACGGCGACCATGATGATCGAGTGGCAGGGCATCCGGATCCTCACCGACCCCAACTTCCTGCACGCCGGCGACCACGTGCACCTGGGGCCGGGGGTGACGGCGCAGAGGAAGACCAATCCGGCGGTAGACCTGCACGAGCTGCCGTCGCTTGACTGCATCCTGCTGTCGCACTACCACGAAGATCACTTCGACCGGCTGGTCGAGAACTCGCTGAACCGGAACTTCCACATCATCACGACCCCACACGCCAAGGCGTGCCTCGCGTCGGGGGAGGCCAAGGAGGAGCCGTTCCGGTCGGTGCACGGGGTGGACGTCTTCGAGAGCATGATGCTGCACATCGACCGCCGGGAGCCGCGGCTCGCGGGCGGGTACGGCAAGGTGCCGGCGATCAAGGTGACGGGGATGCCGGGGAAGCACGTGCCGCCGGGCGCGCTCTCGCTGGCCAACAGCGTGCTGAGGGCGGTGCCGCCGACGAACGGGTGGCTCGTCGAGCTGGGGTACACGTTCAAGGCGCCGACGGGCGACGACCCGGATACGCTGGACACGGGGTACCGCGTGTACATATCCGGGGACACGCTGTTCGTGGACGAGCTGAGGGAGATACCGACGTGGCTGCGGCGGCAGCAGCAACTACTACTACCGGTGCATCAACAGTCACGATCGCAAAAGCAGCGGAACTCAAGGATCGACCTCATGCTGGTGCACCTGGGGGGCACGACGATCCCGGGGCCGGCGATACCGCTGGTCATGGTGACGATGGACGCGGCGCAGGGGTTCCGGCTGATGGAGCTGATGCAGCCGGGGGTGACGATCCCGGTGCACTACGACGACTACAGCGTGTTCCTGTCGCCGCTGGCGGAGTTCAAGGACAAGGTGGACGGCGAGGGCTGGAGGGAGAGGGTCGTGTATCTGGATCGTGGCGAGGCGTTTCGGTTCAAGGTACTGGGGGGGTAATGATTGATTGATGTGAAGGCAGGCTGCATTGCATGTAGGTACAGTACATACATTAGGCATTCATCAATTTTCTAAATGCGACAAACAGCCTAAAGTGAGTGAGTGTCTGCACCGTTTGTAGTTGGCACAATATTATGTATGTATGCATGTATGCATGTGTAGGTAGTAGGTAGTACTATGTATGTATGTACCTCTTGAAGGTCTCGGAATATGGTGGGTCTAATAAGCGTTGGTACTACAAACTTCAATAATTCATGTATTGTATTCTATTGTTAGTATTGTACCTGCGGTATGTACCCTTCTACATGTAGGCACCCTCAGATGCTTATATATAGGTACATGTAGGTACGTCAAGTAGGTATAGTCATGTATCACCTGTACGCTTTTCCGAGACTATCTGCTAATAGCTGATGAACCACCTCACAGAAGGAATGAACGGTTCGGCAGTCTATAATGCGTCTCGTCGTAGAGAACAAGGTTGTTTATTAAGACCCTCAAATGCACCCGGGACGACAATTTATATGACAACAGCATTGAACATTGTATAGATTAGAAGATGATTAATAAGTACATGTACGCAGCGAACTGCACCTGGGTATGTATCAATAAATGAATTAAAGTTGTCCGAATGAGGTAGGTTGAGTACTAGGTATGTATAACACCGGGATCGTACTTATTACATGTATGTACCAGATGTGTATAGCAAGGAAGCAAACAACACCAACATTGGAATTGTTGGATACATATAACAGCACGAGCAGGGAAAGGGGGAGAAGATTGAGGAAAAAGGCTAATCAAAAAGGAGCACGGATCATATTAAGAACTCTAATATAATACTCATACAATACATACATAGTACGCCGTAGTATTAGTTGCTACGGAAGTACCCAATACTTATAATACTTATACTACTAGCGTATGAATGTACATATGTAATTCATCCGGATTGAAACATTTAAAGCATTTAACCTTTTATGTCGCACCTTCTGCGTAGCAGAATTAAAGAATCAACCAATAGTTGGTCCGTTTGCTTGTAAGTGTGGGCCGTTTAAGTTACCCATTTCAAATATTAATTGTTCTTTCCTTATTTAATCAACGCTAATTGGAAGTTAATTCAGCTAAGCAGATAATAAATTGCGCCGCCCCGCCCCTTTTACACGAGGAAAAAAAAATTATTATTAAGTGATAAACCCGGACATCCTCCCCTACTAACTTACATACCACATACCTTATTACCATGCTTGATGGCTACTTACCTATCCGCAGAATTGTAACTTTCAACGATCGAGTTTGGTTTCCTTGTTCCATTTTAAAAACATTGGAGTAATCCTACTCATAGGTACTACTCACAGGTATGTAACCTTTCCTTGCCTAACATTTTATAGGTAACCATTCCCATTATTCTCTAGACAATCCACTATAAATAAGGCACAGGCACAGGCGCAGTAGTGAATAGGGCTGACTGAATTTACTAGGCCCCCAAGCAACAAGTAGCAAGGTGTCAGCAAATACATACATACGCAGTATAACGCGTCTCCACTCCTTTGGAAAAAATATACCCTAAAAGTCATCTTTTTGAAGACGTTTAGAGGATTTACAACGGCCTGGACTCTTTAAGAAATCACTATAACTTTAATGTCCATTACCAAGCTGTGCCGCAATCGCAATCGCAATGGAAGTGCAACCATCTCCATCGCCAGCTATGGCCACGGAAACGGCCGCGGAAACGGCCACGGGAGCGGTCACGGGAACGGCAACTCCTACAACGCCGGCACAACCTAGGCCTAGTCCAGTATCATCCACACAAGTCATGTCACCAGCTAAACCTCAGCCCAACCCTGCAACGCACTATCCTAATGGTCTTCCACGTAGCATTAATGGTCTAAAGAGCAATGGTGTTAACGGAACCGGATCATCATCTTCGGCATCGGGTAGAACAACATCAGATGCATCTACGCCACCTGTTCGACCATCTCCAATGATGGCAACACCGGGCCCAGTTATGCCGCATCCTTCGGCATCAGCATCAACATCAGCACCCGCCCCGACCCCGGCTTCGGCCTCGGCACCGGCATTTGCGCCTACACCTACACCACACAAATCATTCCACACCACACCAATATCACAGACCCCTCCGACAACACAAGCGCACCGCTATGTGCAACGCCAGTCATCTAGCCTGCCTCACAAGATCTCTATTGTTGATCCACCTAGCGCACACTTAAAGCCTCGGAGTACATCTCACCCTCAGGGATTTCCATCTCCCAAGAGAGAGCACCATCTTGAGAATCCTAAATATATGGACGATCTTTCGCGCCTTACGCATGCTGTGCAACAGTCGGTCCCGGCTGCCGTGAGAAGGGTGGTCCGAGATAATTGGGAAAAGTCCCTACTTGGTTCGGAATTTCATTCCGCATTCTTGGTGAGTTTATTGTTCCGTTTGCTTACCTGAGCTTTCACTCGTGATGTTTTCGCAGTCCTCGTCGATCCTACCACAGCCGTTGTTTGAGTTTTCTGGTTCGATGATTCTCGTCGCGCTCAATTATACCCCCTTTCCCCTTACGCACATGAAAATTCTTCTTCTTTTACTAATACAGCCATCAGTTGAATGCGGTCATCCACCACTGCAATGGGGTTATTATTCGTCGCTCCATTAAAGATTTCGGTGCCAAGATGGTTTCCGAATCTAAACATGAGATCGTCGCGCATCTCCAATCTGCTGATTTGGATGAAGTGGTCGATGATATACTAGCCAAAGCTAGCGACTATTTCTTAGACAGGGCATTAGAGAAGAGGTTAAGAACTATCGAGGCGCGTTCTCTTATCAACGCTCTGGCTCGAGCTGAGCGACTGGGTTATGAGAACAGCGATGCCCTCGATGATCAAATAGATGGAGCACCGAGGTTCAACCCAGCCCCAACATCATTTAACCCGTCGGTCAACTTGAATTCTGTTGATCCGAACCCAAGATCGATACCGATGCCAAGCCCCTCTGCTCTACCGCATGAAAATCGTCCTCGTCAGGTTTTGCAATGTCCGTTGTGCTGGCGCAAATTCGACGACGTTCAACCACATGATTACGTGAGTTTCAGCCTTATCCTTTACTTGAGCGCATACTAATATAGAAACAGCATGTTCAGAAACAAGTTTGCACGAAGGATCCGCCTAGTCAGGAAGGGTTTCCCTTTTCGTGTAGACATTGTGGTGCGGGCTTCATAACAAAGGTTGGCCAGCAATATGTAAGTAATCACATATTATGATCTCATTGACTAGTAACTTACATCAGCAATAGCACCTGAATAACCATGTCTGTGGAGAGCATGGCACCATGCCGGCAACTCCTAAAGCACCTGCAACTTCGGGATCACCGATCATACTATCCTCCGGTGGCCCTAGTCCAGTTCCATTTCCTTCGTCTACCGTGCCTCAACCGTTAGGGAGCCAGCACCAATTCCATGTCCCATCTCAGTATGCTACGACGCCGATACAGTCTAAGGCACCGACGACGCCAACCCCCAACTCATCAACTAAGGATAATCCCTATGCCCATTTGAATGCCAGCACTCGAGAAAGATTGGAAGAAGAACTCCGCCAAGCCGAACTCACGTACTCTGCTCGCTTCAGGGAAGCGGAGCATATTCCAGATCTAGCGCAACGGCAGACTAGATTGGAAGGCCTTCACAACAGTTTCAGCACAAAGCAGAGTATCATCCGAAAGAAATACGGTGTTCGTCTTCGTAACCGACGCACTAAGGCTGAAATCGACAGCGAACGTCTTCGTATGGGATGGAAGCACGAAAGCTTGAGTCAGCCAGAAGGAACTCCAAGCGCTAAACGCCAACGAACTGACGATGGACCTGAAGAGATAATCAATCACCTGACCGTCTCAGAAATGACGACAGGTCTACGTGGATCGAATGCTACTGCGGCTACAGTTGATCCCACACTGCCGAAGCCTAGCCCTCCGGAACAGCCGGCACCAGCTCAAAATAGTCTTTCGTCCTTTCAAAGAAAAGGTTATCGGGTCTCTTCTCACCATGCGCAGCCCAAATCAGTTTCTCCAACGGATACTAAGATGGAGGAGGTAACTCCTCCACGAATTGGCTCAGCTTCTGGGCCGGTAATTATAGAAGATGACCGTTCAGAATCAACAGATGACGATTCGAACGATGATATCCCTGCCAGTCTACCACCACCTCGTCGAACGAGTGGCACGCCACCAAGGGGTCTCGCAGCAGCCCCTCACCGTCCTCCTAGCTCCTCTGAGAAGATTTAGTGGTAAGCCTACTTAATCATTAATCTCAGGGGCCTCACTTTTTAGTATACATACGCGTACAGATATTAGATGGCGACGAGGGTGCTCAGGAGCATTGCATTGCAATACCCATCAACTTCCACATGGCGTTTACAAGGCAGGGCATGATAGCATAAAAAACTCTCTCCTTACTCTTCTTTTCCTTCTACACGGGGCCGAGGTATTGCAACAAAAACGATATCCGGAAGTGGTCCAGAGTTAATGGTTGGGAAGCAATGGATGCAGGATCAGGGATAGGATGGGTTGGGACAGGATGAAGGATCCTAGGAAGGCGTCCAAAAATATTGATGTACTGCCTCGTTGCATTGCAGTACTGCGATCCTAATCGTATACATAGTACAGTAGTCGTGGCAGAAGAAAAGAAACCCCCGAGAGGAGAGGCACGAGTATCTAGGTGCGTTGGGGTTTTGGGCGGTCTCGCCTTAGTAGCCTAGGCACCTAACCTAGGTAGTTTGGGTTTGCGATGGATTTGTAATTTAGATACATAAACTACTTGGTATCTGCCTATCAACCCAGGTGGTAATGGACGCATCGCGCAGAATTCAGTGTTCTTGTTACAGTCTGTCTTGTCGTTGGTCTATCTAAGTTACTAGATCATCTACCTAGGTATCAGGTAGGTAGGTGAGTAGGGAAGAAGGGAGGTAATGATGATTGATGTCCATATCACGGACTCTGGCATAGGTCGTTGGCATTGGTTATTACCTACCTACCTATTGTTAACTATCATCAAAAAAAAAAAAAAAAAAAAAAATCAAAGCCTCATCTCTCCGTCTTAAAATCCAAGATCCTCACCCCCCACCCCTATTCCTAACCCCCCGCACAAGACACAAACAAATCAAGTCATAAAACACATAACCTACCTGCTTAGGTAGGTAGGTTATCTAAGTTTCAAAAAAAAAAAAAAAAAAAAAAAAAAAAAAGGATCAAACGTTCATCTTCACTTTCTCGTGTCTACCTGAAAACCGATAGATAGATAGATAAATAGATACAGGCACCTAAAATACCTTCTCATAGCGGTAAATGACTAACTACACTACATACTGTATATAACGCATTCATAATATAACGCGTGCATTGACGATCAAAACGATATAAACTCCCCTAACTAGGCTTGTGTGAAATGCTTTGCTTGCTCATGATATATCTGGGTATTCTCGACCACAACATACGTTCAATATTCCCCCCCCCCCCCCCCCCCCCCCCCCCCCCAACCAAATGTAGGTAAATAAGGACTTGGGTATTCGTCCCCCCTTTTCCTTATTTGGTATCTGTCGGTGGACAAGGTCTACCGACAGTATCCCCTATTCCCCGTGACCAAGTATACCTATCTGGACATATAAGGACTCGAGTATCCATCCATCCCCCCCTTACGCACCCGTAACCCTCCGCACCCACAGCGTCGTGGGCTCGTACTCTGCATCGCGATCCATACGCTTATACGCACGATGGAGCTTCAGGCCCAACTCGTAGGATTCCCTCTCGACATCGGCGAGCTCCCCCCTTAGTTTTTCCACCTTCCTCTTCTCATCTTCGCGCTTACGGACCACGGCCTCGCTCGCTAGGAGGTTGTCCGTCGGCATGAGCTCCGTCATCTGCTTGATCGCCGTGTTCAGGTTGATGCGGCGGTTTCCGAGCGCTTGCAGCTTGGCGTTGAGCTGCGCTACCCTATCTTGGGTTTGCGACAGTGTCTCGGGCGGCGCTGGTGGAAGGGTCTTGCCTTTGTCTCCCGACTCGCTTAATTTCGAGGTTGGTTTAGAAGTCGCACCTGGTGGCATGTAGTACGGCGAGTCGAGGCTGATCTTGACTGGCTCGATGGGACTGGTTTTCCGCGAGGAGACGACACTGTCGTAGCCCGAAACAACAGGGCGCTTGCGGTCGAGGATCGAGGGGCCCGGTTGGGGAGATGACTGGGTGTAATGCTGTGGCGGAGTGGGGATGGGCGGTGCATCTTGATCGATGCTCCCTCTAGGAGTCGATGATTGCTGAGATGTCGCATAAGTGGTGACGCTAAACCGAGAAGGCGGTTGTGCCCAATTATCCGAAGATGTGTTTGGTGGAGGTTGAGCCGGTCGGGGGTCTTGCTCAGAATATATCGACGAGGACGTTGATGGCTGGTGTTGATGACCGGCTCCCGCAGCTGGTTTCCTACGCACTGCTTTATCGCTTGACGGAATACGTAGTGATTGATGAGTCGCATTGTCCTCGGATAGGGGTGGACTCGGATATGTGCGAGGATTAGTACTAGAGCTCGTGACTGCAATGTTGGACGATTGCGTCGGAATATCTTGTTGATTTGTGCCGTAGGCTTGAGAAGAATGTGCGGATTCGGATCCAACAGATTCAATAGGAGACAAAAGACGGACTTCATGGCCGCCTTGCTTGGTGTTCTTACGGGGAACCTTTAAGGGAGCGACGTCTTTCTTGTCGTTGACAGGAGCAACAAGCGCCGATCTGCCACTGGCTCCCCTCCATTCGGGCCGTGAAGCTGGTTCAGGTTGAGAGCTGTCACTGGGGTGTCGTATTCGACGTAGACGGTCGCCAAATGAGTTTTGGTTATGCTGAGGCTTCTTGGTTGTTGGAGGAGATACTGAACCTGATTGAATTCCGAGGCCCTGGACGAATTCTTGAGGGTTGATTTGGGAGGGTCGACCCTTCATATTGGTGGTGGGTTCCCCGGTATTTGGGTCCCAACGCACGTCATGGCCATGAGGCCGTGGCTGCTTCAGTCTTTCCCGTGATTTAGATTCGCGAAGGGCGTTAAATGCGGCGTCTGAGTCCTTTCGACGCTCGCGGCGCATTACAGGAATGCTGCGCGGTTCAGTCTTCGGATGACCCCGAGGTTCTACGGCGAATTGAGACATGTCTGGAGCCTCATCTATGGGAGAGACATCGCCTGAATTTGGACTGGAACGCGGTGGTGACGTTAGCTTCATCTTTAATTTGACGATTGCTTCCTTCGTTCGGCCGAGGAAGCGGATATTTTTCTTTCGTTCAAGATTTTCAGAGACCATAATGAATATACTTCTTTTCCAAGAGGGAAATATGAAAGCATTTTTCAAGAAAAAGCTACAAGATTATGAAGTGAAGTGTATGTGTGTAATCGGCCAGGATAAATGGGTGACTAGGAACACATTCACCTTCATGCAAACAACTTGAAATCCGGATTCAACCAAGTTTCCACTCGGTGACCGAGTAACCAAGTGTACCTTGTTCTTTTCTTCAACTTCCTTCTTTTTAAGGACAGTCACTTTCCTTCCTTTTCTTTTCTCTTTCTTTCCTATCTTTCCTGTCCCCCAGCTTATCTAATTACATATTTATCTACTAAGTAGATACCTAGGAAGGTATCTAATAAAAAAAGAGAGGGGGGGAATGAAAAAAAGTGAAGGAAAAAAGAGCAATTGCACTTACTCGTCTCTTGGTGATAATACGTCAGGAGAACTTGGCGGTGAAATCTCGTTTGGGTCGTGACGCGCGATTTGGACTCGCAACTGCTGCGTTGCAAACGTAGCAGCGTTGGGTGATGGCTGTGAGTAGATCGACGACACCGGGCGGCCGAGATTAGAACCAAGATTAGACCCAAGATTTTGATGACTGCGAATTCTTCCAGTTAGCATGCTGTATATATTAGAAGCATCATACGTATGATATGACGCATGTCGCAAGCAGCGGCGCTGATAAATGCAGTGCGAGAATGACAATTCTCTCTGGGACCTTCCGCCGGGTCTCAGCTCTCCCTGAATCATTCATGCTGTCTTCTAATTGCTTGCTATTCAGTGGGTATAAAAGCATGAGAACCCCAGCCCATAAGAGACCATTGATTGCCCAAGTGCTCATATTGGAGGTATTTCGGGCTGTGAATATATTCCCAGCCTTAGATTTGACCAAAGTCGCTTACCTTTCAGGAGGATAGTAAGGCTCCCTCGCGGGCCTGGGAGGTGTAGCACCACCTTTGATCGAATATTGATAATTATTGTCTCCGCCTTTTATGCTATTACGAGCATTGTTGGACGCCGAGCGCGATTTCTGCCAGGCTTCGAGCTTCTTCCTATCCAGAGGTGCGCTCTTGTCCTTTGGCGCATTTCGAAGACGGTCGAACATGGCGACTGAGTACCAGGTTAAATGTAGGTATATGTGTATTCTACAAGGTATGCGATATACCACTAGACAGGCTTCCCGAAACTTCCTGGATCCCCCTCGCCGTGTAGGTGTACACTCTCCTAGCGTTGCTTGAACTGTGTTAGATCGTCAACCAGGGTACGATGCCTTATACCAGGTGACCTTGGCTGGATTGCCTTCGTCGCAATCGTGGTGGGAAATTTGGAATCTGCTGCTTCTTCAACCACTCCTTAGAATTGTATATCATATACTGTAATATGATAAGACCTTGGAATTGAAATGGTATTCGGGAAATACCGCCTAGCTCTTTTTTTTTCTTTTATTCTTTGAGATATTTCGACCCCAAATGACGGTATAAATCGTGTCCTCTCTCGTTTGTTTGTCAACTGCTTTGTGCTGTGCTTATTATTTTTAAATGCTTGGCGAGTTGTTGCTGAACCACATGATTTTGTTGTCGCATAGGTGGCCGAAAACTGGGACGATTCCAGGTTAGGTTACTTCATTAGTTGTATATTTGTTGTATTATTGTCCAGGTCTCGCATGTATGTTGTTGATTGCTGTGTCATGTATGTTTGTTTTTTTGTTGTTATTATTGCTGATGTTGTTGCCAACTTGCTGTTCGAATGGACTTGGGGCCAAAATGATAGCAAATGATTCAAATGATTGCATGGATGACGGTGACAGACCAGGTCGTTTCCTACAATGCCAACTTATGCAACTGCAACCTATGCAACCAACCTCAAGGCTATTGCCAGGTGATTGAAGATATCGGCCGTTGAAAGCCAATAGATGCGCGTCTCGGCCGTCACGCTAAAGATTGGTCCCTGAAAATTAGGAACCTAAAAGTTATGCGTTAAGAAGATAGAGTTTTAAGGTATATAAGGTATACAAGGTATAAAAGTATAAAAAGTATATAATATGATTAACCAGCATCAATTAAATATTGAAGGTATTCAATATGAATCCCAGATATTGAACATATATTGAGAATGTGTAAGAAAAAAAAATGAGGAATTGAAAAAAGAAAAGAAAAAAAAAGAGAGCTGGTTCGTTGAGTCGAAAATAGAAAACACCCCCACATTGAAATGGCTACCGAGATGACCTTACGCCAGCTTCCTTAAATGCTACTTTTGGATCCTGAGAATAGCATTGGCAATTGCAATGATTACATATTGGCATGTACGTGCAACTGTACCTACACCATAAATAGTATTAAATACAACCTACCTCCTCCAACCAAAGTCCAGACATCCTGCAATCTTGTGGCAAGGTGCCATTCAGTCCGAGGGTCAACATCGAATAATTAAACTTCAAAGTCCCTAGCAGCCCTAGGCAGGTTATAAGCCGCCTGGACCCTGTGGAGATGCAGGGCAACTGTTTCATCCTAAACTACATATTTTATGTTTACGGGTTCGTAGTACTATGTACGGCGTAAAAGCGCAAAGAAGCCAGAAGAGATGGTGGGGTTGGTCTTTTCTGAGCCAATCATTTATTTCTGTTAGACAAAATCCATACCATACATATGTACTGTATGTATGTAGTTGAGGTTCTGTAGAACATCTAGAATTTCCCGAGTAGCACGTCATGATGCGTTTATGTCTTATGTATGTATGTATGTACGCATGTATGTCTTGCTTGCTTCAGATGCGTCTTTGCTCATACTGCTGATATAACCAGTAGTTATAGAAAGTAGATGGCTTTGATGACTTCAAGGTTACTTACAATCATATGTAGCAACCCAGCACAAAATACATCATTATATTAACACCACGACTTGTGTTTATCACTATTCTATATACGAATTCATCGTTGAATATACAACAATAAGATATATAAGATATATAATATTATTTCAACATATGTCAATAAAGAAAGAACGAAGCGTATATGAACCAGAGCCTGAATAAGTAAACACAAAATTAGGTACCTACAGATAGCAAGTGAATTGTAAGGATGGAGATGGATGTCAACAGTAGAACCTTGAAAATCAGTTGTCAGACTTGCAGTTAAACACCTGGTCCATGCTCCAAATGCTACCAGGCTATTATGTGTAGGTCCATAGTACCACAGTACATGCCTGCCTCAGGCTGCCTGCTTGTTTGAGCATATGGACCCACCTATCTTGGCCACTTTACCAAATTTGTCCCATTCCTTTGCTTCCGAAGTTCTTCCCTCAATCTGCAACAACAATTATCCGAAACATGGTGTGGAAAATCTTCGGACTTGACATCCCCAAGCCCGGATAAACCTCTGCAGCTAGCTCTTCGGATAATACTCGGCTAAATACTTGGCACAGTACCATGCTAAGAATACTTTTTGCAGAGATGTCGCTCGCCAGTGCCCCTCAGAGCCCCTCCAGGCCATCCACTAATTCTCTTACCACAAGAATTCAAAACTTTTTCCAAGTCAGTACCAATCCCAACTTTTCTGGACCCCGTCGAGGTCGTCGCCCTGGCCAAATTGCCTATTACACCTCATCAAGTCAAGCGGTTACGTCAACATCAGGATCCTCTCTAATATCTAGTCCTAATCAGAACCTCTACAACAATTCTGATAATCACAATTACCCACAGAACGACACCCAAGCTCTCCTCGACGGCGTCACTAAGAAACTCGAAGCAGAACTCGAAGCAGAACTCAAAAAGCTTGAAAAAAGCCGACTTCGACTCCCGTATTCGTTTTCCAACTCTAGTAATACCACTTTGACCATGGCTGCCCCAGAGCAGCAGCTGGCCACGCGCCCGCAACAGCTCGTCTTCGTCGATGGAGTCTTTTCGGACTTGGCGCAGGAGATGGCCGATTATCTTCATATCAGCGACGATGTGAAGCCCCTCATCGAACAAGATCAGAAAGATGAGGTTCTTAAGAAGATAATTCTCGCATCCGTCGCTCTCCATTCGGTTCCCGAAAAGGAGTTCACTGCGGCCTACAACCTCCTTATCCATCTCGTTCTACAGTCCGACAACATATCCATGTTCCTTCCTCGAGTTTGCGACAACTTAATGAAGCCCGTCGGCTCCTCGCTTCTGAACGGTCCCAGCCTATCGCTCAATGTTCTTGGCAACATCTTTAATTTGCTTGAGCCAGAAAACCCTCTGCGATACAATGTTTTCATGACTATCTTGCGATTCATCAAGGAGAATGGTATGCTCGACACCATCACCAACTATCTGTCATCGCTTCCGGAATGGTTCAAGGATTGGGACACCAACGAAGAAGACCAACGAAAGCTATACCTAGAGGTTGCTGACGTAGCTGACGAGTATCTGCGAGAAGAGTAAGTGAATAATTTATGTTAAGCATCTCGCTATTAATTAGCTAACAATGAATGGTACAGTCTCTCATTCCAATATATACTCAAGGCACTCAACACCTTTGACGATGAAGAAGTCAAGTCGGAGGAGGCCGCAAAGCTTGCTCTCCGCGCCCTGAAGATTGCGCTCGAATCTCTCAACCATCTAGATTTCCAGGACCTTCTTGCCGTCCCGGCCATTCAGGTGCTCTCGGACACGCACCCGGTTTACTTCGAGCTGCTCACAATCTTTGCCGAAAAGGATTTGGAAGACTACAATGATTTCAATGACGAGCACGAAGGCTTCATCGAGAAGGAACATCTTAATGGCGAGGTCCTTCTTCGCAAGATTCGGCTACTCACCTTCGCAAGTCTTGCAGCAAGCGCCCCCAGCCGTGAGATTCCATACGAGCAGATCGCCAAGGCGCTTCAAATTCCCATCGAGGAGGTTGAATGGTGGGTCATTGACGTGGTTCGTGCCAATCTTGTCGAGGGAAAGTTTGCGCAGAAGAAGAAGATTTTCAATCTTCACCAGACCCGTTACCGAGTCTTCGGCGAGAAGCAATGGCGCGAAGTGGGCGACCGCCTCGACGGCTGGAAGATACTGCTTCAGAACGTGATCGGTACCTTGCGACGAGGACAGGCCGATGTCGAAGCACTTAAGAAGCGCGAACAAGAGGACATCGAGCGACGTCTGGCGAATGCAGGCATCGGTGGGAACTCTTCCGGCTTTGGTGGCTTTGGCGGTGGCGGACGACGGGGTGGTGGTGGTGCTGGCGGTGGTGATCGTAGCGAGCGTGCGCCCCGCAAGGAGCGCACCGACGACGACGATTAAACGACACTACCTCCTTTTACCTTCCCTCTCTTGTTACGATTCCCGGCTTTTGATTGATGGCATGAGGCACGGTCTATGGCGTATTCGGCATTACAGGGCGAGAGTTGGCCCCCCCATACTTTTGATTGCGCATGATTCCCAGGATTAGTACTACTTGGCCAAAGGTGATGGAGGCGTCTCTACGGAGTCCCCCATTCACACTGACGCGTTGTGGTAGTTGCAACCCCTACTCCCTTAGTCTTTGTTCAAGGGGGTATGAAGGGGCCGCAGGAATGATGACGATGATAATGAGCAACCTCGAGGTTGTCAATTGATCCAGGGGCTGGCCGGTTCGGGGCGATCGATGCTTTACAGAGGCTTGTTTGTGTATTTAGAGGATACAAAAAAGTTTTCAGGAACGCATTTGCGACTGAATTCAACCCCACCCCGATTGCAAGGGATATGAAAACTTGTTCTTAAGTGATTCTATATTCGTGTGTCTGTCTTGTCTCTTCGCAGCGTGAAATTATGGCAGCAACAGCTCCATAGTAGAAGCTACCTAACTGAATGCTTGGAAATATATCGTCACTGGCTTGGATCGGTGGGTAGGTAGGCTATTTTTGAATGTTCGTACGTCCGCAATCATCGTGTATTCTCGTCTCTTTTCTGTTTCTGTCTCTCTGGCTGTCTGCAATGTTTGCCTGTCTGTCTGTCTGTCTGTCTGTCTATATATATGAGGCGGAAGACGTCTACTACGTCTACGTCTATCTGAACCAAAAAGGAAAAGAAAGAAAAAGAAAAAAACCCCTGCTGCGCATATGCTTTTTTTTTTCTGTAGTAGAAAAGAATAATAACTCGTTTCCATTCACACACAGGTTACTGTCTTATCTTTAACCTTCCCTTCCCCCACCCACCCCACCCCACCCCCTAAGAACCCGGAAATGTCTTCTTCGCACAGAAGGCACAGAAGGCAATGAATATCACGGCAAATTGTAAACAAGACCCAGGACAACAAGCCAGCTACGCGAACTCGGGCCCCAGCCTCTCGGCAAGATGCCTCCTGGTCTCGGCGAAGACGGCGTCGGGCTCGGGGGTGGCATCGATGCGGACGACGCGGCGCTGGGAGTCGAAGTAGTCGACGACGGGGAGGCTGGTGTCGAGGAAGGTGCGGAAGCGCTTGCGGATGGAGTCTGCGTTGTCGTCCTCGCGGCCGGAGGTCTTGCCGCGCTCGAGCAGGCGGCGCTCCATCTCGGCCTCGGGGCAGTCGTAGAAGAGGACGAAGCGGGCGGGCACGACGGCCTCCTCGAACTTGTGCGCCTGGTCCAGCTTGCGGGGGAAGCCGTCGATGAGGAAGCGGCCTCTTCTTGTTTTATCAGGGGAGGAGGAGGAGGAAGGGGGGGAGGGGGAGGAGTTGAGGATCTCGCGCATCGAGTTCTCGAGCAGGGCGATGGTGACTTCCATGGGCACGATGAGCCCGTTGCGGATGTGGTGGCGGATGAGGTCGCCGAACTCGGAGTCGGGGCGGTTCTGCTCGGCGCGCAAGAGGTCGCCGGCGGAGAGGTGCGAGAACCCGTACTGCGAGACGAGGTTGGAGCATTGGGTGCCTTTGCCGGCGCCGGGGCCGCCGAGGACGAAGATGACGGTTACGGCGGCGGGGTCGAAGACGGGGGTCGTGCGGTCTTTGAGGGTGTCGATGGTGGACATTTTGGGGGATTGTTGGTGGTGGTTGAGTTTGAGTAGGGGGTTTGTTTTGGTTTGTTTTGGTTTGTTTGTTTGTTTATATAGGTAAGGGGTATAATACGTTGGATTAATATAGAAAGGTATTATAGTAGTTATTTAGAAGTGGTGACGAGTGGAAGTAAAAGGAAAAGAGGGAAAAGAGGATCCTCTGTACAATCAACAATTCAAGTTGTACTAGGTTAGGTAGGTAGGTAGGTAGGTAGGTAGGTAGGTAGGTAGGTAGGTAGGTAGGTAGGTAGGTAGTAAAGTAGGTAGGTGACACTTTCGATTTGTTTGTTGTCTCCAAGTTTTCCAACTTTGAAATGTTTCCAAGGTAGAATTAATTCAATGCGACGGCGTAATTTCTCCCACCTGTGATATATTAAGTACTTGTTGTAAGTCCCCCCCGCATAGTTGTACATAGACATGCCCCTCCTTGTAGTCGAGCTCCACTTCGTCATGTGTTATCAGCTATTATCGAATAACTATAAACTCGATTAATGCATGTTTGAATATGTAGATATGTATGTACCGTACATACGGAGGTATACGGTATATATTCTCTACGAATACCCTCTACAGTGTCTAGCTACCTTATTATATTTGTAGGTAAGCTGCAAGTATCTAATGGTTGAGAATATGATCTCTAGCGTTGACACTGCCGAAGATGGCTCATAGGCTTGCGGAAAAATGAGTTGACTTCGAATAGTCTATCAGAAGTCACCTGTATGACGGGGAATCATGGTATGGACATTATGAGAGATGAGAGTTAAAACCTAGCTTTTTTATACATAACTATCTCCTACCAATACCCGTGGATATACTATAGACTCCATCGAAGGCCGACGAGAAAGAGCCACTGAATGTAGGTACATAAATACTGTTACCCAATATCTAAGCAACTATCCAGCCCTCCTCGCGGACACATTCCTATATATCATCCGTCAACAATACCTTCCTATCTGAGTTTGCAAAGCAGCTAGGAATACAGCTTATACAGGTAAAAACTAGCATGGGAGAAGGAAGGAAGGAAGGAAGAAAGAAACAACCCTTAAAAAAACAAAGCAAAACTCACCTGCTCTCCGCCCTCGACCTAGCCAGGAGCACATAGCCCGCCGACCCCATGGCGATGATGGCTGCGAACGGCCAGAACTTGACCGCGTTGTTGGGGCCCCTGGGCGGCTGAGCGCTGTAGCCTCGTGACGGGGATGGATGAAAGGAGGTGCCAGAACGCCAAGTTCGAAACCGGGAGGGCTGCCGCGACGTGCTGCTTGTGGTGCCTGCCATTGGAGAGGTGGTGTCCAGGAAAAAAGGGGGGGCCGTTTCTTGTTAATGATTCAGGTTGAGGTGGGCTGGGTAGGTGGTCTCGGTTAACCAGCCGGAAACACTTTTGTTTTCGCTTCCTCGTATCAGCCTCGCTCAAAAGGTGTTATGTACCTTATGTAGGTCTATCAGTTTTGCGCCGCAATATGTATCAATGAAACGAACTGTGTCGGTTGGTCGATGGTTTTTTTTTCTTCGAATATGAGCGCTGATGGGGATATGAGTGGACGAAGCTGTAAGGAGCTTAAAACCGGCCCACTGTCAGCCGATAGTTTACAGTTACTTAGCTACGCTAGAACCGATTCTCTGTCCTTCCCGGCTGGCTGCCGGTCCGCTGCCATCCGGGGTACATGCATACGCTTAACCTAATAGCCCGTACATACATATCAATGATTTCGACGTCAAAATCCTTTGTGCCTTCCCGGGTGCACTGCCCTGCATGCCCTGCAGGTACATACTTGTACATATATTCGTACTAGGTATACTCATTTCGCTTACAAAGTGATATTGATATATCATGTAGCACTGCCAGACATGTCTGTCGTGATACCCTCACACAACATTGAACAGCCTCGTACATCTCAATATTTGATATTGCCTTGACTATAGTTATTATTTTTAGTAATTTCTCTGTTTATTACCTCTTCTTTACCGCTTCTTCCTTCAATACGCATGCTTTCTACGTGTACATAGCAAATGCTATACTTTACCTAATAGTATACACACACACCCTTCTTCCCTTACTTCGCTGAAGAGCCTTCCCGCCACCCGCGTTCGCGTGGCTACACGTGTAAGTACTGCGCCTCGTCGCCTTGCTTCAAGTGACAAGTGCACATGTGGGCTCAGGTCATGCTGGAGGTCGCTATGATATCTATGGATATACCTAGGTTAGATACATACCTGGTAGGTAAGCAAGTAAGTAAGTAAGAAGGCATTATCACTTAAGCTGTCAACACACATCACGATATCAAAGAAGAAAGATAGGTAGGTAGGTAGGTATACAGTTTTTTATATCGGTAGCTAAATACCCTTTCTACCTCCCTGCTACCTGCCTAGGTAGGCTAGGCAGGCCAGCAAGGCAAGCAACAACTAATTAAGATAAAATAATGTAAGTGAGTATGTTCAAAATATAAAAAATAATAAAAAATGGAAAAAAGAGACGTGGTTTGCTCATTTCCATCCCCGAGGTATAATGTAAATATCCCAAGTTCGTTCGCCAGTGTCAAGTAGTTTCCACCAGCAAAACCCATTTCAATCAATCAATCAACAAAAAGAAAATCCCCATTTCCTTTCCTTTCCATTCCTTTCCCCCCCAACCCAACCCAAGATATCATTATCCTCGAGAAGTGGGAAGAATAAAACGCCGTGTAGTTTGTTGTAGTCGTTGTGATTGTTGTTGTTGTTGTTGTTGGTATCTTTGTTGATGTAGACTTGAATCATAAAAAACCACCACCTCTTAAAAGGGGGGAATATCCTATCCAAGCAAGTATCGATTTGACCCTCTCGCTCCAGCTCAGCTGAACAAAGGAAATTAAGGCTACCTTATATATCAGATAACACAATTTTTGATATTTTATATTTTTTGTAACTTTTAGGTTTTTTTCTTCTCGTACACAGGTACATACGCTCACCGCGCATGACCGAAATACGTCTGCGCCGGTGGCGGGCTCTTTACCGCTGCATCAGCATAGGCGCCCGGGATGGGCACGGCGTCGTACTGAACCTCGCCAGGGGCGACCGGGCCATGCTCGTTGGAAGTGCTGGGTCCGGCTGGGCTGCTGGGGGACGTGGGCGTTCGGAATCCGCTCTGGTTCAGTTTAGGGGTGGCCGAGGGGGCTTTGCTTGGCGGGGCCTGCAGCTTGAACGGCTTCTCGGTTGGGCTGCTTGTTGAGCTCGGGCTCGTGCTCGCGAAGTTGGACGGCGGCTCGGCGATCTGCGCTCCAGGCGTGAACGCCGGCCCTTCCGAGATGTCCGACAGCGATTTGTAGGCCGATGGCGGGAAGCGTGGCGACATGGCGTATTGGGAGAAGGATGGTGACTTAGGGCCAAAGCCTGGCGTGTTAGGCGCGGACTGTGATCGCAGCTGAGCCAAGTATAGGTCGGACCGGGCACGGTCTCGCAAGTCCATCGACTTGGCTAGGCGCCGCTTCGTATAGTAGCGGTAGAAAACGACGCTGTACAGAGTGATCGTGATGACGTCAACGACGATCTCAATGATGATACAAATCAGGGCCCAGTTCTAAGGAAGCGCGTGTTAGCTATGGTGCTCGGTTAAAGGATACACTCACACGACTGCTACGTACCTGAAGTCTGCAGACAAGCTCGTAGTCGACCTTTTGCGAGAACAGATCTGACCGATGATTTTGGACGCACGACCATCCCCACATGTCTTGGTTGTTGCTGTTGTTCCTCGTAAATTGGAAGACACCTGCGGCGGCAGCCCACAAGATTATAGAAACGATGAACCAGCCCACTGCAAACAGCGTGTAGTAGACACCAACTTTCTCGGCACGAGCGTGACCACCTCGACAATACCCGATAAAGATGAGGATACAGATGAGTAGATTGACGCAAGAAACGCTTAGCACGAGTATTTGCGGCCAAGTGGTCGTGCTGGATGACCATGCTGGTAACCCGTTTTGCGCCGGTAGGCCTTTTGTCGCGTGGAAGATGGAGAGGGTAGAAGTGAGCATGGCTAAGATGATAAGACTGCAGCTAAAGCTGACACCTCGAAGCGCAAACTTGGCCATTCGCACTTTCGTTTTGAGACCCTACGCTGCGTGTTAGTCCCAACTCGTGTATTACTCAATCATAGAGTGACCTACCAAGTCTCGCCCTTGCTCTTTCTCTGTATCCTTCTCCCGTTTATCTAAGATATCCTCTTCCCTGAATGTCGGGCTTAAGGGGTTCTCGATTTTCCTCGCTGGGGTGCCCGGGATCCTCATCGCGCTCTTCAGGGGCGTCTTTGGCGTCATTGGTACATTTCCGGGTTCCCTACTCGTGTCGTCGTTTATATATCCAAACCCAACATCCGCTGGTTGTGCTCGATCAGATTGTGATCTATTGTCTCTTCCAAATGGCAAATTTCGCTCCTCCACTGGTGAGTAAACCGTCGTAGCTTCAGCAAATCTCGGCGTCCTTGGTGGTTTGAGCGACGATGTCGAAGATGAGCCGGTGGATGATTGCCGCGATGGGCCTAGGTTGAGGGCGGCAGGCCGCCTCCTATCTTCTAACGGTGCCATTGTACCTTGGTGTAGTTTGAAAAGAAGGAAAGTAAAAGAAGGGAAATCTCAGTCTATGCAAGGGGGCTAGCTACTGTATGTTTGTTTGATAGCTTTACACATAAAACCAATACTTATGTAGCTTAAAGATGTAAATGCAGCAGTATGAGATGAGATGGGGAGAGACCAGCTATCGAAGAAGGAAGATATCCTAGAGTAGGGTAGTTGGGGGAGGCAGCGGTTTTGTGTAGGCGCCACCACAAGACCCTACCACCTCATTCGGCCCTCTATAGAAGTATTCTGCATGGGATTGTTAGTCAATGGAGCTACAAGAGACGCAACGGGATGGCTAACGGTGGATCGGGGGTAGGAAATCGGCCGGATGCAAGCCTCTGATAGGACGGCTAGAACCCCCCCAATATCCAAGTAGTACGATTATGAAAATAGACGCCCATAGGCAAATGGCTCGGCGCCAGAGACTTACCTGGGTTGTGTCGGAATCTCCAGGTCGACGTGTCAACGTTGATTTAAATTGTGATGAAGCAAGTTACAGGTTTTCTTGATACTAAACGTGCAGCGGATTTTAAAGACAGGAGAACGGGAGGAAGGCTGTTGCAGAAACCAAGGTGATGCTGACGAACGAAGTCTTCACAGAAGCGAGAAAGGCTGAGTATATGTGAGAGAAGAGGGGGGGTGTACAGATCCCGTTGGGAGGACGATACTTTGTTCCCACGGGTATACATTATACATACACAAGGCGAGATAGGTTTCTCACCGTGGAGGCCACCTACAACTATCTGGGGGAAAGTACTTACATCACCACACCACATATCGGACAGTCGGACGAGCTTACATGGTAAAAGACCTACATGTAAGGTAGTATGTATGTAATTCCATGCAAATTCTCTCATCTGTAGAATCGACAGGCCATTTTTTTTACAGCCAACCGCCTCTTGGTTGCAGCTCTGGGCATGGTGATTGGGGGCTTCAGACATTGCAGACCTACACAATGTACGAATTAGGTGAAGGACAAGACTTACTAGAGACAAGGGACCCCTTCCCGGTTGAGCGCAAGAACGGGAAGAATGGATTATGGTTGGATGCCCTAGGGTGCCTTGCACGAGCCGGCGCGAATCTCCTTAGGCGCTTTCATCACCCCCCTGTTGGCGATCTATCAATTTAATAGGCAGATAATACCCCATGTATGACCCATGCCGTGTGCAAGGTTGAAGACACGGACCAATCAGCTGTTAAAGAGACGTGATATCGTACAGCAAGCTGCATGGATGAGGTTGTACCTGGGCGGTAAGCTTCCAAGTTCCAAGGTTATTACAGCCATGAGAAGGCTTACGGGCAATATTCGGACATCAAGTCCCGACTTTCCCTCGCTGCGCGGCGCACACATTTTCTCTTCTCACAATTTGAGTGAGGCCTTTAGAGCCCGATACTGTGGCGTGGGCGAATAAAATCGACCTGGCCCTAACCAAGTATATGCAGTCTGTTTGATCCATCTTAATTCACCTTGATATACTACTAGGTACTAGTAGTACAGAAGGATCTTTAAGAACATTGAATCTCTTGAAGATTCCTGTAGGTCTCATATACCAAATATCTGAAAGGCCTCTTGTGTAATGGCAGAAGGCTGAATTGGAAGACATTCATACCTATGTATCTAAGTATGTCATTGTCTTTTTTTAGCATAAAACCCCCCATGACAGTGCACTCGGCCATATTGGGGAAAATGATAGCGAGGGTTGGTGGCCGTTGTGATCAGTCGAATGTAACCCAAGTGCCCAAGGACTCTCCTAGGATCGGCACCACGGACGGCGGGAATGAGAAGGGGGGAAGGTCAATTTTGTGATATATGTAATTCCGTCGTGCAACCGCACTGAGGCTAGCTTCGCCTACGTACTATGTAGGTAGTATATGACGGTATGACGGTCTTGGACGATGGCTATATTTAGCACTTCTGTGCGCACAGCCAAAATCATTATACTTCAGGTGTGGCACTCAGCCGTTCGAAGTTCGAACACGGTCTGGATACCATTCAGCATATCTCCATGACGGCCGTGTATTCATTCAATGTGCAGTAATCGTCGGCGAACTGAGGTATCGGTATCGATCATGTATATGCCTACATGTAGTACTCGAGTCTCGTGTTTAGAAGATTTCTAGAAGACTTGCGGAGGGAAGATGTATAAAATGTTAGAAAAGTGCAATTGAAACAAGAGACATTTCAAAGAATTATAATTGTAAGTTATTCACAATTTGATGTTCTATACTAGGTATAATATTCACAATTTGAAGGTCTATACTAGGTATAAGTAAATATGTACATAGTGGATTAGGTTGCCCCTCCTTCCTTATCTTATCAGCGCAAAGCAGAAGGAGTCATACACAACCTCGAACTTCTTTACGAAAATTCCCAAACCTAACACCCAAACGTCATTTCGTAACTTCTTGAGCACTCAACTCAACTAATCTCATCGCTTACTCTACAGATTTAGAAATCGACAAAAGACGGACAAGTGAAATAAGAAAACAAACGCTTAGTTTTTTTGTTCTCAAATCACTCCACAATGTCGGCGCCTGACAAGTTTGGCAACGATATCGAGTCCGAGTCGGATTCTGGGAATGAGTCCATCAACGATGGTGTTGAAGATGTGGAGGAACTAGATCAAAAACCACTCAAGTCCGCCATGAAGAAATCACCAATGGCTGCCGTTCCTATCGAACGTCCTTATCTTCCTCCGCAAACCGACGCGAAAGACCTCGATCTTCCATCGCTAACCCCTCTCACCCCCGAGATCATCGCCAGGCAAGCTACGATCAACATTGGCACCATTGGCCATGTCGCCCACGGAAAGTCCACTGTAGTAAAAGCCATATCCGGTGTACAGACCGTCCGTTTCAAGAATGAGCTCATTCGAAACATTACCATCAAGCTAGGTTACGCGAATGCCAAGATCTACAAGTGCGACAACCTCGAATGTCCCCGACCTGGTTGCTACCGTAGTTATAAGAGTGAGAAGGAGGTAGATCCTCCCTGCGAACGCGAAGGGTGCAGTGGTACTTACAGACTTTTACGCCATGTTTCGTAAGTCCATGATAATTATTATTACGTGCCTATCTTGCTAGCACCAAATACTGACAAGTTTGTAGCTTTGTCGATTGCCCTGGTCACGATATTCTCATGAGTACTATGTTGTCAGGAGCTGCAGTCATGGACGCTGCTCTTCTACTCATTGCCGGAAACGAATCCGTACCTCAACCACAGACTTCCGAGCATCTGGCAGCCATCGAGATTATGAAGCTCGATAAGATCATTATCCTTCAGAACAAGGTCGATCTAATGCGCGAAGAAGCTGCCCAGCAACACTACCAGTCAATTCTGAAGTTTGTGCGCGGAACACCTGCCGCCAAGTCCCCTATAATTCCCATTTCTGCCCAGCTGAAGTTCAACATCGATGCCATCAACGAGGCTATCGTCAATACCATCCCCGTACCTCCTAGAGATTTTACTCAAGAGCCGCACATGATGGTTATTCGATCCTTCGATGTCAACAAGCCTGGTGCTGAGATTGAGGAGCTGAAGGGTGGTGTTGCAGGTGGCAGTATCTTACACGGTGTGCTGAAATTGGGTGATGAGATTGAGATAAGACCAGGTATCGTGACCCGTGACGACAAAGGTGCTCTTCAATGCAAGCCCATCTGCAGTCGTATTGTATCCCTGAATTCTGAGTTCAACGACCTGAAATACGCTGTTCCTGGCGGTCTTATCGGTGTCGGAACTCGCATCGATCCTACCCTTTGTCGTGCTGATCGCTTGGTTGGTTTTGTTCTCGGCCTCAAGGGCCGTCTTCCTGCCATCTACAGTGAAATCGAAGTCAACTTCTATCTACTGAAGCGACTGCTTGGTGTTCGAACAGCGGACGGCAAGCAAGCCAAGGTTGCTAAGTTGGCTAAGAATGAAGTGCTCATGGTGAACATCGGTTCTACTTCAACCGGTGCGAAGGTGGCTGCCATCAAGCAGGATGCTGCGAAGCTCTCATTGACTAGTCCTGCCTGCACAAATCTGGGAGAGAAGATCGCCCTCAGCCGAAGAATTGAGAAGCATTGGCGTCTAATCGGCTGGGCTACCATCACAGCGTAAGTTTCCGTTCTAGTGTGTATAATGTTGCCATGTTTACTAACGGATATGATAGTGGTGTTACATTGGAGCCTACCGAATCGTGAGACCTACACCTGGCTCGCAAGAAACAACTCGTATTTTACTTTAGAGCATCGATCAGACGTATGAACAGACGGTAGCTCTTAGGGGAAGGGGAAGGGGAAGGGGGTTCGTTATCAAGAAGAAAGTGCCTCGAGCACTTCGCAAGGAGACGACGGCCCACCCCCGGGGATAGGCAGGGGAAAACCCCAATGAGGCTTTGTAACTAAAGAACGGCGACTAAGGAAATGGATTAAGGATGAAGTCGTGTACCTGCGCACCGAATCAATGCAGTTACTATGCTTCAGAATTCTAAAAGTCTTTTTTACTTTCTCCCAAGAAGTAGACTGGTAATAGCATAGCGATTGGCTAGGTACCTAGGCAATGATATGACATTGCTATACTAAACTGAGCTGGTTGATATAACCTAACCTAGTGACTTCGTAAGCACCTGTAGCGCCTACATATGGCACGGCTTGGGTATGCTGTTTAAGTAACACTGGGTATCTACCTACGTATCTGGATACCTAGGTAGTAAGTAACTTTATAGTAAAGCTACCCAAGCTAGGTACATGTAGGGGTTTATGGGGGGGGGTAAAATGTCAAGCCGTGGTCGTCTATAGCTGTAGATCGTGAGTTTGAGATCGGAGGTAACTATTCCACATGGATATCTAACCTACCTATCTACCTAGAAGCAAGTAAGTAATAGTTATACCCATCCTGATGCTTCCGTGGTGTACCTGTCTACCTACCTACCTACCTACCTAGATAGATAGATAGATAGATAGAAAAAAACGGTGCTTTGGTAGCTACGTGCCCTAGGTAGGTAGGTAGGTAGGTATCTCATCTACCTAGAATAGGGGCAGGCTATATGCTATATATTAAGAATGAAAAGCTATACTCATGAGTGCTTGGATTCTCTCGCCGACCTTGTGTAAGAGTAGATAGGTAGACACGCTGGTCAAGTTCCAGACTATCTAGGCACCTAGTTTACCTAGGCATGTACGCAGTAATTCGTTTATACTGCCTACACGGAAACGTAGGCGTAGCATAACGTGATTATCTCGTTATTAAGTTAGGGTGAATTTGGACTATACTCTACTTATACAATGTCATAACCTAGAGAACAAGAAATGAATCAAAGAGTAAGTCTTGAAAGCGAGGTGGTAGGTATTAATATTATTTGTATTGTATTGCGCTTTCTACTTCCTAGTTTTCCTGGCATGCTTCACGAGGTTTTCTATGACGCCCTCGAACGCCTCTCTGTCCCCGACCTTTTCGTCGGCACGCTTCTTCCAATACTCGAGCACCTCTTTAGCCCGCACTTCCATGTTCTGCAGCTTCTTCATGTGCTGCTGGAGTTCTGGGACGGTCATTCCGGCTAACGCTTCTTCTGTGGTCATGCACAGCTGCTTCGCTGACACTAAATCCAACTCTGGTGCCTCAGGGGGCCCCTTCCGCCTCTTCGAATCCGACCTTGGTTTCTCCTTGCCTTGAGAGTCTACGGAGACTGATGAATTGTTATCGGTGCCGGGCTTCTTGAGCTGGGAGGCAGACCGAGAATCCGTTGATCCGCGCAACGAGCCATTCGAGGTGGCATGACGGACGGATGGTAGCACGAGCTTCTTCTGTTTAGAAGCTGGTAATATCTCATCTAGATCCACAGGTACACCAAGCGATACAAGAAATAGACGCCTTATGCGGGATCGGATCCAATCAGGAGGCTGAAGAGGCGGAGGAGCAGCAAGTTGTGACCAAAGGGAGGCGCTCCGTGGGTTGAAGAATATAGGGTTGTCCTTAGGAGTGGATGATAGGGCTGGGAGCTCCTGTACTTCAGGAGAGTATAGAGCATCCAGGTACGGTTCAGTCGCAGTCAATATGTCTTCAGAATCAAGACCGTCCAGGTCCAATATTGGCTGGCGAGGGAGATAGTTAGCATATTTGTGCGGCTACCTAACGAGGGCTCTAAACGTACAAATGAGGGAATTGAGACTTGGGGCTGAGGAGCAGACACAGGCGTCGATACTTCTGCCTCAGCCGCGTCAAAGCCATCGTTAAAGTCGCCAAAATCAGCATCTTCATCACCCTCTTCAAAATCGTCAAAGTCGTCGCCAAAATCGTCATCGTCATTGTTAATGCTATCATCATTCCCTCCACCAAAACTTCCCGTTGACTTTGCTGTCGAAGATTTCCTCCGTCGATGTGTTGTTGGTGATTGCAGTGATGGGGCTACAGCCGCGTTATCTACGAGGGCAGGGTCAATCGCACTGGGTAGCTTAGGAGGACTTGGCTGCCGTACCAGTTGCTTCTTTGGTGGTTTCAAGCGAGGAGGGTGTCGAATTCGCCTCGCCAGTACCATCAGGTTTGCGAATAATGTCTGGAGAGGCGTCTGCCTCATGGAGACTTTCACGATGACGGTGAGAAGAAAAGCCAGGCTCGTCTGCGGCTTCCTCGACTACAGTCTTTGGAATGGGATGACCCCCAGGCGTTACAGGTCTATCGGGGGAAACATATTCTGGCTTCTTATCTTGAATAATAGCAATCTCGTCGGGCTCGGCATCCCTTGTCCGTTTCTGGTAAGCTTCCGTACCCGGGACTTCACCGTAAGACGGCTCATCATCCACTTTCTCAACTCGGGTCCGCGGTACGGGCGAAATAGATCCAGGGCTGTTCTCTGGAGATGAGTGCGCATCCGAAAAGTGGTCGTCTGAGTCGGAGACTATGACGGGTAGAGAATTAGCGGTGAGAAGAACTCTTGAGGGGTAATTAAAACATACCAAGATCGTGGGCACCGGAATCCTCTACATCCTTCCTCTTTGGAGCCTCGAGGCTAATTGACGTCGTCCTCTCTCTAGCCATGATGGAAAGTGTGTTGGAAAAAATGAGCTAAGTGACCTGCACTGAAATTGAAAACTTGTAAAGTTGAAAATATAGTTGTTTACCACCACTGGAGGTTATGGCCTGCCCTGGTTAATACAACGAGGTTGACCTGAGGGGTACCGTAAGACAAAGTAACGGGGTTTGGAGAGCAGTTAAGGATAGGAGAAGACAATAGGTCGTATTTAGGGATCTAGGAAAAGGCTGTAGGATCTATAGAAGATATGTGAAGCTGCTGAATTATCTTTCCTGTCGTCCTGCCCTTTGAAGTGAAGTGATGTATAGAGATCGAAACTTGAGTTCAAGGATCGGAGACATATGTTACTAGTTAGGTAGGTGGTGAGGGCGGGCAGTTTCTTGGTAGGCATCATGTGTTACATAGAAAACGGGTGGAACTAATTAACTGTGGTAAAAACTTTAATGCATTCACTGTTACACTCAACGATACATAGTTAACTATTAGTTAAGCCTCAATTTGGAATGTGGCTGAAGCTCTTTGCGACTCAGGTGGTATGCACATGTGGTCTATGCGCAGCTAGTCGCGTCCAACTTCAACCTCTTTGAAGCTTGTCGCGCAAAAAAGTGGTCGGTCTGATCTGTGATGTAGACAAAAGAAAAAAAAAAGAAAAAAAGGTAAAGAGAAAGTATCACTTCCCTATCCACTTCAGTGCCACATTTAACGACAACATACATACAACTGCTAGGTACATGTTTACCTACTACCTACTACCTACTACCTAATTAACCCAATTACCCAATTCATTCTCTATGAAAGCTTTATTTTCTATGAAAGCTTTAACTAGTTCATTGGGTCACTAATTCATTTATAGCCAGATTAAGATAACTTTTTGACTTACGATAGGGTCATCATTGTTATTCTTCATTAACCAGGCTTGCGCATCTCTAGAATAATCGCTGACTTGAGGCTGACTTAAGGATGCGTGGGAGTCTATACTACTTAGTAGTAAACACCAGCTAACTAACTGGATTAGACGGACCATCACATTCCAACCAACAAACACGGGCAGTTATCGATTTCAACCCATTCCATTCTCCTCTCCACCAAACACACCACTAAACACACACATCCTTACATTCCAGCACTCGAATATTGCCAATATCGTACACCGCGTAGTACACAATGTCGATTTTCGGTAATGCGAGCTCCGGTGGCCAGTCCAACAATGCCACTACATCCAGTGCTCCCTCTACTGGTGGCTTGTTCGGCTCGTCAACCCCGACAAATTCGACCAATCTCTTCAGTAGCCCTCCCGCTGCTGGTTCTAGCTTTTCCTTTGGAAACCTAGGTGGAGGTACCAATCCTTCTACTACTACCCCGACTGCACCACCTGGAACCTCTGGAGGCGGACTCTTTAGCAGTGCTGCCAAACCAGCACTCGGAACAACGCCAACGAGTAACACCCCCGGATCATCTGGAGCTACTGGTGGATTGTTTGGTAATAGCTCCCAAACTCCCACCTCAAATCTCTTTGGTGGTGGTGCGAAGCCAGCACAGTCTACCAACCTGTTTGGAAATACTAGTACTTCAACTCCTCCCTCAGGCACCGCGAACCAAACAACGACCCCCCCTACAGCAGGCTCCTTTTCCTCAGGCGCAATGTTTGGAGGCAAAGAAAACAACCCTTCCACTAGCACTCCTACCTCTCAACCTGGCGGAATGTTTGGAACCAATGCCGGCAGTAGCGCCAGCAATATCTTTGGCAGCTCAACTCTTGGTAACACCCAAGCTAGTAAAGCTCCCGCTCCTAACTTATTAGCCACACCTGCGAAACCGACGTTTTCCAACCTCAATTCGACTACTCCTGCGGGCGCGCCTCCCACAAAACCTACAGCTAGTCTCTTTGGAAACCCCGGAGCGCAAGGCGCATCTCCCTTTGCCTCGGCGCCACAAGCAGATAAGAAGGAAACTCAGCCAGCTAGCTTTTCATCGGGTCTTGGAAGCTCCTCACAAATTGGTACGGCAGCCCAGCCATCGTCTTCTACCACGGGAACTCCTTCACTTCTTGGGAACGCTGGCCAGTCCTCAACCTCGACCTCGACCCCGAACCTCTTTGGCGGAAAGCCCACCGATAACGCGGGTGGCTTATTTGGTGCGAAAGCTGCAACTGCGCAAAGTGGCACACCAACTTCAACTGGACTTTTCGGTCAACAAGCCGCCAAGACTGCTGAGACACCCTCTACTAAGCCTGCAAACGCTCTATTCGGGGGAACCAGCACCACCCCAGCCGCACCCGCAACGCAATCCCTCTTTCCAAACTTGAGCAAACCCGCAAGCACTAATACTACCTCTGAGACAACTCCGAAGCCAGCAACTTCTATGTTCGCGGGAAAGCCAGCACCTTCCGAACCAGCCAACTCTACTACAACGTCTAGCCTCTTCGGCGGCAAACCTACTTCGGCGGCTGGAGCCCCGGCAGCTTCTGCCACTGCTTCTGCACCGACTTCCACTACGACCACATCTGCAGCCCCAGCCCCAGCTGCGAGCAGCATGTTCGGAGCCTCATCCAAAGCTGCGCCCGCAGCGGATGCGGCAGCGGCGCAAACCGCTACAGGAGCTAGTTCGACTCTAGGCGCTTCCACTGCCGGTCCTACATCTTCTATGGCGCGGCTCAAGAACAAGACGATGGATGAGATTATTACTCGCTGGGCCACGGATCTATCCAAATACCAGAAGGAATTCAAGGACCAAGCAGCCCAGGTAGCTCAGTGGGATCGATTACTGGTCGAGAACGGAGAGAGGATCCAGAAGCTCTATCTAGAGACCTTTGAGGCCGAGAAGGGAAGCCGTGAGATTGAGCGACAGCTCGTCGGCATCGAGAGTCAACAGGAGGAGCTCGAGTCATGGTTGGACAGATACGAGGGCGAGGTGGATGCCATGTTTTCCAAGCAGCTCGGTCATGGAGAGCAACTTACAGGACCTGACCAAGAGCGCGAGAAGACGTACAAGCTTGCCGAGAAGATCACAGAGAGACTGGACGACATGGGTCGTGACTTATCTAAGATGATCAAGGAGATCAACGAAATCTCCAGCACTGTGAGCAAGGGCAGCAAGCCAGATGATCCAGTAAGTTTTCATCCACGCCTAATCTATATAATATTGAACATTTACTAATGCGCCATCCTTCTCAGTTGAGCCAGATTGTCCGTGTCCTTAATGGACACCTTTCTCAGCTTCAGTGGATTGATACCAATGCTGCTGCGCTTCAAGCCAAGGTTGCCGCTGCACAGAAGGAACGGAACTCGATCAGCAGTCATTACGGCGGCCCAGAGCAAGAGAACGTGGAGAGCTTCTACCGATCCTACATGGGACGCAGATAGGTTACGAGGTTGGTAGTTCACCTGCCTACCTCATCATCCCTGCCTGGTAATAATTACGATGGTTCGGGCTAATGGGGGAGTAATTGCTGCAGGGAGAGGGTTTCGTGTAGGAAGAGGAAATTATGCACATATTTCAGGTTTCGATACACCCATGACAACATGTCTGAGGGTACGGGAATAGATTCTGAAAAAAGGGCATTGCGTGATCAAGCAAGGACGTGGGAATTGATTCTCAAGATAGCAACGAAAAGAGCACACCCATTGCATTATGTGTGCAATTGGCGGTATTTATGTACACTAAGACATGGCAAAAATGCGATGGCCGAAGGACGGAATTTTTTCCTGCTTTCTTGAACAGTTTGGGGGGTTTTTTTTGTGGCTTTTTCTTCCAGTTGGCTTCGACGAAAAGACTCCGCGTGTCGACGATGCTACTATGTAGGCAACTAAAGTAAAGTTGATTCCCCGTAACACCCGTAGAGATATCCCTCGGCTGTGTGTCCATTCCTTAACCTAACCTAACTCGTTATACATCCTGCGCAAGCTATGTACTCGCGGGGAACCATATTCCATGGATGGATGGATGGATGGATGTAGTCTAGTTTTGCTCGCCGGGTTGGTCTTTGGTCAACTCGTCGCTAAGAAGGGGGGAGTTAGTTAGTTAGCTAGTTAGTTTCCAACCCCCGGGGAGAGTTTAATATTTCAAGAGGGGGGAATAAGATACTTACATGTGCTCGGATAGCTTCTGTAGGTGCTCCTGCTGCTCGCGGAGCTTCTTGCGCAGCTCGAGGAGCTTCTCCTTCTCGCGCATGCGGATGGCGTAGTCTTCGTTGGCTTTCTCGCGCTGTTCCCAGGCGCTGTTTTTTGGGGGGGTTGCTTGTCAGTCTCTTCTTCTTTTCTTGTTCGGGGATTTTGTTGTTTCCGTTCCACTTAACCTTGAAGCAAATGAAGGGATGAGAATGGGAGAGGGGGGGGGGGAAGGGGGATGAAAACGTACCCGGGGCTGCCGCCTAGGCTGCCGTACTTGTTCGGTGATCCGGTGTCGCCGGCTGCCATGGCGCGGACGGTGGTCGAGAATGCGCGGCGGGTGGAGGGGACCTTGGTGAGGGTTTGGCGGTACATGGTTGGTTTTTGGGTTGTTGTGATGGAGGAGGGGGGAAGAAAGAGGAGGAGTTGTTCTGATAAGAAAGGAAGAGAGACAGAACACTTGGAAACTTTATTAGCTACGGTTTTAAATTCTAGATAGGTAGTGAGGTATGATGTTGAAAGAGGTGACGGGAAAGGTTACCTGATTCTCGGTGATTTAATTGGTTTGCGTGGATTAAGTGTGTGGCCTGATGAAGTCAGTCAATCAATGGATGAACGGGTGGGCAAAGCTTTCTTCTTTTTTTTCTGAACTTTGAACTTTAGCTAAGCCTGTCGGAAGATGACGGCGAACGCACGGACGAATTGGAAGCATAGGTACGGCGTGGTACTTGTACAGAAAACGGTGCGGAGCTCCCCTACAACCGGTATGGTTACGCTAGTACACAGCTGCTTAGCACCTAACAGCCTAGTAACAGGACCTCTATAAGTTTTAGAGTTAGTTGTATGAATTAGTGAATAACATCATCAGAGATTCGAGTGTCTACTAATACTTAGTAGTACATTCCACCACGCCATTCATTCCTCCTGGTCATCTGACTTGGGAATTCGTGCCACAGCCAGCACCATTCTATTACCTACCATTAGTCCTGCCGCGTACCTATCACAACTAGGAAATACGAAATCAATTTCATAGGATTCTATTTTAGTTCGGTACAACTTCTGTATATATAGGTATCCATAGGGAGGTATTTATAATTCGATGACTTTGGGCACTCATACCCATCGTCATGTTATCATGTGTTGTGGTATGTAGAACTAGAACTCCCTATTTAATATGTAGATGGTATTATCGACCTATATTAGTATCGATGCCGAGGGTGATTCCTTGATTCCTTGATTCTGTGAGAGTCCATCATGCTGAAAAGGGTTGGGCTGGAGTTTCAGTTAGTCATGCCTCAGCTATAGTGTTGGTTTAATACCACAGAACAAATCATGGTATCGTGAGGCTGTAAACCACACGTGCGGTATTAGGTATTGTATTGTATTCAAATTATAGAACTTGGAACTTGGAACTTGGAAGACGGGCATAAAGTTTTAAACGTGATGAGGGACATCCCGTCCCTAAATCCTAAGTCGGCCTAGACGGATTATGTAGTTACTTGGCAGATGCGAAGATTTTTACCCCTCCATGGCTTTGGTGACGTTGAGCATTATTGTATATATTGTATATACTGTACCTAGTATGATGAAACTTACCCCCCTCCCTCCCTGATTTGTTTTCAGGCCAGAACTTGCATTGATGACACAGTCTGAGATATTGGATCGGACAAATGAATGGCCCAAGTCCTTGAAGCCAGCTTGACGAATTCCTACCTACTTGGGTACCTATGTACCTATCCATGGATGTATGCATGTGTAGGTACCTACATGTGCGTGTGTGTGTACGAGTTATGTATTTGGGCTGCATGTGGTTGACGTAGGCCGGGATTCTTCCTTATCACCAGATGGAACATACATATAGTACCTACATCATGTAAGCACCGAAGCCATCGTCCATGCCTACATACACGTAGACCGGATACATAGTACTCCAAACAAAGAATAGAGTGACTCGTGCTCCAGATCGCTTTGATATAAACTCATCCCACAAAGGCGATTGGTCGACTCGATCCGTAAAACCCTTTCTCGGTGATCTGAGACATCGAATAGAATTATTGGGGGTCACTCATATGCCACCTACTTCCACATCAGTATTAGTCGTCAAAGTGGTTAGGGCTGCCAAATAGACCTAGGTTAGTACCCTACGTACGTCTAGTTAGGTTAGTAGCTTCAATTCTGTCTGGTATATGTAGCCCCAAGAAACATACGCATGCATTATCTGGCAGTCAGGTGCCGTAAGGTATCGATTTTGGGGGTGCCCAATGTATCGGTACGAACCAGCTAGATATTGTTACTAGTAGTAGCATGTCGGGCTGTGTATATTAACATGATCATGTAGTTATATAGATTCCGTCAAGAATTGATGATATGTACGTGGGGTATCAGTCTAAAGCCGATATGTACATCTATGTAATATTACATTGAAGGTAGCACAGAATATGTAGAACTGACGTAGAACATCAGAGAACATTGAAGCTGAAGTTGAGCAGGGAGGCGAAAGGGGATGAGCTATGTATGTAACTGGATAACATTAACATTGAATGCTTTGATGAAATACTAGGTATACAACCAGGCATTGCTTCTTCATATCGCCGTCTGAACTTACAAAGACCGGCACAACTTATATGGAATATGGAACATTGAAATTAGAAGATAGGTACATAAGGTATGTAGACTCATTGTAGAGGCCTACTACTAGTAGTAATACTGATGAAAGAAGGACTCGGGAAGATATCCAATGTGTAATATGTACCAAAGGTTTGGATTTGAGGATGATCCCATTTCGAGCCTTGTTCTAATATTCGATGTTCAATGTAAGGTTGTCAAATGATCCCATCCGACCTCTATCCGCTGCCAAGTTTATAGACTCGCTAGTTCACTGGTCAGTAATTTAGTTCAAGTTGGGCTCATGTGCTCTTAACAGGAACAGGAATAGAAACAGAGGCAGAAACAAGAACCTGCATATGGAATTAATGATATGTACAATGATATGTATGTAAATAAGTTCTTGAATGCTTCTAACCTAGTAATGTTATCGTTTCGAGGGTTGGAAGGCGTTAAGGTGAATGGTGAATTGACCACATGGCAGCAGATGCTATGTATTACTACTACATATGTAGGTACTACATGTAGGTAGTAGTAGGTAACTACCCTATGTATTGTACCATATGGGCAGGGTATATTTTCTACATAGCAATAAATACTATGTATGTAACTATTGAAATTACGGTAACTTACCGTACCAACATTCAAGTAAAAGGTTAACTGCGTGTGGTACTGGAGTTTTGATAGGTAACTACTAGGTACTTGAGCAAGTTGAGCTTGGTACTTGAAGTTACCTTGGTTCCCCCTACTTCCACTTAGGTAAGTTAGCCTTAGTTAGGTACCGACTGTGGTACCTACCCACTTGATTGATCTCCAGATGTCCCCCTCGGGCCCCTCCCAGCTTGAAGTTGTATGGTTAAAGATGTACAATACATAACTATTGTATGTACCTAGCTTATGTAGTACAATACATACAATGATTGATGCAGCAATATGCCAGTAAAATGGCAGTAAATGCTGGGCACACCCGCTCCAGAGTCCAGTCTGCACCTGCACCCTCCACGCTCCATGTCCTTCTTCACCTCAGGCTTCCAAGGTTCCCTCCAACAAAAACCAAAAAAAAAACCACAGCACACCTACCTGGACTAAACCTGGGTATCTACCACAAAACCTCTCCCAAACCTTTTGTTCTCCCATAAATCACTAAAAAAACAACAACACCATCTGATTCTACTTCTCCCACCTTGTCTTTGCGCTTCCATTTCTTGTGCATCCTACAGCACAGATCATTCCTTCATAAACCATAACTCAACAAATAAACCAACAAGGTATGTAATATGTCAATGACTATCATGTTATTCCCAAGCATCTCTCTCTCCTTTTACACCTAACCTACAATACCTACCTACCCATTGCTTGCCCTGCCTTGCCTTGCCTTGCCCTGCCCTGCCTGGCTTATCTCTTCCTTTGCCTGCAACTTTGTGCTTGTGATCATGTTCCTTGGCCTACTACCCTGAGTCCCGCCTTTTTTCCACCTTCGTCATCGCCCACATCTACGACCGCCTTCTTGCCGCCAAATCCATACGACAACAAACTTATCAACCATCCTATGCGACTCGTCCTCAAAATCAATTGATTATTGCGACAAGATATACACCTATCTTGTCAACTTTTCCTACACGCGTTTTCAAACCGCATCCGCTGGCGCAAACCCCACCGACTGCGGGGGATTCATCTTTTGATTCACAGTCGTACATCTCGAGCTTCTCAGCTTCTCGATCCATTTCGATCCATTTACGATAACATTGAACTACTACCTACTAGTAGGGAAGCGCGCACTTAAGGTTTAGGTTGTAAACAACTTTTAAACTCGGCCTGGTGTTGTTTACAACACTTATCAATCTTCCCAAATTACATTTACTGATTTCTTCCCTATTTAAATGCCCATCCCCCCCTGCTCCACTACATCATTTTTTTTTTCCACACCGCATTCATCTCTTTGAGCCAATTAAACACTACAAACACATCATTCAGAAAGATTCACAAACTGACTCTCTGTACCTTTGATTAGTCCTAATTCTGCCAGATTCTCCCATCGCCAAAATGGGTCACGAAGATGCTGTGTATCTCGCCAAGCTCGCTGAGCAGGCTGAGCGTTACGAGGGTAAGTGTTGCTGGTCTATGATTCCGATTCAGATTCCGATATCGAGATCTCACAAAGTGATCGATGCTAATTCTTGGGTTATCAGAGATGGTCGAGAACATGAAGATCGTCGCTTCTGAGGACCGTGACCTTACTGTCGAGGAGCGCAACCTCCTTTCCGTCGCCTACAAGAACGTTATCGGCGCCCGACGTGCTTCCTGGAGAATCGTCACTTCCATCGAGCAGAAGGAGGAGTCCAAGGGCAACTCTTCCCAGGTCGGCCTCATCAAGGAGTACCGACAGAAGATTGAGGCCGAGCTCGCTAAGATCTGCGATGACATCCTCGATGTCTTGGATAAGCACCTCATTCCTTCCGCCAAGTCTGGCGAGTCCAAGGTCTTCTACCACAAGATGTACATTTCCCCATCCTTATATTCATGTTACTATTCCATCCAATTAATCACCACGTGAACAGGAAGGGTGACTACCACCGCTACCTCGCCGAGTTCGCCGTTGGTGATCGACGAAAGGAGTCTGCCGACAAGTCGCTTGAGGCGTACAAGGCTGCCACCGAGGTCGCTCAGACCGAGCTGCCTCCTACGCACCCCATCCGTCTCGGTCTTGCCCTGAACTTCTCCGTTTTCTACTACGAGATCCTGAACGCACCCGATCAAGCTTGCCACCTTGCGAAGCAAGCTTTCGATGATGCGATCGCTGGTAAGTCATCAGACTCACAAGTTACAGGCAACGAAAGCCTAACTTCGAATTCTGCAGAACTCGACACCCTAAGCGAGGAGAGCTACAAGGACTCGACTCTCATCATGCAACTCCTCCGAGACAACCTGGTATGTACCCAACCTCATTTGAAAACTCTGATGAACCACCTACTAACATGGATATAGACTCTCTGGACTTCTTCCGAGGCCGAGGCTCCCGCAGAGTCTGCGGCGGCTGCTCCTACCCAGGAAGCCGAGAAGGCCACCGAGACCCCCGCCGAGGAGCCCAAGGCTGCCGAGTAAAGAAAAGCCCGCATCCCTTACTAGTCTCTAGATATCAAAGGGGTCGATAGTGGACTGGGTGGAATCTGGTGTCTATGGAGTGTTTGATTGAGAACCCTCTATTTGAGATTCTGCATTGTTTTGTTTTTCCTTTTCCCCATACGGCAAATGCACAGGCCCAAGACTTTGGAGGGTTCTCTTTTTCCCATAGGCAAAAGGGCTTAAGAGCTTTTGGGAGGTCTTTCGCAGAATGCTTGCCCATTAGACTCTAATGCAAATTCGTCTGGACAATAAACCCCATACTTTCGACAGCACTCTGTAATAGCAACGCTACGAGTTCGTGATAGTCTTGGAAGTGAGGCCTTTGTAGGGTGATGTTACACCCAATGGCAATGGCAAGTGGTATGACATCACCTCAACCAGATGGTTCATTAGGTATAATACGAAACACTTACTTTCCCCATTCTCGTATTTGCATCACGATATGGGATCTATTTGGTTTGCACGTCTCACTCGTAAGATTTTCCTGAAGGCATAATTAACGACTAGTCCGTCATATTCGTAAGTACTAGAAAATAATACAATGCCGATTCTTGATGCCCTTTACATGTTGTCGCAGCCCTTCCTGGCTGGTCAACTCCTATACTAGGTATCCAGTCTGCTGCCCAAATACATATCGCGAACAGTAGCAACGCCATGTCAAAACCCCAGGTACCTAGCTAGGTACCTACCTATCTCCGATATGTACGCCCTTCTTCAATGTTTACAGTACATAAATCATTATTAGTACAAGACATGAATATAAATCAAATCACATACTTCAAGTTAAAAGTTAAGTTCCCTCCTAGTGTGATTAATTAAGCCGAGTTATCATCAAAGGTTCCGGTTGACGGAACTCGACTCTTTTTTTTTTTTGGTGGTCTCGCGCTTTCTATTCTTAACTCTATCTACCGCCGAGTGGCAGCGACGGATGATGATGATGGTGATGTGCCGGACCCTGACCCCACTGTCGCGGACCCCGTCAGCGATATCCCCCAGTTCACGGTCCAGTTAAAAGTGAAGCCCCTGCGGGCGCCGCTGCCGCGTCGCTCACCGGCTGTGATGATGTCGATGTTGTTGTTGTTGTTGTTGCGTGGGCCGAGGGTGTCGGGGGGGTTGTTGATGCCTCTGGGACTAGTGCTAGCTGTAGCTGTAGCTGTGAAGGTGGCGGTAGTGGTGTTATTGCTATTGCTGTGCTGCTGATACTCATCATCCTCATCCTCATCCTCATCCTCCTCATCATCATCAGCGGCGGCAAATAATACCCTGACCCACAGACTACAGTCCAGACACTCGACCATGAGCACGCCGTCGTCCTCGAACTGCGCGAGGTTGTCCTCGGTGAAGGCGTAGCCGCGCGGGTTGCCGCACCGGCAGGGGCGGTGGTACACCCCCCCGTTGCGAGGGTCGTACGCGACGTCGTCGAGGTCGACGGTTTCCAGGCCTGTGGGTTGGAAGGGGGGGCGGGAGGAGGGGGAGGGGGAATGGAGGGTTTGCGTGTAGGCGCGGCGCTGCTGGGGGTTCGAGAGGATGGAGTAGGCGTGTTGGATTTGGTCGACGGTGTATTGGATGCGCGGTTGGGGCTTAGAGGAAGAGGAAGAAGAAGAAGAAGAAGGGGAAGGGGGTTTCTTTTGGGAGTTCTCTGGTTTTGAGGTGGAATTGGGGGGAGGGGGAGGGGTAGAGGAAGATGGTGGCGGGGTGGTAGAAGAAGAAGCCGCGGGCCCAGCCTTGTCCGGGTGGTATTTCAATAGGGCCCGGCGGTACGCCTGCTTCACGATCTTCTGCTGCTGAGCAGCACCCGTCTGCCCCTCCAGGTGCTTGGGCGACAGCGCGAGGATGTCGTAGAGCGTGGGCTCTGCCGATGTGTTGGATATGGGAGGCGGCGGCATGCTTACTCCTGCTTGCTATTGCCAGTGCTTTGCTTTGCTGGAGCCTCGAGGAATATAGATGCAGGGTAGGTTTATGACCAAGCCAAGTTGAGTTCGGGAATCTCCCACTAGTCAGATGTACTACCAGTAGTATGAATAGCGAAATCTAAAGGTTCTTATAGGTTGGGTGTAAGTTGTCGGGAACTAAACTTAGCAAACCGGTTTTTCTTTTTGAAGTGGGAAAAAGACCAGAAAAAAAGTTGAATCTTGGATCGAAAGCCACGTAGTCACGTGACTGATAGAGGTCATCTGTTCTATATCGTATTCCTTCAGATGAGGCACCTGGAAATGCTGGTTGGTAGGTATTGGTATGTATAGGTGTGCGTGCCTGTGTGTGGGTGTATGTGGCTCATATGTAGTAATCTTGGAAGTTTCACCTACCTAGTTACAAGCACTGGCTTCTCGGGCATCTCACGAATGGTGCACTCCAAGAATTACGAAGTCAATCATCAATCTGGACAACAGCGATGGGGGATGTTGTTGTATGTTTCTTTCTTGTGATTTCCAGTCATATAGCACGGGTCTCTCGTGTGGAGTAATACATGGGTTTGTACAGTTCGTTTCGTTGCAATATCATTATATAATTGCTCATCGTGGGTACTTGTTCCATCTGCCCTTTCCAATCTATATATCTTCGTTAGTAATGTAGAACATCTTGGACGATTCAGCACGACTTACCTTCCGCCATTCCCTGACGAGTCTCGGCATACCCAGCATAGCCGTTCTCCTCTTTTCCATCCTGTTTCGTATGTTAGCATCATAGTTCTCCCATGAGTGGTTAGGTGTATTATCATATATCCTAGAGTAAAACGTCTCGAATATAGAAAGAAGTATGACATACTTGACACCCAACATTCTCTCATGCAAGTGACCCTTGACAGATCGGCCAACACCAGTACCACGAACTTGCAAACCGTACTCGACTCTGGTTCGTATTCTCGTCTCGGTGCCCTTTGATGTGAAGGGCAGTAACTCCTCTACCCCTTGCTCTCTCGCAAGCTTCGACAGCTCGGCCTGCCGCCTTAGAGAGAACTCTGGATCGTGCCACTTTCCGGTGATGGGGTGTTTGTGTGGTAAGAAAGGATTCGGTGTCGCACCATCCTTGATTGTGTTCGTTCTCGTCGAGGTAGGGAGGATCTGGTTTGGGGGGTACTTGGCGAAGAAGCGCTGCAGGCGTGGGTGCAACTGCTTTGCGAGTTCGACATATCGCATATTGGTCGCCATCCCCAATATTACTATGTAGGAATGACGTCTGAATGTGGTTGCGAAAGGAGAGACAGGGAGGCAAGAGGACAGGAAGACAGGAAGACAGGAAGAGGTAGGTTTATATCTATCTGCTTGTCTGTATGTATGTCTGTCTGTCTGTCTGTCTGTCTGTCTGTCTGTCTGTCTTAATCTGTCTCGCTCGTCAAATGCGAAAAAGTTAATCGCAAAAGTTACTATGTACAAGAGCTGCTTGCTTCAACTATAAATTTTTGGTGGTGAATTAATAATTGACAGGGGTCTGAGCCAAACAAAAATCCCCGATTAATTCTTATCGTTAGTTACCTACAGTACAACTTGTACAATACCTACACCTAGGTTAGGTAGTTACATACCTAACTAGCCCCGACACGCCGATTTGGATTTATTGCCTTCAACTTCAACCTCAACCTTGCAGAATACACAACCAAATAATAACAAAGCAACTGTTTACATAAAGATAATTCATTTTTAACCTCGAAATCGAACCCCAAATAGATTCTCAATAGTCATACATATCAAAATTCTATCGGTTGGAATCCAGTGTCGACACTATTTTCAATCATGGGGATGCAACCGCGAGCCGGATCATTAGCACATAGCAACGGAACAAATGGCACAAACAGCGAGGCAAGCATCCGCAAAGAACCTCTCGATATCGAGGAGGTTCTGCGCAAAAAGAAAGAGGCCAACGATGCAGCTGCGAAACCTAGATTTATCCCCAAGGCTGAGCGCGAGCGCTTAGCTGTAGAGAAGGAGAAAGAAGAAGAACAGAAGCGACGACGAAAAGCTGAGGAAGAAGCTCGGAGTAAACCTAGCGGGAGATCTACAACCAGAATAGAGCCCGATAGACGACATCCTGACCGTCACGACAGAAACCAGCCCCCAGCTGTTCCGACTGGGCCTAGAGCTATGCGTCAAGCCGGCCACGACAGACGTGATGGCGGTGGTCGCGACGGTGGCCGCGAAAACGTTGATACGCGAGGAAAGTCAGGGGGTAAGAAAGCGGTAGCAGGCGAAAAACGGGCTGCTCCAGAAGAGACAGAAGCCGCATTAATACGAGCACGATACATGGGACCAGAGATAAATCAGTCGACCTTCTCGGCAAAGAAGAAGCGAAGGAGGACCACCGAAAAGAAATTCAGCTTCGAATGGGATGCCGAAGAAGACACAACTCAGGATCACAACCCAATATACGCAGAAAGGGCTGAGCCGACCTTTTTTGGAAGGGGGAGGCTGGCTGGGTTTAGTGATGATATGACGGAGGAAAATGCTAGGAAATACGCCAGGTCGCTTATAGAACGCGATCCTGAGAACGGGGCACAGCGAGCCCAGGAATTACTCAGCATGATGCAGAAAGCAAAGGAGAGAGCGAACCGAAATGGGCTAGGGAAGCATTGGTCAGAGAAGAAGCTCGAGGACATGCGCGAACGAGATTGGCGCATCTTCAAGGAAGACTTTGGCATCGCAACAAAGGGCGGGCTAGTTCCAAACCCGATGCGAAATTGGCAGGAGTCTGGCTTGCCTCGAAGACTGCTAGAGATAGTTAGCAAAGTCGGATACGACGAGCCAACACCCGTCCAGCGTGCAGCCATTCCTATTGCTCTACAAGCAAGAGATCTAATCGGTGTTGCCGTTACTGGTTCAGGAAAGACGGCTGCATTCTTACTACCTCTACTGGTTTACATCTCCGAGCTACCCCCTTTGACGGAATTTACAAAGAATGACGGCCCTTACTCATTGATCATAGCACCAACCCGAGAGTTAGTCCAGCAAATCGAGACAGAAGCAAAGAAGTTTGCGGGACCACTCGGATTTACTGTTGTCAGCCTTGTTGGTGGGCACTCGCTCGAGGAGCAAGCATTCGCCCTTAGGAACGGTGCCGAGATAATCGTTGCCACACCCGGTCGTTTAGTTGACTGTATTGAACGACGCCTGCTGGTTTTATCACAGTGTTGTTATATCATCATGGACGAAGCGGATCGGATGATCGACATGGGCTTTGAAGAGCCCGTCAACAAGATTTTAGATGCACTACCCGTCACCAACGAAAAGCCAGACACTGAAGCCGCCGAAGATGCGCAGCTGATGAGGCGGCATTTAGGGGGCAAGGATCGATATAGACAGACTATGATGTACACAGCTACTATGCCGTCAGCTGTCGAGAAGATCGCTAAGAAATATCTACGTCGCCCCGCTACGGTAACTATCGGAAATGCTGGAGAAGCTGTGGAATCAGTTGAACAGAGAGTCGAGTTCGTTCCAGGAGAGGATCGTCGTAAGAAGCGATTGCAAGAGATTCTATCGTCTAACGAGTTTGCGCCGCCCATTATCGTCTTCGTCAACATCAAGCGCAACTGTGATGCCGTGGCTCGAGAAATCAAGCACATGGGCTTCTCTGCCGTCACTCTTCACGGTAGCAAGACTCAGGAGCAGCGAGAACAGGCCCTGGCCTCTGTACGCGGTGGCTCGACCGATGTTTTGGTGGCGACGGACTTGGCAGGCCGTGGTATTGATGTTCCCGACGTCTCTCTCGTCGTCAACTTCAACATGTCCACAAACATCGAAAGTTACACACATCGTATTGGCCGAACGGGTCGTGCCGGCAAGAGTGGTGTTGCTATCACCTTCCTAGGTAACGAGGACTCGGATGTCATGTATGACCTCCGGCAAATGCTTTCAAAGAGTGCGATATCCAGAGTACCAGAAGAATTACGGCGTCACGAGGCTGCACAGCAGAAACCAAATAAGGGGCCCAAGAAACTTGAGGAGAAGGGTTTTGGTGGAAAAGGGGGTGGATGGGACTAGAGTCTTGCCCATAAGACAGGCTTACTTACCTATGGGAACTCTTGACTCAGTTTGATGAATGGATCTAATACAGTAACGTGTTTTATACACGATCGAAATTACCTTTCAGGTTGTGTCCAGGGCCTTCGATGATCTTTAATTGCCAACAACAGTTTGTGTTTACTTCGGTATCTATCCATCTGATGATCTACCACTTGCCCCTGAAATTACTTACATTAGTAATCCTTTAAGATATTTGTACGGGTAAAGGTTTCAGTTGGCTGTGAATGTTAGGGGCTCGTTTGCTTAAGATAACTTGAGGATATGTAGTGTATTGCAATGAGCCGGGCGATGTAACAGACAAACAGGAGTCAAGCATGGTTTCCATAGGTTTCTATGTCTATATCTTCCCGATGCCGGACTTGACAAGCATATCAACCTGACAACACATCAAGGCATATTCGTCTATGCATTCGTTAGGCATCAGGAAGATGAGAAGAAGGCAGTAATGGCGGGAAAGGGATGGAAAGAAGCAAGGTCTTAGGTATGCAAAATAACAAAAGAGAAAATGCAAAGATTTTTTGATCTCAACATTTGAATGTAATACCTACATATGACCTACATATGTAGTGCTAGATGCTACTAGGAAGGTACTAACCTACACACATGTGGGACATATTGAGGTTTGGGTATTAAAGTCGCACGACAGTCAACTAGGAAATTGCGAACTTGGACCGAGTATCAGGAAGTAGCACCGACTGGGTGAGATTTCCCTTTAAGCCCTGAGGATCTACGTTCTATAGTTCTAGAATCTTTTTGGGAGGTGCGACCCTGCATGAGATGCCCAAGGTTGTTTCCAAAAATTGCAGTTTCGGGGGAGTCAAACCGACCGAAGCGCTACCAAGAGTTACTGCTTAATATGGTCAAGTTACCGCACTTGGTAGGTAAACTTACTTCTGTATCCTAGTCCAATCCTTGCACTCTTCCCGCTACACCGCCTGCCATCTGTGGCGTCCCTTTTCTTTTTTTCCTACATGTAGATCATCCAGACTTTTTTTTTCTTATCCTTCTCCCGTGCCGAGACCTCAGTACATTCATGCCCGCACAATTGAGTACCTTGAAGGCCAAGATATGTGAAGGAAAAGACTCACACATACACACATACACACAATTTTACCAAGACTTGTTGGTCTGGGGAAAACTCTGATCTGTCTTCTTAGTACATACCTAATCCAACAACTCACGAATAGGGAATCTCCGTCACGCCCCTCCTTATCTTTTCTGTGCTGTACATACCACATACTAGGTACATACCTACATACCTACCTAGTACGGTTATCTGGGGTACCCCTCTATCCCCTCCATTCTACTAACCTAGGTGTTGTACAGTACTATTGTGTCCATTGTATTGCCGCTTTTCTACTTCCAGGTCCCCTTTTTGTTTAATATATGACAATTGCATTGTATTATATCATACCCTCTCACTCCTTTGTATCATATGTCTTTAAGTGCCGCTTGTCGTGTCGAGTTCCTTCCTCGAATCTCAACAACACTAAGACGAGTTCGACCAAGCCTTAACACTCCCCTTCCAACCGTTTCTCAGTGGAGACATAATCACATCTGGCGCAGTCCTGTGTATAGCTCTCCACCTTCTTACAGGTATTCTTAACTTAATTGACCGCCTATTCCAACTTAATTAGGGTTTTGTACTAATCTGGAAGCTCATACTAGATCTAGCCCACCTATCACGAATCACCCCTCTTACAACAACATCTTCTCACGAGCCTCTCCTTTTGAGAAGACTCGAATTACTGCTCTCACAAAACCCTTCATTCGATACTGCTCTTACCGGAGACACAATATGTGTAGACTTGCTGGAGATATCGATCATACCGGAGGAGCCGCGCCAGACCCCACCCAGGGCCGTGAGCTTCTCCCAACCAACGTCATCCCAAAGCATTATGATGTGACTCTGGAACCTAACCTCGAGAAGTTTACCTTTGACGGAAAGGTTCTCATCGATTTTGACGTACAGGAGGAGTCCAAGTCTATCTCCCTCCATACTGTCGAGCTCGACATCCACAGCGCCCAGATTAAGTCTGGGGACGGTGTCTTTAGGTAAGTTTGTATTAGTTACTATGAAACACTGCATATCTGACACGGCGATTTAGTGCTTCTTCTGCGGTTACATACGACAAAAATACGCAAGTTTCCAAGATCGACCTCAGCAATGCCATCCCCAAGGGTAAGGCGCAGTTGGAGATCAAGTTCAGTGGTCAGCTGAACGATCAGATGGCTGGGTTCTATCGCTCCACCTACAAGAAACCTGATGGTACAGATGGTATTTTGGCCACAACGCAGATGGAGGCCAATGACTGCCGCCGTGCCTTCCCTTGTTTCGACGAGCCAATGCACAAGGCCAAATTTACTATCACCCTCATTGCGGACAAGCACTTGACCTGTCTGAGCAACATGGATGTTGCGTCCGAGTCAGAAGTGCTGTCAGAGATGAGTGGAACAACTAAAAAGGCCGTCAAGTTCAATCCCACTCCCCTCATGTCTACATATCTCGTTGCTTTCATTATTGGCGAGCTTAACTACATCGAGACGAAAAAGTTCCGTGTACCAATTCGAGTGTATGCGCCTGCTAGTTCAAATATTGAGCATGGCCATTTCTCACTTGATCTTGCAGCACGAACTCTAGAGTACTACGAGAAAATCTTTGGTGCCAAATTTCCGCTGCCCAAGATGGATATGGTTGCTATCCCCGACTTTGCAGCCGGAGCTATGGAAAACTGGGGTCTCATCACCTACCGTGTCGTCGATTTGATGCTAGATGAAAAGGCCAGCGGTGCAGCTATGAAAGAACGTGTGGCTGAGGTTGTACAGCACGAACTAGCGCATCAATGGTTCGGAAATCTGGTTACCATGGAATGGTGGGAAGGTCTATGGCTGAACGAGGGCTTCGCGACTCTAATGAGTTGGCTAAGTGAGTTACCCATACCATACCAACCTAGCAAGAAAGATCGGCTAACAATATAATCTGCGCAGGTTGCAATCACTTTTACCCAGAATGGAAAGTCTGGGAGAACTACGTTAGCGACAATCTCCAGAGTGCGTTGGGGCTTGACTCTTTGAGAAGCAGTCATCCCATCGAGGTACCTGTCAAACGCGCCAGTGAGGTTGACCAGATTTTCGACGCCATCTCTTACTCCAAGGGTTCGTGCGTCCTTCGTATGATCTCGACATACCTTGGTGAGGAAACATTCTTAGAAGGTGTCCGAAAATACATCAAGAAGCACGCCTATGGCAACACACAGACCAATGATCTGTGGGCAGCCCTAGAAGAGGCCAGTGGCAAGCCAGTTAGGGAGATCATGTCTATATGGACTAAGAACGTGGGCTTCCCCGTTGTCGTTGTCACGGAAAATGATAAAGATGGCTCGATTCACGTCAAACAGAATCGATTCTTAAGGACTGGGGACACGAAGCCCGAAGAGGACAAGGTTCTCTACCCGGTATTCCTAGGTCTCCGAACAAAAGATGGTGTGGACGAGTCCTTGACATTGTCTAAGCGGGAAGATGTGTTCAAGCTCAAGGATATTGACTTCTTCAAGTTGAATGCAAACCACACTAGCATTTATAGAACTTGCTACAGCCCAGAACGTCTGACGAAACTAGGCCAGTCCGCCAAGGAAGGTCTGTTAACAGTCGAGGATCGTGCTGGCATGATAGCAGATGCTGGTGCTCTTGCCGTGTCGGGATATCAAAAAACCTCTGGCGTGTTAAACCTTTTGAAAGGATTTGACACAGAAGAGTCGTTCGTGGTATGGAGCGAAATCATCGCCCGTGTTGCAACGGTTCAGTCAGCATGGGTATTTGAAGATGCAGCCGTCAAGGGTGGTCTCGAAGCCTTCGTCAAGGAGCTCGTTAGCGAGAGAGCACACAAGCTGGGATGGACTTTCACGGACAAAGATGGTCACGTTGAGCAGCAATTCAAGGCCATGCTATTCGGTGCCGCTGGTATGGCCGGTGACGAGAAGATCATTGCCGCTGCTAAAGAGATGTTTAACAAGTATATGGCTGGTGATAGGTCGGCTATCCACCCCAACATTCGGGGCAGCGTCTTCAGCATGGCCCTCAAATATGGTGGGAAAGAAGAAGTGAGTCGTATACCTTGAAGAACAATGATGACAATTGCTAACATAAATTACAGTATGATGCTGTTTTAAACTTCTTCCGTACGTCTACTAATGGCGATGAGCGCAATACCGCCCTTCGATGCATTGGTCGATCCAAGGAGCCGGCTCTGATCCAGCAGACACTTGATCTGGTCCTCAGCGGTGAGGTCAAGAGCCAAGATATATATCTTCCGGCAAGTGGCCTCAGGAGCCACGCGGAGGGAATTGAGGCACTATTTACCTGGTTAACCGAGAAGTGGCCTGAAATCTACAAACGCCTCAGCGGAAACCCGCCTATCCTAGGTTCTATGGTCACTATCTGTACATCCAGCTTCGCAAAGCAGGAACAGCTTACGAGAGTTGAGGAGTTCTTCAAGGATATAGACACCAAGACATTCGCCCAACCCCTTGCCCAAAACAAGGACGCCATCCGTAGCAAGATCGCGTGGTTAGAACGTGATCGGGATGACGTGGCGACTTGGGTGAAAGAAAACGGGTACAGCAAGAGCTCTTGATTGATAGTGGATCATGAGGTCCTCTAATGATCTAACAGAGGTCTAAAAGAGATCTAAGAAACATCCACACAGGGCATGAATAGAGAAAAGCTCAATAGATACCCTTAGAAAAAAGCATATAGAGATAATCGATGATTATACGAGAGCAAAGATTTGTATTGCCCAACTAGGTATTGATATTCCGTTGTGGAAGCCAACATGAAGTTACCTAGGTTAACCTGCTTATTTGTTTAGTAAATCTTGAGTACATAATCATATAGCCTTATAGAAAATGCATGTATAAAAACGTGATTGAATATAATAATAATATGTAAGCAGTGGTAGCCTAAGGTTACCCTAATTACAGCTGCCTAAGGCACTACAGTGTGATTAGTCAGCTAGGCTAATATATAAGGCTATAATTAAGCTTATAAAGTAAAGTAGTAATTTAATTTAACTTTTTCTATAATTCGTAACTGGTTATATAATAACACTTTAACGTTAATCTCGCATTTTAATTAATTGCGATAACCATTTTTTAAATAACTTTTTTTAAAGGTAAATAAAAAATAATAATCGCTAACTTATAAAATTAAATTAATAATTTAAAAGGTTAATTATATCGATTTATAAAAAATTAAATATATAATTATTTTATTATTAATCGCATTATTAAATCACTTAATAAAGTTATTAAAATAAAAAAGTTAAAAAAAAAGCTTAATAAAACTTAAATAAATTATAATAAAGAAATAAAAACATTAAAATTTATCGTGGCTTATAGCTTTATTAACGTTAAAAAATAATAAAAAGTTAATAATAATTAAATTAAAAAATTAATAAAAATGGTTAACCTTTAAATAACTATTTTTTAATAATAACCTATCTTATTAAACGAAAACCCCTTAAGTTAATTTAAAGAAAAAAATAATTCCCTTTATAATAAAAAACCTGTTAATAATAATAAACCTTTTAATAATAATCGTTGTAATTTTTATAATAAAAGTGGTAAGCTTAAATAAAAATTATTTAATAATGAAAATCCGAAATTTAAAAATAATTTACTTAAGTTATTTAAAAGCTTAAAATTTAAAAATAATTAAAAAACTTATTAAAAACCTAAAATATTTAAAAAAGCTTTAAAGGTTAAAGTAATTAAAATTAAAAAAAAAACCACTTTTAACGACATAATTATTATAAAAAGTTTTGTTATCCGCACCCCCTTTTTTTGATAAAAGGGCCTTATTCGCACCCCGGTACATTGAGATCGCAGCGCAAAAGGTCCGAGCTTTAAAGCTAGCTTCCATCAAAAGATCCAGTACAACTTCCAATCCAAGATTCGGATTGAAGTGCATCCTATGTCGTTCGAATCAGCTCAATTAGACAATCCAAACGATATATGTTTCAGATCAATGCGACCGCTGGCTGCAAAGTTATTCGAGTTTGAAGATTACATTCCACCTTGAAAATGGTACAAATTGAAGTGGTCCGTGCATCACGTGATGCGCTTCGCCTAGCGCCAGGCTAGCGGCAAATCGTCTATTTCACTATTTTCTGAATAACTTTGCAGCCACCGGTTGTATCAATTTGAAACATATATCGTTTGGATCGTCTAATTGAGACGGTTCTAATGGAGTTGGATGCACTTCAATCCGATTCCTGGATTGGAAGTTATTCAAGGTGATGTGTTTGAAGCTAGTTGGAGCGCTCGGACGACCGGCATTCTTTTGCTTTTTTCCCATGTACCGGGGTGCGAATAAGGCCCTTTTATCAAAAAAGGGGGGTGCGGATAACAAAACTCATTATAAATAATTATAAATTAAATAATAATTTATTTAATTTTAACTTTAACTTATTAAACTTATTATTATTATTATTATTAAATAAAAGCTTAAACGACTTTTCTTAAAAAAAAAAAAAGTCGAAATTAAAAAAAAAGAAATCCTTTAAATAAAAAAATTATAACCTTAAATAAAAACACTTTAATTTTAGATTAAATAAAGAAAACCACTTAAAAGATATATTAAATTATTAAATTTATTAAAAAGCTTTAATATTAATTTTTAAAGAAATTAAATACGAAAAAAGTATTAAATTTATTAAGAAAAATAAACTTTAACTCGTAAAAATAATCACTTAAACTTATAAACGTACTCCACTCGATTTAATCTTAAAAATAAAAAAAAGCATTAAAATATTTAAGGTATTTTAAAAGATATATATATCCATTAAAAGAGCTTATTAAAAAAACCTTTAAAACGCCTTATTAAAAAAAAAATATAATAACGAAAACCTTATTAAATACACATTTAAATAATAATTAACCGTATAAAAATGCCGTAAAACCGGTATAAAAAGCAATAATAATTAATAAGTCATTATATTTTTAATTAATATCGAAAAAAAGGTAAAAAATTAAATTAAAATAATGACGAAAATATTATATATAAAAGACTTTATTATTTAATAAATTATTAATAACTTTATTAATAAATTTAAAAATAAAATAAGCAAGAAAAAGTTTAAAATAATTAAATTTATAAATAACGTTAAAGGTGATAATTAAAAGAAAAAACCTTAAAAATTTAAACACTTTTTTAATTATAAAAAAGGTAAAAGCCCACTTTATTATAAATATAATAAATATAATCACATATAAAAAAATTATCGCATTAAAATAAATAATAATAACTTAAATATTAATACATTTAAAAATAATAATAAAAATATTTTAAGTAATAATAATTTTTATTAAATTAAACCACTTATTAACTACGAAAAATACGAATAACGCTTTAATAATAATAACGTTTATATAATAAAAGTTATAAATATTAATCTTACTTAACTTATATAATATTATAACGATAAAATACATTTATAAAACTTAAACTACGTCTTTTTAAATATAAAACCTTTTTAAACCCCTCGTATAACCGCCGTATTTAATAATATAAAAAAACATGTTTATTATTAAATAATTAATAATAATAAAAACTACCCTCCCCATAAATATATAACTTTCGAATTATTATTCGACATTAACGTAAACGTATATATTATAAATAACTTATAAAACTTATTATTTAATATTATTATTATTATAAAAAATAAAAGCTATAAAGTTATAATTAATATTAAATTAATAACTGTATAAAAAATAAAAATAACCCATTTTATCCTTATAAGTTAAAACGAAAAACTTATTAATTTAAATCTTTAATACGCTTTATATATATTAAAATTCCTTATAAAAATATTCTTAAAAAAAACTCTTTTATAAAAAAAGTAAATAATTAAAAAAAAGTAAAGTTATTAACTTTAATAAATTTATATTAATTATTATTAATATTAAAAAACAAGGATTTTATTTTTAATAATACGGCCGTTTTAAAATTATTAAAGCTTATATTATTAAAAATATAACTTGACACGGTTATTTTATAAATAATTACTCCCACGACGTTAAAGAAATCTTAAATTTATTATTAAACTCCTTAAAAGCTTTAAATAAAAAATTATTTAAAAAAACAACGAAAAAACTCGTGCTTTAACATAAATAACTTTATTATTTAAATAATAAACGACTACGTTAAACCATTAATATAACCATTGAAATTAACCTTAATATAAAATTAATTAAAACTTTACCTTATTATACTTATAATTAAGCTAAAATTAAGAAAATCCCGTTTAAAAAACCTTAATCCCACGGTTTATACCTTGAAAAAATCACATAATATAACTTTAAAAAGTTAAAACTTATTTTAATTAATAATAATCGTTATTTCACTTTAATTATTGATAATAATAACAGTTATAAAATATTTAAAACTTATATATTAAAAAATAACGTTTTTAAAAAGCTTATTTCTTATTTAATTCGCATATATAATTAATTACATTTTTTATTATTTAAATTTAACGATAATTAATAAAAACTTAAAACACTTAAAATTAACGGTAATTAAAAATTTAAAATGTTAATTATTAAAATAACTTATAAGGAATTAAATATAAAACTATTATTATTTACATTATATAATTAATATTAAAACGATAAATTTAAACGTAATATTAAATTTTTATAAGATAAATTTCGTATAATTTATATTATTATAAATATCCTTATTTATTTTTAAAGAGTTTTGTTATCCGCACCCCCCTTTTTTGATAAAAGGGCCTTATTCGCACCCCGGTACATGGAAAAAAAGTAAAAAAATGCCGGTCGTCCGAGCGCTCCAACTAGCTCCAAACACATAACCCTAGGTAACTTCCAATCCAGGAACCGGATTGAAATGCATCCAGCTCCATTAGAACCGTCTCAACTTGACAATCCAAATGATATATGTTTCAGATTGATCCGACCGGTGGTTGCAAAGTTATTCAGAAAAGAGTGAAATAGACCCTTTGCCGCTAGCCTGGCGCTAGCGGAGGGGCATCACGTGATGCACGGACCACTTCAACTTGTACCATTTTCAAGCTGCTTCTTGATCTTTGAATTCAAATAACTTTACAGCCACGAGTCGTGTCAATTTGAAACATATATTGTTTGGATTGTTTAATTGAGCTGATTCGAACGACATAGGATGCATTTCAATCCGACTCTTGGATTGGAAGTTGTACTGGATCTTTTGATGGAAGCTAGCCTTGAAGCTCGGACCTTTTGCGCTGCGATCTCAATGTACCGGGGTGCGAATAAGGCTTGTTTATCAAAAAAGGGGGGTGCGGATAACAAAACTCTTTTTAAAATTACATATTTAATATTATTATTTATATTTTAAATAAATTAAGAACGTTAACGATAAAAAACGTTATATTTTATAAATAATATATAAGTAACTTTAACCTTTTTTAACGGTATAAACTTAACTTTATTTACTTAAAAATTATAAATATATAATACGTTGCTTTTATTAATAAAAATTACCGTATTAAAGTAAAGAAAATAAAAGCTTATAAAGTTAAAGCTTTATTTTTTAAGTATTAAAAAACATATAATTATATTATATAACTCATTAAAAAAGGACGTTTTTTTAATATATTTTATCTTATTTTCCACGAATATTTAAGTAATAATAACGCCACTTTTAACCTTTAAAACATCGTTTAATCTTTATTTAAACATATATAAAAACGATTAAAACATCGTAAAAAGTTATAAAAGGTAAAAGTTAAAAATAAAAATAAAAACATCGTTAAAAACGATGTTATAAATAAAAAAACCGGACATGTCCGCTTAAAACGCGGAAAGCTTAAAAAAAAGCTTTTAAATATTTATATTTATAAAGCCCCTTAAAAGCTTAAACCCGTTTTTAAATTACTTTTAAATATATCCTTTAATTTAAAAAGCGATAAGTGCGAATTTATAAACGCACACCCACGATTAATTAAATTTTTTTTTATAATAAATATAATTATAAATTTATTAAAGCTTAAAAACGTATATATTTTTATTAACGATAAAGCTTTATTTAATTACTTTATTAAATAAACACTCGAAAACGATTTACATATAATAAATTTTAACTTTTTATCTTTAAAAGATATAATAATTAGTTTTAATTATAATAAATAACTAAAGGTTATATTTATAAAAATACGAAAAAACCTTAATTGTAATACCTTTAAATTTTACTTTATATTTAATGTAACTTATAATTACCTTATTAATACGAAATAAGTATTAAAAAAAAATACTTATTAACTGGTAAATTAAATAAATATAAAGCTAAAATTATTATATAAGAATTTTTATAAAAAAAAGGATTAAATTATAATAAAATTAAAATAATAATTATTAAAATAACGTTTTAACGAATATTTATAACCCTTATAGTTATTTTTAATTAACATATAATTTAAATAAACTTTATTACCGTTTATTTTAACGGCGATTTAAAAAAAAGAATATTTATAAAATAATTCCTATTATTAAAAAAATACTTTATAAAACACCTTAGTAAAATAAAAAAATATAATTATTACTTTTTAAATATTATCGAGTTAATAAATCCGTTATATAAATTAAGGTAATTTAAAGCCGTTTAGTAAATTAAAATCCGTGAAATACTTTAACGATTAAATTATTTTCCCTTTAAAACGAACGATATTATATACATTAATTAAAAAAACGGAAATATTATCGCGTTTTATATCGATGATTTTTTATTATATAAAATAAACTTAAAGTTATTAAAAACTCTTACTTTAAATTTTTAAAAAAACGTCGTTATTATAAACTTTAAAGATGTAAATTAATATCTTAAAATTAAAATTATTAAATCCTCATTTATTAAAGATGTTAAACTTAATTAAAAATAATATATTATTAAAACGTTAAAAACCTTAAACCTTAATAAATGTAAAAAAATCACATTACTTATAAACTTTAAATCTCACATGTATATAATAATAAAAGATAATATAAATAAAGTTAATTATTAAGTTATTTATAACTACGTTTCACTTATTAATAAAATAAACTTTTTAACATAAATAATTAAACCGGATATCGCATTTACCGTATTTATATAAGTTAAATATATAAATAATTTATCATTTAAACATATTATTAATATAAAACGTGTAATAAAATACTTAAAAAGTAAACTTAATTACTTTTTACGTTATAAAAAACTTAATAATAATCACTTATATTTAAAGTATAATAACTTTAAATTATTTAAAACAATTAACTTTAATTACGTTAATAATATTAACATAATTAAATCGACTATTAAATACGTATTTTTCCTTATAAAAACACCTATTTTATAATTATTTAAACTTTAAATAATTATTATACGAAATATAGTTAAAGTTAAATATATAACCATATTATCCGCGGCTTTAAAATCCGTATAAATTTGTAACTTCTTTAAAAAACTTAAATTTATACCGGATAAACTTATTATTATTTTAAACGATAATAAAACTACTTTAAAATAAAACGAAAAAACGGCTATAAATAAATAAAAAAAACATATACGTAAAAACTTTTATTACGTTAAATAAAAAATAATTATAAACCACATTAAAATAAAATACGTTAAGTTAAAGAAAAACTTAATAAATAATTTTATAAAGACATTTAAAAAATTAAACCATGTTAAGTTTATTAAATTATTAAATTTAAAGTTTTATAAATAAAGTTATCGTAAAGGTAAAAAAACATATAAATAATAAAATTAAACGGTATAAATAAAAATAACATTATATTAACCTTAAGTTAAAAGGGCGTATAAGTAATAATAACTTAAAATTACTTTAATTATAGTTATTTAAAGTATTATAATGTAATTAATTAACTAAGTTAATATATAAAGCTATAATTAAGCTTATAAAATAGAGTAGTAATTTAACTTAACCTTTTCTATAATTCGTAATTAGCTACATGATATAATATAACGGGAAGGATATAAGGTTAAAAAACTATCGGAGTTAGCCTGTGCGTGATTATATACATTCCCAACGATATTAAAGAATGAGGCGAACTGAGCTTGGAGGGGTTGAAAGGACTTCAAAGGAGGAGTGAATAAGGACCAGGGCTAGGTCCGTTAGTAGCCAACAATTTTGATTTCAGAATGTCATCATTGATGGCCCACGGTGTATGTATGTATGTATGTATTTAATGTACATACATACATATGTAGTTAATAGTACTAAGATTGAAACATGCATGTGTGTAATATGCACATACTACATACTACTATGTATGTATGCATTACATAGAATACTTGTGTAGCCAAGCAACCTTGGCAGGTAAAACAAGTACTGTGCAGTCTATGCTATGTAAACAGCCCCTCCTTCCTCCGAAGTCATCCTTGCGAGTTCCGTCGCCGGACCCCGCCAGCCCGCCAATTGAAGTCGTGCCATTCCGTTTGTCGTTTGTACTCTCACGTTGTCCGTTCAGCCCACGCAGTTGCAGCCCACTAGTATCAAACAGATAGCGTTAGGTACCTACCTCAGAATTTAATCTTGTCTCTTCGGAGTTTACCCTTTTCTTTCCTCTCTCCTTCTACTTTTTTTTATTTCCTCTTCCAACCTTCACCATCATCTCACCTTTCCATCACGAGCTCTATTCTATTCCTAAAATATAGGTAAGTCTGTCAAGTCTATTTCCCTTTTATCTACCTACCCAAGTCTGCATAGCAGTTTAATCCCTTAAATTTTGATGACATCTGAAAAAGCTACCCCGCCATCCCACCATATCTCCCCTCTAGTCCTTACAGCCCCTACAATTTTTTCCTCGTCTACAGTTTACTCTTGAGGCATATATTCTTCTTGGATATACTTAGTCACTCACCAAGTTCCATTGAGCGAATTTCTTATCTATTAACTCAGATTCCCTACTTATACCTCAACATCTCGCTGTATTTTCCCCAACATGTCCATCTTGGATATCCGTGACTAACTCACTATTTTCTCCAGTTCCCAACCTAACTCTACACAAGACGTCAAGATGGCTATCAAGAAGATCCACGCCCGTATGGTCTACGACTCTCGTGGCAACCCTACCGTAGAGGTTGATGTTGTCACTGAGACTGGTCTTCACCGCGCCATCGTTCCCTCTGGAGCTTCCACCGGTTCGTGCCAAAATCCACACCAGCTCAACATGTGAAGTCGGTTAACATAGTATATTAGGTCAGCACGAAGCTTGCGAGCTCCGTGACGGTGATAAGACCAAGTGGGGAGGTAAGGGTGTTACCAAGGCCGTCGAGAATGTCAACACGGTCATCTCCCCCGCACTCATCAAGGAGAATCTTGATGTGAAGGACCAGAGCGCAGTCGACAAGTTCCTCAACGGTCTAGATGGAACACCAAACAAGACAAAGCTTGGTGCCAATGCTATTCTAGGTGTCAGTCTTGCCATTGCTAAGGCTGGTGCTGCCGAGAAAGGTGTTCCTCTATACGCCCACGTTTCGGATCTTGCTGGCACCAAGAAGCCCTACGTCCTACCCGTCCCCTTCATGAACGTCCTGAACGGTGGCTCCCACGCCGGTGGCCGTCTTGCTTTCCAGGAATTCATGATTGTTCCCTCTGCCGCTCCGTCTTTCTCCGAGGCTATGCGTCAGGGCTCTGAAGTTTACCAGAAGCTCAAGACTCTTGCCAAGAAGAAGTACGGCCAGTCTGCAGGCAATGTTGGCGACGAGGGTGGTGTTGCTCCTGATATCCAGACCGCTGCTGAGGCTCTTGATCTCATCACTGATGCCATCGAGCAAGCCGGTTACACAGGCAAGATGAACATTGCCATGGATGTAGCGTCCAGCGAGTTCTACAAGGAGGACGTCAAGAAGTACGATCTCGACTTCAAGAACCCTGAGAGTGACCCAACCAAGTGGATCACCTACGAGGAGCTGGCTGCCTTGTACGGGGACCTCGCCAAGAAGTACCCCATCGTCAGTATTGAGGACCCCTTCGCTGAGGATGACTGGGAGGCCTGGAGCTACTTCTACAAGACCCAAGACATTCAAATCGTGGGTGACGACCTAACGGTCACCAACCCTATCCGTATTAAGAAGGCCATCGAGCTTAAGGCTGCCAACTCTCTACTCCTCAAGGTTAACCAGATTGGTACTCTTACCGAGTCTATCCAGGCTGCCAAGGACTCCTATGCCGATGGATGGGGTGTCATGGTCTCCCACAGATCTGGTGAGACCGAGGATGTCACCATTGCTGACATTGTTGTTGGTATCCGAGCGGGCCAGATCAAGACTGGCGCCCCCGCTCGTTCTGAGCGTCTCGCCAAGCTAAACCAGATCCTCCGTATCGAGGAAGAACTCGGAAGCAACGCTATCTATGCTGGCGATAACTTCCGCAAGGCTGTCAACCTATAGATGGGGTGGAAAATGAAAATTTGTACGCGCTTGATAAACTAAACTTATGATGGGGATGGCTGGGGACGGTTCATTCGGGGAAAACGGCCACCGTGATTATTAGCTCGTACCTATTAAATTCAAATTCAAATGATAATATCTGCATTTCTGTGATTCGATGGTCCTCGTTTGCTCGGCAAGTAGACGCCTCGTGACGTAGGGAGACAGGCTTCGGTTTCGATGAGACCCGTGTTTATTTCGTGTTCCCGCCTGCCCGTACCCGAATGCTCGGCATTCACACGTAAACACTTCGGATACTGACGTTAAAGTCCTCGGCTATGGCCCATGTGTCAAGATTGTTATTGTGTATGCAGTATTCCAGTAATAAATCTCTCTTCCTTATATGCATAGGTACCTACTACATAGGAGCAATCGATCCCCTTTTAACATGTACGCTGTATCACATACAAACAAGGTAGAGGATATACATGTACCTACCTAGTAGGTATAGATATCTGAATGATTTTATAACTATATGTGGGAAGTAATGTGATATATGCTTCACGATGCTATGGGGCGGGTAATTTGATATTACTTATTGGACTGAAAATTGACTTTATTATGGCTTTCAGCTCTATACACTGACAACTCTAGTAAAAGGCAAGGTAGGAGATATACATCTATACATGTATGATATGAATATGTATTCCTCCTTATAGATTTCTACAGATAGTTTACAATCATGACGCATGCCAAGTTGTACCTGAGAATTGCCATAACTTGGCTATCGTCTGAGGCAACCTAGACCAAGTTGCTCTATGAAATGACCGGAATATCCACGGCCGTTGCAACCACTTCAAAGCTCATTCAACTATTCGATATGTACCTACATATTCATTGATGTACCTGTTGACCATGTTAGCTAAGCTTGAACAACCTGACGACGGTCATGTGGAAAGGTAAGAAGTAACGAGTCCGTCTCTGTCAGAAGTCCGTTGAATACATTTCAGGCCCGAGGGCCCGATGATATAAGAGGTACCAGAAAATAAGTTGTTTGGAAATTATCATCATAAGAAAGGGAAAGGTATGAATATGTGGTGATATGGTGTATGGAGTGAGGGAGTCTTACCTTTGCGGTTTTTGGTGCAACAAGGTGGTGAGATTTGTTGGCGAAGGCTGCTGCTCTGATCAGACCATATGGAGATTAACAGGACATTATCACGTTAATAAAGTCAGTTCTACATATACATCTGTACATTTGTAGTTATTCATCTCTAGAAAATTTTCTAGGTTCGAAGTTGAGAGAATGAAAGAAAAAAAGAAAAGTTCGAGAAGGCGCCAATGATACTAAGCTGGTAGCGTGGAGCAGGCAAAACTTCGGTCTCTGATGGGATTTAGGTGGGTCATTTCCGCGCTTTGACCAGGTAAGGGCAGCTCTACCGGGCACACAATTTCACGCAGCTTTCTTTTCCGAAGAAAATAAAAATCCCAAATTCAATCCAACTCCAAAACTTTATTCAACATCACTAATTCCGAACCCTTTCCCACAACCACCACCACCAACCGGCAACTACATCTGTCACAATGGGACGTCTTCACTCCAACGGAAAGGGAATTTCGGCTTCGGCCATCCCCTACTCGCGCACTGCCCCGGCCTGGCTCAAGACCACTCCTGCCCAGGTCGAGGAGCAGATCTGCCGTCTTGCCCGCAAGGGTGCCTCTCCCTCCCAGATCGGTGTCGTTCTCCGTGACTCTCACGGAATCGCCCAAGTCCGCATCGTTACTGGTATGAAAACACACTGCCCCGTCAATTGCGCTCAACATTAGCTAACTCTGCGATGCTAGGTAACAAGATCCTACGAATCCTCAAGTCCAATGGTACGACATGAAAGACCCTCGCGCGAATCCAGCGAAAACTTTTCACATTACATACCCCAAAACATAAGCCCATGGTATCTCTCGTAGATCCATGGCAACTACAATAACGCCACTGTTGGTCAAGGCTGACGGTGCGATTATCATATAGGCCTCGCTCCTGAGCTCCCCGAGGATCTTTACATGTTAATCAAGAAGGTAAGAAGATGATCTACTGCGTATAATATTGAAGAATAATAATGGATGCTAATCAAACTACTATCATAGGCTGTCTCCGTCCGAAAGCACCTGGAGCGCAACCGCAAGGACAAGGATGCCAAGTTCCGCCTCATTCTGATCGAGTCGCGAATCCACCGTCTTGCTCGTTACTACAAGACCGTCGGTGTTCTACCCCCGACCTGGAAGTACGAGAGCGCCACCGCCAGCACCATCGTCTCATAAGCAAAAAGCCTATGGAGGAGATGTGTTTTGCATGGAATGCCTGGTCTGGTCATGGAGTTCGTGGAAAACGGAATTGCTTTTATGGCAGCCACAAGATTAGTTTAAGGTTGTTGGTCGCATCACATAAGAGAGGCGAATGAATAAGCAATCACAAGAGATCAATCAATGCAAATCTCGCAAGGAACAATATCGAATTTTGTCATGTGCTGAAGTGCTACCATGCGCAGTGCCCCTCAAGTTTATGTCTTGACAATCCGTAAAATTCCTCTCCCCTTAGAAAATTATCCACCCCCGTAAAGCAATAGTGGTATCATAATAGCGTAAGAAGAAAAAAAAAGGACCATTGCAACTGTCATGCAATGCTAAACACAGCTATCTCGTTTTTTTCCGTGACCAGAACTCCATAACGATGCTATCCGCCGCCCTTCCTTGGCCCTGGACCCTTGACCCTTGACGCTTTACGTCGTCGTTGTTGTCGTCGAGGACGCCTCGAGCTCTTTGGCGCGCTGGAGTAGGTACTCCCCTAGGACTCGTAGAGGATCGGCGGGGCTGTTTAGGACGAGAAGAAAGAGGTTAGCGAATTTTCTTTTTTTCTATACAATTTTGGGGGTTTTTTTTTTTTTTTTTTTTTTTTTTTTTTTGGTTTATAGGTTGTGTTGCTTGTGTAAGAGACAAATAGGCATTGGAAGTATGCTACGACGAGTAGGAGGTAGCAAGTAGCAAGTAGCAAGTAGCAAGTAGCAAGGAATTAGGTAGGTACCTAATGTAGGCGTGCGTAGGCAGGTAAAGGCGTAGATGAATAAATAAATAAATATTTAAAAACCAATATATAAAAAAAACAAAACACATGTTTCAAAACTAAAACTTACCGGTCCCGCGCGATCATCTTCATGCCCTCGAGCAGCGGGCCCGTGACATTGGTGTTCAGGTACTGGCGCACGGGGGCGCCGTGGGGGGGCGCCTCGGTCGGCATTGTGAAGCCGCCGCTGCCACCACCAGCGGTTGCTGCGGTGGTGGTGGTGGTGGCGGTGGGTTCGGGGTGCTGGGACGCGGCGCGGGAGGAGGTGGACATTGTCGGGGCTTCTGTGGTTGTGCGGAGGGGGGTGCTGGTGGGCCCGGTGGTGGTGGTGGTGGTGTTCGTAGTTGTGGTTGTGTTGTTGTTGGATGGTGCGCTCGTGGGTGCTGGGCTAGGCGCGTTGGAAGGTGTGGAGGTTGACGACGTTATTTGAGCGCCGGGGGCAGGAGCGGGTGACTGCTTGTTTGTTTGGTTGGTGGGTTTGTTAGGTTAGGTGGATTGCTGCTGGGGAAGTTTGGAAGGGGCGTGGTTTGGTAAGGTAAGGTAAGGGGTAAGGTATTAGAGTTGAAGGTTGAGGAGGGAAGGAAAGATGTTTGGATTTGGGTTGATTGGTGTTTTTTTTTTTTTTTTTTATGTACATATGTAGGTAGGTAGGTAGGTAGATAGGTAAGGTACCTAGGTACTTAGGTTAATTGGACATACAGATGCTTGCTCTGTGCTAAGAGCGGGAGTAGAAGTGGGAACGGGAGCAGCAATAGTGGTGGTAGTAGTCGCGGAAGCGGCCTCGGTTGACTGCTCGACGGTCGCTGGTGCTGGTGTTGCTGGGTTCGACGACGCTGGGGGCGCGGGCTGCCCGTAGATGTAGGGAACGGGTACAGGGGTCTGACGGGTCTCTTCAGACATGACTGCTGCACAGAATCCAGATATGGAGGTTATAATACTAATAATAAGTTATTATGTACTAGGTTAGGTAGTTATTATAAGTTCAAGATTTTAATCAATTGGCCTATTGATGCAATTTGATGTGTCTAAGGACTAGATAGCGTTGGCGAGTGGAAAGCCGGCGTATTTTAGTTGTAGTTATACTAGGTACTAGACTCTAGTAATATGTGAAGTAGAATAATTATTAGAATTACATGTAATGCATTTCTCCTGGAATCCTCTCCAGGTATAACCCTGGAGGAGAAACTATGTGTAACATGAGTACATGTAGTTACTTATCAAATACATCGGGATTTGGAGGTCCCAGGTAGTTGGTTGTAGTTCTGTTATTGGAGTAGAAACATTGAATGAATCCGTCGTAAAATAGTTACCTGATGCCGCATCTGACTAACTAAAGTACATGTTGAAGTCGCGTGACTGCGCGTTGCCACTCGGGACAATGTTACCTGGTACAGTCCGCGTCCCGCACGCGTCTGACTTTGTATGAAGTCATTCGATTTCTTTCTTCACATAATCCATAAAACCCCCTTCTTTTCCCTCATGAAACTGGCCAAAGATGGACTGCCCCTTGTAATGGATACTAGAGAATAATAATGGATGCTTTTGTCAAGAGATCGAAGTCAACCAAAGTTCGGAATTTGAAGGAGCCTCCATCCAAAAGGGTCAAAAGAGAAGTCTGCGATAGCAATGAAGATTCAGATCAAGACATTGAGTCGGATTACGCTGCATTGAAGTCATTGCCAAAATTGCGAAGGGTCGACACAGCAGCTTCAGAACCTGGCGATGATGAAACACCGCAATTGTCAGAATCCGAGGATAATCCGACTCGAAGGACTGCTATTGAGAACTCACTTCCGGAGATCAAGCCAGACAAAGAAGCCCTCGAGGAATATCAAAACTTCAAAGCATCTCAAGAGGACGAAGATAATGCCAATGTAGATGCTGCGTCGAGACTCGAATCGAGGAAATGGGTAAGAGGCAAGACCTCTCTTTACGTCGATGCTTTCAACCTCGCTCTTAGTACAGTATTAGATGAAGAATCTCACCTATTTGACGAGAAAGAGCTGTACATCTTCGACCAGTGGAAAAAATCAAGTTACGAGGCTCAATTCTTGTAGGTGATGGGACATGGACTGATTTTCTACCCCTAAGCCCAACTCTGACTTGATATTGTATCTAGATATGTACGACTATTCCTCAGAAAGGCAGCAACATGGCACCGGATAGCCCGTTTGCGTTACTACGATGATATTCAGGACACCGAGGCTGCTGTAAAGGAGTTACAGAGAAATAGAGATATACCATCTGGACCTACGGACTCTCCGTCCGGTATTGAACCAGATCTTGATTCCTTAGCCCAAGATCAATGCGTTTTCGGGACTAGTTTCACGTTTGCAGATACGTCGAATTCGTTGATTACAAGTGTAGAAGAGGCTATTACGCTTCTTAGCTTAGACGAGGTCAAGACCCTGGCTAAAGAAGCTAAAGTGCACGGCAAAAATAAGGCCGAGCTTGCTAAAGCTATATGTAGAACGAGCAGTCAGCAACTCGGCCTCCTCTCATTAGGTCTCCGGCGATCTAGCACTGTTGATTCTGCCAACTCGTCAGGACGGGGTACTCCCGAGATAGATGCTCCAAGTCCAGGTCTCGGCGAGGACTCGAACAGGAGAAAACATTTCCTAGACAAGATACTCGCTATAGCCGGACCCTGCATACGGCTATCCCTTCCCGTTTTCAAGTTGTTTGAAAGAGTTCATCTGGTCTTCTATCGCTCCACGCAATGGACAGAGAAGTCTCTGACCACAATTATTCTTGCAAAAATCTCGAGACGCAATTTCCCCAAATATATTGTTAGCAGATCAGCCAACATATTCGCATCTAGATCTCAGTTGCTAGAGTTTGAAGCAGCTATGCGGACTGAGTATGCGGTTGATAATATCTTAGAGTCATATGGACCCGTTACGGAAGGAGACTTTCAGAAAATCATAGACATCTTTGAAGAGATATACCCACGATGGAAAGCCTTATTGCAAGAAGAACAGGAGAAAGAGGAGAGGATATATGAGTCAGGCGAAGGCGCATACTTAAGACGGCTCAATCCTGCCCATCCATATACTCGGGTCGTGCATAAAACTGCGTACGTCTTTGGCCGATTAAAAGAGCATAGCCGCGAGCACTCTTTATTGACTGAGCTACTTGCCCAACGTCTATTCCATTTAGCTCGTCGAGGCTCGTGGTATCAACGAAAGGCGCTCTTGGAAGAGCATTATATGTACGCGCTGGAGTCCGATCCAGCTTATAAGGATACAGAGATGCAAAAGAAGCATTGGAGACGAATCGCGGCAATAACCTGCGAGACTGCCTTGGAGGATCGAGATTGCCATCTCATATATCATTACGATATACAGAAACGGCTAGTCAAGCTCGAGAAGCAACTCAAAATTCCCAAGCGTCAGCAGCATGACTTTGGGCATGTGAGGTTGCAAAAGCCAGAAGAGCATTTTGTTGAAGGTATCCAAGTGAAGAAAGACAACGTGGTGGGTAAGAAAGGGCGAGCGGCGAGCACGAAGACGATCTGGGTAGACGAGGGCGAAGGAGAAGACGAAGGAGAGTGCAGCGTGGAAGCCATGTGCCTGAGCTGGTATAGAAGTCAGGGCTGGAAAGGTTATCATGCCGAAGGAGGCATCATAAGAACCTTGTTCGCGTACCTTTTCTTCGACATTCTTTTCCTTTACATACCTAACGTGTTTCAAACGGCATATCAAATGTGCCCCCTAGACTTACATACAGACGCCTTCTACCCAACCAGGGCTTCCGAAATCAACTATCGCCTTGTCGAGATTGCAAACGGCGGGGCGGCGAAGCTAATCGAGGAGGTGAATCGACGGGAGCGAGAAAATCGCACGTGCGTCGTAGGTCTCAACTGGGACTATGAGCTGGATGACCTCTTGGAGCTGGCCAGGTGCTTCGACGGCGCGGCCCTGGCTTCGATTTGCAAAGTCATGGCACAGGAGTATGGGCAGAGGGGCGGCGGTATCCCGGACCTGATTCTGTGGAGGACAGAGCCGCGCGAGGAAGTTATGTTCGCCGAGGTCAAGAGCGCCAACGACCGCCTCAGTGACACCCAAAGACTATGGAACCACGTCCTCACTGGTGCCGGCGTAAAGGTGGCTCTGTGCAATGCTGTAGCTAAGGAGGTAAGAGAGGTTTGATGGCGCTGCATAAAGAAGCCATTCCGGTGGCCCGCGGGTGTACAACAGCACATGCCTAGCTCACGAAGCAACTTACCTGTTTTGTTAGCAGCAGGCTGTGAGCTCGGCGCGGATACGGATGGCGAGAAGCCAATGAAACGAAGACATGCCCGAAACTACATGTCACAGCTCGGTCTAGGGTCCATGATCTTCTGTCGTGGTTTCTTTAGCGACCCTTCTTGTGGCGTTCGCGTGGCGGGGATGATGAGAGTGCATATTTATGGCGGCTAGATATGTATGTTCTTTTTGCACTTCGGAATCCCCTCTATGTACTCTATACATACTAGGTATATACCGGCCTAGTAGACACGATCCTAGGTTTAAGTCATTGTGAGAGGGTTTGGACTGCAAGTATAGACAAGAGAAGTCTAGCCTGCCAAAGGTTCCAGAATGTAGTGCTTATGAGAGTGGAATGGTATCGACACCCGACCTCCCATTCAGAAGTATGTACGTATGCACATCACTGCCCAATCACAGTCTGATAAAATTGCAGATTCGCGTTCTACCAACATTCATGCACTCTTTTATCTTATTCTTTTTCTAGTAATACCCTCCTCCGCCTCCTTGGCACGTCAACAGGTGTTATTCCCAACGGAGGTCTCGATCTCTTTTCTATACCCACACCGCTAGGGGAGGATGGAAATGCCGGAAGTGATAGACGCAAAGACAGTCTCACATGCCACAGTACTCTGGCGGTGAATCGAGAGAGCATGGGTCCCTAAGACTAGATCGATATCTACCTGTTTAGTAGGTACCTAGTTAGGTATGTATCTCTTCGCTTTTCGGTTTTCAACCCGCGGAGTTGAACGACCAGGTACCTAGGTAAGCAGCACTAACACCCCGAGAAATGTACGACGTTGAATATACCATTTACGGACGGTGTTTCGTATCATATCATGACCCTTCCAGGTCTTTCGTCCACTGGGTTCTTTTTGGCACGGCAAACTCCTAGTCTCCGCCTATCCTTTGACAACATGGTATATTTGATTACTTGCCTAATCGGTGGAAAATCGGTGATGACGGGGCGAGATGTCGGTGGATAAGCTTATAACTACTCCAAACGCACTGCTACCAGTAACCTCTCAAAAGAGTTGTCACGAGCTCCATATAGCCAAACTCTTGCTCATGAGGAGGGAGAAGGGTGCTGATGATCAGCTAGATTCCTCGACATTGTTCGAAGAGATCAACATTCATTCGTATCCATAACTACATGCACTACGGTAGCTCTTCAGGATGACGACGGCCAGCAGCGATACGGGGTGGATTCGCACCAGTCGAATGGCGTTATTTGCCCCAATATCACCGCAGGCGCCAGGTTTTGGAAGACGTAGTCGAAATCAGCGTAGGATTTTGCCATTGTTGCTGTCGTGGTGAAAGTTCACGCCCCTCCTAATAGGAGAGACGCTCGTGCTAAATATGTATGTGCCTATATCATCGGGGTTTTCGTCCTCTGCAGGATTGTGTAAGTGGCCTTAACACATGTATGGTAATGACCATGAGACCTAAATTCGAGAGCTAAGACGAAGAATACGCAGTGTACCCCTGGCAATAGTGGTCATATGCCACTACTGCACATCCAATGGCTCGTGGCTCGGCCTGCAAACCGATGCAAGGACGGCCATCCGTCTCTACCTACATATGTCAATAGGCGAGGACATCCTCTTGGGAAGGATGAAGCGCGGAAATGTGGGAATGTTTACCGCGATAGTTCGACCTTGTTGCCACAGATCCGGTTTCACTCCCAACTCCGCGCGCTTAGGCAAGCATTTCAGATGGAGGAGGCTCCAGAGCGAGACGATAACTTGGAATTCTACAAATACGAAGCCATTGGCTAATTAGTCACGTTTCTTCTTTGATACAGGTTAGCATTACCATTGAGAATTGGAGAACGCGAAGAAGATATGACCTAGTTCTGTGGTATGCTAAGGTTAGTAGGTATATGTGTAGTTAATCTTGTTCAAGCATGAGCAGCTATCGCCATTTCCATGTTGCCGGTACCAGACAATCGCTAGCACGAAGATGATCTTGGCACGTAGCCTTGATACCAAGCTGAATGTATCAATTACATCGATACCTGCCGCATTTAACCCTGGTTTACCCCATACCCGCCAGCAATGGCCTTCGGATCTAAGCCGTGCTAAATATAAGATCCAATGCTTGTCTTACCAACAACCCCAATGATGGCCGGCCATAGGTGAAAGCCAGTAATAGAAATTGCATCTGCAGTTAAGCTATCCCTATCGTGGCATGTTATTTCCACGTGTCAAGACCTGGCACCTCCCGCATCAAGGTGCAAGCTAGACACAATCTCATCCTGCAGGATGGAGATGAGAGCGACTTATTTCGAGGACGTGTTGAAGAAGCTTAGCTCTAAGCGCGGAAAGGAAGACTAGAGAGGGTATTCAGAGGACCGGCTACTTAGGTACTCAGAAGGGGGCGGGGCCATGGAATTGGTTGGATGGCGCTTAGATGGGGTACATCGTTGGGGTACTATTGGAGGATGACTGGCATAGAAGTATTCTAGATGGTTTTCACTTCAAAAGAGAGATCAAGAGAGTTCTGATCCATCATGGCTTTGCGGTTCTAGCATCACGAAAGAATGGCCCCCTCTTTCGGCCGGCGCTCAATCCCGGTCCCGCCTCCGGGAAGCGCGCGCTGTGATGTTAGAAGATGTTGGGGCGGCTGCGTGGTATGTGGTGGTGCACTTGGACTACTAAGGCAGATGCTGCTGAAGTCGTCTTGACCAACGGTAGCTCTAGCATGCCTTCTGCCGATGTTGTGCGTCATGTGGCGCGCGCTCTGCTTGAGCCTAGCACAAACTGCAAGCCGCAAAATGGGACTTGGACTCTATCATAGAGATGGAGGTGACCTCTAGTTGGGAATTTGGAAAGAGAGTTGAAGCAGACCTGGCGAACCGCGCGCTGAGTGAAGCATTGGTATGATATGATATATGGATAGAAAATGAATAAGCGGGAGCTCGAGACTCAAAGGAGAGAGCTGAGAAAGAGCTGAGAAAGGACTATAATTAAGCTTGAAGTGCCATGGATTCTTACAACTTCACGATCTTCATCCAACCTTTGTGTAAAGATCTACTCTATAATTAAGAGACTGCAGAAGAAGTCTTGCTTACGCTTTCGAATTTTGAAACACCATCAACAAAAAAAGAAAGAAAGAAATACCCTATCCTACCCTACATATCCTCTTGGTGTACGACATTGATATCTGCACTTCTACATCGTCGGCCATCCCGCGATCCACTTCTCAGCTCATTCAGCTCAACGCCAGATAGTGATTAACTGTCGGGAAGCACCAAAAAGGGCAAAAAGAGAAACTTCAGCTTATGAGGATTCTTCTGTGGTTGATTCCCAGGAACAAGGTATGTATGTCGTGAGCGGAAAAGTGATGAAGAAGAGATCGATTTCCATGCCAAAAGTTGTGGAGGACAAGGGGGGAGAGTAGAAAGGATCCAATCAGGGGAGTGAATAACGAAAGGGCGCTAATCAATGAACCAAATATAGTAAATATAGTAAATACAAACCAGTAGCGGCAGCGCTTAACACAAGTACCGAATACTTCCGAACCACTCAGACCCAGCAATCCCATCCCGGTATATTGCGCCTGGCAAACCACACTAACCGGGGGGTAACCAAGCACTGGTCAGGGTTATTGATCCAATCACGACAGAGATCGAACAGGCTCTTATTCCAATTTGGCTTAAATTGACGGCAACCCTAGTTCAAGTCACTTGTACTTCTGGAACCTTGAAGTTCTGGGGTTAATTTGCTTTAATTCGGATGTAAGTCTTGAAGTGCCTTTTACATACATACATCATCAATTTTGCCCTGTTGATGTATGTGTGTACCTACATAATGTCATATTGATGTTATTGATGTACATGAATCTCTTATGTACCCTTCACATACAGTAGTCTGTTGTAACCTTGGACTCAATTAACATACTAATCGAGAATAGTCATCAGCATATACATACATACATACTACCTAGTATTTACCTACATACCTACGCTCATACCTACCTTCTTACCTACATACACACATACACACATACACACACACATACATATTCTCTAGGCTACGTATCCGGTACACGTTATTCTTAAAGGGCACCTGATCCCTACCGCTTAAAAGTAGCCAGCCAATCCCAAGCCTAAACCAGTTCACATCTCCCGCCCACCACTGGTCCATCACTACCGCCGCCCTTCAACTTGAGCTTGACCTTTCTCTTCGCCCTAGACGCCTACCTCTTTCATCCCCACTACCTACTTTGACCAAAAAAAAAAAAAAGAAGAAAAGGAAGCTTGACCTTCCCTGTTTTTGTCCCGTGCCTCTCGTACTTAGTAGGCTCGTGTCTGTCTCACAGCGCGTACGGACAATAAACATAGCAACTGTCGTGGTGCCTTAGCTTAGTATAAGCCTACCAGATCAAAAAGCAACACCCTCTTGGAGTCACACCCCTTCCCCTTCCCCTTCTCCTAGGATCTGTCACATCGATCCCAGTGCTTCTATCCAGGGGGAAGCTTTCCTTCCCGTTTGGCGCCTTCGTTTCAACCTGGACTAGGTAGCATACCTTGTCTATCTTAACATAGCCATACCCTTGCCTCCACGCAGCACCTCCATCCTTAGCCTGCCAGAGTTACATGTTATATAACCCTTCGTTCTTCTCCCCCCCACCACAGACTCAGCTCTTACTTTCTTACCACCACGGCGACTTCTCTGTAGAGCTTGTAGGCATCCCGTCTTCATATCCTCACGAGTCATTCGCTTGACTTGACGCCGCATCACCAATCCAACCCTCTACTTGAACGTCATCCCAGGAACCGTCACCATGCCTGCCTGCAAGCCAAAGCTCGCGCAGCTGACTACTCCCGTCACGGCCACCTTCCCTTCAGAGCTCTCTGCTCTGTCGGCCAGAACGCCTCTCTCTGCAGTTCGTGAATACATCAAGGAGGAATACCCCACTAGTACCAAGACACCCATTACCCCTCCTACGGCTTACATGGATTTCCTCAAGGCTATGTCGGTATCGTCTCCCGTTGCGACGGGGAAGCGAACAGGGTCAGGGACTACTACCCCGGAGGACGATTCGGTGCTGGATTCGGCACCATCAACCGCTAGCAGTGAGCAGACAGACTGCTCTTGCAAATGCGGCAACCATAAATCAGCCACCGGCGTGCCGCCGAGCCCTTTTGGAAATCAGCCCATGTCAGCCCCACCAGTGGGAATGGCATTTCCAAGCTTCCACCTCCCGTCATCCCCTTCCGTGTCAACGATAGATTCACCACTGAGTGCAACGGTACGGTCACCATTCAGCGCGAAATCAGTACGGTCACCGTTTGATTGGGAGGCAGCGTTAAAGTCCAGGTACTCGCAGGACTGCAGGGCGCATAAATCATCAACGAAAAGTGTGAGGCATATCCGGGAGGTCGTTACGAGAACTGTTACTTACACGCCACGAATGCAGCCGGCACCGAAAGGAAAGAGGAGGAAGACGACGCATTCAGACTGCCAAAAAGCCCAAGCGGCGGCGGCGGCAGCAACGGCAGCGGCAGCAGCAGTCGCCATCCCAGCCCCAGTCTCAGCTCCTCAAGCCAACAAGGTTTAGAGAATTGATGGACAGCGAATATAGCAAATCAAAAAAAAAATTTCGACATCGTTTAAACTCAACTGACTTATTTCGCCAAGGCCTGATTTCATAGCGGCTCCAGCAACGATCTACCTATATTCCATTTGTTTATAACCATTTATCACTTACTCTCTGAGCAACTCACATTCTCTATCTCTACAACTATCTACTTCTCCGATATATTTATCAGCATCTAAACAACATCAATAACAACAATAACGTCGCCTCCGAGATTCATGGGTTGCAGGTTCCCATTTTGGGACCCGGATCAGCGGCGGAAATGAATTTATGGCTCCTTTACGATCTAGATCCATGGCGTACCTGGAATTAAAGAAGAGGGGACTATGGGTGGATATTTGTTAACAAACTGCGACGGAGTTTATTGGCGTTTTGTCGCAGGTCTGCGGCGTTAGCGATCCTGGGGGCCCCGGAGCTTGCCAGGCGATACCAAGGAAATTGTGGGATTTTTTTTCTATTTTTTTGTATTTTTTGGCCTGCGTAGTAGGTGTGCCTCTTCAGAAGGGGGGCCAACAGCAATGCGAAGGACAGCCAGCACCATTACTTTGGAATGGAACGGGATACGATAGGATAGGATAGGACGGGGTTCAAAAATTCGTGTAGCCAACAATCTCACAATACATTTACATCCCCCTAACTTACTTTAAGCTCTGAGTTACGTATAAAGAATATTGAAAGAGACACACACAGACAGACAAGCCAACTTTGGGGTTTGACGAGAGAGGGTATCCAAACAAAAGACTACATACCAAAGCGGGCCCCCCCAAAAAAATAGTTGAAGCTGGCCTCCACCGGTGTTTATTTATTTTGATTTTCTGAGTCGCCAGACGGGAGCAGACGTTGAATGTAGTTTACCGCTAAGGCGACCTCTGATGCGGCCGGCAGGTTGGGCTCGTAAGCGTTGACGAATTCGCCGCTCGGATTGGCGCGAGCAGGAGCAAAAGGTTTTTTTTTTCGGTCAAGAGTGTGGCCGTCGTTTGGTGGTCTGTCTCCTCTCCTACCTACCTACTTACCTACATACATACACACATACATACATACATACATACATACATACATAGGTTACCCGTGGACGGATACTCTTGGTTTTGTGTCCACCCGCCAGCTTACGCGGATTGGAATTTTTGAGGGGGGATGTTTTTTTTGTTTTTTTTTTCTCCTTTGGGGTGGCCACGCGATCTGTGTTCGTGGTGGAAGTATGTATGTATGTATGTATGTATGTATGTAATTAATGTACACCCTTTACTTTATTGTGAAGTGGTCTTGCAAATACATTATAGAAAACTGACTGCCTACCTATGTGCACACCTATAGATAGGTACCTAGGTATTTTGTGAATGTCTCAAGTGCTCTCTTTTTCCACTTGATCACTAACTATGTAACTTCCTCTCCCTCCCTCTCCCTCCCTCCCTCCTCCTCCCTCCACGGTTAGAATCAAGAATGCACGTGGCATTTACACTTTAGACTCACACGCAAAGTTTATAGTAGCTATTACTACGCCGTATAGTAGCTATTCACTATGGATGTAGGTACATAAGTTAGCTACGCCTTAAGTTGACGCTAAAGAAGTTGATTCACAACTGTAGGTACATACTTAGGGTAGGCACCAAAGTGCCCACTGCCTACATCCATGACAATTGTCTAGGCTAGGAAGCTTGATTGGTCGTTCTGCGCGTCCCGGCATCCTGGGACTTGCATGGCGGGGCCTAACAAGGGTGACAGGGGCAAAGCCAGCGAGGATCCCCCATTCATTGATACATATCCATGGATACATTAGGTTAGTTAGTTACTATGTAACTACATAGTAAGAGACTTTAATGTTAGGGCTAATACTGTCTACATAGTGTTAGACTAGTTGGGTATTTTACTATGTAGAAGGGGTAAAGGCCGTAAAGTTCTTTGAAGAAGCAGCGCAGCAGCTCCTTGCAGTACTATGTATTCTTTTTTGATTTATTAATTATTCCATTCTTTTTCTTCTCTTCCTTTAAGCGCTGGCCCTTGTGCAAGTCAACCTAGGTTACTTTATTGGCTCAACCTTACTTGAGCAGATAAGGGGGCAAGGGTGTGTCATGCAGCAGTTCGAACTCTGCTCGCTGGATATGATTGGTTGCTGGGCTGTCCATTAAGCGCCCACGACCTTTTGCTGTTTAATTTGCCCTCCTACTCCTCATTTCATCCTCCTCCCTCCCACATAGTACTGTAGTTACATATGTGCACATTACTCATTAACCCTTACATACCTATATGTATTTTACAATATGTAACCTAGGTACTTACTGCTTCGTATCTTTCTTTGAAAGTGCTTTCGTCTCGTCTCGTCTCATCCTTTCGCGTTTCGTCCTGTTACATAGTTACCTACCTTTCTAGATCTGTCTCCGTAAAACCCCTACCTCTTTCCGGTCATCCTTCTTCTTCTTCTTTTTCTTCTATTTCCCCTTCTTTTCTTTTCTTACCCTCCCCTCACTAGGGTCATAATCCTTTTGTCGTGTCGAAACGAGACGAATGCATAGTAGACACGCAGACAAGGTAATTTCGTCGAGTTTTACTACCTTTGGAATATGAATCCGTGACTAGCGATCAACCCGAGATGGTAGGGTGGAGTGGACAATGACAAGGGCCCTCTTTTGCCTGCCGCAGAACGGACGGCCGCTGCCGTAGTTGGGTCACCCACCGGGGTGGAACCCCCTACTATGTATTCATCATCCATCACTTACAATCTTAGGTATGTACACTTTTGCAAACGGAATACAAACAACACAAAAAGGATAGAGCCGTCCCTATCGATGGCCGCCATCTCAGGGCCCCCGACAGCGGGTATGTAGAAGTAGATTGGGGATCTAACACGCCAAGCCTTGGGGACCAACCACACCGCGGGAGGGGGAAAATCCATGCCGCTTCATACTCCCGATCGAGGAGAGAGCTCGGGCGCCGTGATCTTCACGCATAATCCAAAGGAAGCGCTAGAAGAAAAGAAAGAAAGAAAGAACGCCCTGTTACTTGGTAGCAGGATGATCCTATAGGAACGGTGGCAGTGCGCCCGCCATCTTCAAGTCACGCAATCGAGGGGGGATAGGCAAAGATAATTGTGACTAAGGCCGCAGTAGCCTACCTCGCCGCTCAACACATCCATATTATGCCGTTATCCTCTACATATCGAACCCGAAGGGGTGGCTAGGCCTGCCTACCTGCGTTGGACCTAGGTATTTATGTACGTATGTACATGCCAATGCGTGTGTCTGAAATCAATTCTCCTTTATTGATTATCACCTGCGCGCCCTATCTCGATGGGTTCCTATGTAATATCTATCGAATGCGTGTGATATGCACATATATCTTCGAGCGCAAACCTACCTACCTACCTGCCTACGTACGTACCTATATACGCGTGTCACAGCACCAGCCAAGCAGCACGATTCATCACCGTTTCCGCTATACCGTCGATTTTGGGTCATCTAAACCCCCGGTCGAAACGACAAAACCCTAGCTCGGTCGCTTTTTCTAGAAAAGGGGGAGAACCTTGCTTAATCCACATACATCCATCTGTATGGGAAAACATAATAATTACAGTTACATGCTTACATACACTACATATCTGGATGGTTTACCTAATTCTCCGAAAACCAACAACATTGATGTGTTATCCCGTCATCTAGTGTAGGTGCTATTCCACATAGGTACTATTACCCCGTGTCGCCCCATACACATAGGTATGTAATTAAGATGCTGTTTTATTATGGGTTGAAACTTGGAATTTTTAGTATGTCCCGTAATACCGGGAAGGAAGGGGGATATTGGGCATTGACGTCAAGGACGCCTAACCTTAGGTACCTAGGTAGGTGTGTTGGTGTGCGCGAGGCAGGCTCTAGCCTTGTCTGGCTGCTTACTTGGTAGGCAGGTAGAGGCAGGTATTTTTTTTTGGCTTGCGTGCGGATTGTTTTAGGTATAACTCATAGCTTATTGTGTGATATGTGGGCTAATTAACTTTGTATGGCTCTCTAGCAAGGTAGAGTAGAGTAGAGTTAGGTAGGTAGGATCTTTTAGCCTCATGGTGTCAGTCAGTCAGACAGATGGATGGATGTATTAGCTAGGTACCTACCTTCTTATATACGTGGCAGACCCTACGCGACCTACTTACTGACTGTAGGTGTGTTCCAACAACACCCAGCGCCCAGCGCCCAGCCCCCCCCCCGGGGGTAATCCCTGGGTGAGGTGAGCGTCTCGGAAAATCAGAAGAGCCCAACAGCTCACGGGGCAGGGTCGGGTCGGCTGAGGAAAGGGAAGGGCTGGCTTTTAACTTAAACGACATATCGCTGCTGCAGTGGGTAGTAGGTGTGCATGCGTCCTGTTATATAGCCTTGGGTGCGTCCGGGTGTTGGCTATGTATGTATGTGTCTGTTTCGGCTCCCTAGGTATTGCCGACCTACGTACTTGGTACCTACCTGCCACTTCGACATCCCGCGCCGGCCCTCGATTCGACCGTCCCGGAGGCTTGGGCGGTAAGCTGTCACGGCTGCGATGGTGTTGGGGGGGGCTGGGTGTGTGTGTATGGGTATGGGTATGGGTATGGGTATGTGGTGTAGGAAAGTCTACAGCTCTTTCGTGCCGTTGCGGCTCCTCGCATCTAACGTTGTTGGATGCCCGGGATCGCGGACCGTGTTGACGTATCCCAGGGGTGGGGGGGGGCTGCGGTTGCTTGGTACCTCAGGTAAGGTAGGTTACCTGGGTGTGGAAGAGCGGTCAAACCATGACGGCGGTTGATTATGGCTTTTTGGATGGGTTCGGTTTTCGTGTTGCTTGTTAGTTAGTTAGTCCGTGTTTATATACGTGCGTGCCTGCATATGTAGGCAGGCAGGTAAAAGGTATGCTGCCAGCCCTGGAGGCTTTGACCTCCTCTGACTCACTAGGTATGTATATATACCTATATGTGTGTGCACCGCAAGGTTGATGTTCAGGAACTTATTTATCTAGGTACCTGTCTGGTATGTTGGTACGTTAGCTGGATGAAAGGGGTTGTCTTGGGGGGGTTTTTTTTTTGATGTGCTGATATATGCTAGGTAGATAGGCTCTTACCGACCTCTCTACATGCGAACCTGTTTTTACCGAGATTAAGAAAGGGGTTGGGACTTGATGTTTTGGACGCGTCTTTGGCTGGCTAAGCTGAGTTGGGCGCGTTTGGATATGGAGGTTGGTATTCACAAGGCCTGGGCCAAAGGGGGCGGTTGTTGCTGTTGGTTCATCAGACATCCCGACGACGAACAGAGTGCTTCAGCACGATGTAAAAGGGGGGATAGGGAGAAGGCACTGACTGCTTGTGAAGGAGAGCGTTAGTTCCGAAAAATCGCCGTGTTACTCAAGACAAGACAGCTTGAACGGCTAAGATTAAGGGGCAGTGCTCGTCACCGTATATGTGATAGGTTACTGAGAAAAGCGGCAAAGGGGAAGGGATACCACAAGCAACTGGCCTCGGCTCAGCAGACGAGCAAGA